CATTTAACACTGAGCTTGGTTTCTCAATTTTATTTATAAGTACAAAGCACACGGTACATGTAGGCCTTTGGTTTATCACAAAATATTCAACAAGATTCGTTGCAAAGTGCTGAGAGAAATTCACTGCAAAAACTGCAGTGTTAAATTTACACTGTTGGTATCTATATAGGACCATCTGGTGTTAAATCTTAATGGTGTTGTCCTATATAGATACCGAATGGTGTTAAATTAACACTACAGTTTTTGCAGTGTTGAGTTAACTTGAAATTGTTCATGGTAGAACCACTTGTAGAAAAGTTCCTTACTCCATCCGTTTCACCATCTTCAAACACAGTAGTATAGCCAGAGATTTACAAAGTTATACATTTTATCAATCAGTTCATGTAGTAGACAGCCATTGAGAGAAGTCCCAGCAGAATCATTACGATTGTTAACAGTTCTTTGATGTCCGTATCGAGATGATATCGAAATCCTCTCTGCTTGTGTCTTGAAGATGAGAAGATGGGACTGATAGAGCAGAATGAGTTTAAGCTCTTGTGAATGCAGATATAACCTTGAGCACAATTTCTTTGTTCCTTCTTTTTTTTATAATGAGTTCCCTGTGAGTACATTGTAATTAGAAAGTGCATTTGGGGTGCTGGCCGATGGCAGATTTGCAGATTGCTTGGCGTCGCTCATTGCAGGCCAAATCATTCCATTCTCCAGCGCAGGTTTCGGCGCAGTCCTCATTACCGGTACCTCCACTATTATCAGGTTGTTCCCAGTGCTCAATTCTGGACCAGTTGCTGTACTCCACGTCAGTGTTTCCATCCTGACACTTCCAAACACCTATCCCCCAAAAAAGAGAAACAACACTAAGGGAAAATATGTACACTGTATGCATTTGTACATAATATCAAACAGTTTTTGACAAGAAAGATTTCTGGGGGCTTTGTAACTGACTTACATGTAATTCAAAATGAAATGTCAAACAAAATCTGGACTTATAATTTTTAAACACACCTTCTTGCTCGATATCATTGCAATTGATCCAAAACTCGGTTGGCAGTAGTTGTACAAGGAAATCAGTTTCCTCCTGAGACTGTGGCGCGACCAAGACACCTCCCATCTTGATGCACTCATCTTTTGCCTCAAACCATGTCAGGCGTTCCATGATGGCTCTGTAGCATTTGCCTCCCCACTGGATCCAAGGAGGGGGACAGGCCCATCTGCGACTGTTAACAAAGGCCTTACACATCTCGTTACCACCAGTGCAACCCATCCTCAATTGAAGGCTTATCAAGCCAAAGATGAACCATTTGGACACCTTCATATTTCAGATGGTATCCAGACGGCATCTAGTGGTGAAATGATCTTGAAAAGCTCAACTTCCACTCCTGATATTCCATTTAATTTGACAAGTGAGATGTTTAGACAAATTAGAAGCTGTCCCTGTCGCATGGCATTGATCGGTGACGCAACGATTCAACAATAGGCATCTCTCCTTCAGCCCCCCCCCCCCCAAAAAAACAACCAAAAAACGCGGTGACAAAAACATATCCAGTCCGTTATTAATTTTTCACTTATTCCACTACTTGAAATTGGAGTAGGTGTCATTTATTGCAGTCAAGGAGCAGTAAGTAACTTTAAGGCTGCACAAACATGACAGAGGCACATACATGTAGTCGATGCAAGCATAAACAAGAGACGTCCGGCAGCGGTAATGGATTATTATGAGTCTGAGTTGTAATAACCACTTAAATCCCTCCTACTGATTGAACTGTCACAAACCCTCACCATAATTAATCCATTTTCCTCTACTATAGCTTTTGTACAGGCTAGTCACCAGGCAGAGCCCCTATATGGATTAAACGATGTCACTGTCAAAACCAGTTCAAGGGGTTGATAGACAGGGTGCCCTTGAATACTGCTGCAACTTCTGCTGCAATTCTATATACATAATGCGTAGCAGCCATCTTAGAGGGCAATGCCTATATTTTGCTGGGATATGCATGATTGAACCTTTTGTGTATTCATTGTTACTGAATTAAATCAATAATTGCCAGGCACTCAGCAGTATTTAAACCTGTTTTGTCTCTGAGAGATGAGTAGTAAACAGGAGTTTTATAAAATCAGTGTAATGCATAAAAGCCATGGAAATAAAATTTTAACAAGAAAGAAAATTTGATAAAGTATAGACAAGAAACTAATCTTCCAAAGACCAGATAAACATACTTTCCCATAGTCATTATTATTTTATCCATATATACATTTCACCATCTTCCATCAAACATGGTAGCATAGCCAGAGATGAAAGTGTTAATTTTTATCAAGCACTTCAGTAGACAGCTTTTCAGAGAAATGTTAGCAGAATCATTACATGTAGAATGGTTAAGAGTTCTTTGATCAAGATGATAAAAATCCTCTCTATTTGTGTCTTGAAGATGAGAAGATGGAACTGACCAGAATGAGTTTCAGCTCTTGTAGATTCACATAAAACCTTGAGCACTATTCCTATGTTCATTCTTTTTTTAAAGGCATATAGGATCATTTGCATTTATCCAAAAAGTAACCTACCGAATTGTTCTCAACAATCTTACTTGGATTATTGATTGCACTTGTATTAAACACCCTGTGAAATTATTCCATCTGGCTTGCTGTCATTTAGAAGAAATATACATAGTAGGTGATTTCTAACGATCAGTCAGTTGACTGAGTTTTTGGGGAAAGCAAGATTTTATAGACAAAATGTTGTTTTTTGATCAAAAGGTTGTGCATGATTTTTTTAATGATTTCTCGGCAAAAGTGTAATATCCACTGAGCGAAAACTTTGGCAGAGTAGGTTTTGAACATTCTTCCTTGAATTTGGAGTGGTGTTATAACCGGAAACGAACAAAATGCATAAAATGCAAACGATCCTGTGTGCCTTTATTCAGTCCCCTGCGGATCTTTAGAAAGTGCAGTCGTAGTGCTGGCCGATGGCAGATTTGCAGATTGCGTGGCGTTGCAGATTACACCCCAAGTCATTCCATATCCCAGCCTTGTAGGCCTCAGCGCAGTGCTCAATTCCTCCAGAATTATCAGGTTGTGGCCACTGTGCGTTAACATTGGCCCAATTTCTGTACTCCACGTCAGTGTTTCCATCCTGACACTTCCAAACACCTATCCAAAAAAAGAGAGACAACAATAAAAGAAACATAGTATTCATTTATCAAACAATTTGTGAAAAGAAAGATCTCAGGTTTTGTTTGTATACTTTAATTCCAAATGAAATAACAAAATCTGGCTTTAAATATCTAAACACACCTTCTTGCTCGATATCATTGCAATCGATCCAAAACCGGGCCAGCAGTAGTTGCAGGAGGAAATCAGTTTCCTCCTGAGACCGTGGCGCGACCAAGACACCTCCCATCTTGACGCACTCATCTTTTGCCTGGGACCACGTCAGCTCCTCCATGACAGCCTTGTAGCAACTGCCACCCCACTGGTTCCAAGTAGGAGGACACGCCCATCCATGCCCAATGGAGGTCTTACACATCCCATTACCATCGGTGCAACGGACCATCAGATGAAGGCTCATCACGCCGAACACGAACTGTTTAGCAACCATCATATTTCAGATCTGATGCATTAATGCAGTCTGCATCAGGTCGTAAATGTTTGGGCAAAGCAGAGCTCTTCTTTGAAGTATCCTCTGTCGCAGCGATCAGTGAATGCAACAGTTTTGATGCCTGATGAAGTATTTAACAAATTGTGGAGAGACAAAACTCACAGTTATGAAGACGCAATTCTTGCACTGAAATGAATGAAATCATTAGGCAGTTTGCAACGTTGAGGCCGCACTGTATCGACCCTTACTTTGAAGTTTCCTCCATCACAGCAATCAGTGAATTCAACAGTTTAGATGCTTGATGAAGTATTTTTGTCTGCTTGCGAAGTGGTATCAAATTGTCGGGGAAAAACTCATAGCAATAAAGACACAATTCTTGCACTGAAATGAATGAAATCATTAGGCAGTTTGCAACATGGAGGCCGCACTGTATTGACCCTTTCTTCGAAGTTTTTTTCCGTCACAGCGATCAGTGAATTCAACAGTTTAGATGCTTGATGAAGTATTTTTGTCTGCTTGTGAAGTGGTATCAAATTGTCAGGGAAAAACCCACAGTAATAAAGACACAATTCTTGCACTGAAATGAATGAAATCATTAGGCAGTTTGCAACATGGAGGCTGCACTGTATCGACCCTTTCTTCGAAGTTTTTTTCTGTCACAGCGATCAGTGAATTCAACAGTTTAGATGCTTGATGAAGTATTTTTTTCTGCTTGTGAAGTGGTATCAAATTGTCGGGGGGGGGGGGGGGGACTGACAGTAATAAAGACATAATTCTTGCACTGAAATGAATGAAATCATTAGGCAGTTTGCAACGTGCAGGCCGCACTGTATCGACCCTTACTTTGAAGTTTCCTCTGTCGCAGCGATCATTGAATTCAACAGTTTAGATGCTTGATGAAGTATTTTTGTCTGCTTGTGAAGTGGTATCAAATTGTCGGGAGGGGGGAGGGGAACTCACAGTAATAAAGACACAATTCTTGCACTGAAATGAATGAAATCATTAGGCAGTTTGCAACGTGGAGGCCGCACTGTATCTACCCTTTCTTTGAAGTTTCCTCTGTCGCAGCGATCAGTGAATTCAACAGTTTAGATGCTTGATGAAGTATTTTTGTCTACTTGTGAAGTGGTATCAAATTGTCAGGGAAAAACCCACAGTAATAAAGACACAATTCTTGCACTGAAATGAATGAAATCATTAGGCAGTTTGCAACATGGAGGCCGCACTGTATGGACCCTTACTTTTTTCTAAACCTTCATTTCTTCATGATGGCTGGCTGAGCCTTTGTTTTTGTTTTTGTTTTTTTTTGTTTGTTTTTTTCTACGTCTTCTTGTTCTTCTATCCCAAATCCCATAGACTTTGTACATGTTTCATCGGTGGTTTTCTTTTCTGTTTGTGTTATCGTGTACAGGAACATGCAGTCTGAAGCTGAGAGGATCCGTCTTCTCCGCGCTAAGCAGCGCTCACTGGGGTTTAGCCAACACAGACAAGGCTGTGGCTTACATGCAACAAGATCTGGCCGTAGCCAAGTCATTAGGTAAGTCCTAACTATGTAAGATAATAATAAGCACATTGTGTTACATTGTATTTACTCCTTGATCAACCATAAAACCATGCAGTACTAGGACAATCTGGGTTGGTACAAGGAGAAACAGGCAGGGCAGTTTGAGGCAGTACATTAATTTATGGATTAAACATTTATTTCATTAAAGTAAGAATGCTGAACATTTTGATCATTGCAGGATCTTTGTAAAGGCAAACTAAAAAATGGCAATAGCTTGTGAAATGTACATAGAATACCATGGTCCAGTGGTTACGGTGTTTGACTCATGTACGAAGGTGCATGGTTCAAACCCTGCCAGGAACATGGTGTTTGTGCCCTTGGGCAAGACACTTAACTACAATTGCCTCTCTCCAGCCAGGAGTATAAATGGGTACCTGTGAGGGTCGAGGACCGATTGAGCGCTGATATCGGCTGCCGCGTGGTCCCATGGCCTGATGAACTGGGTAATAATTGTAAAGCACTTTGAGATTGTTGATACGATGGAAAGCGCTATATAAGCACAATTATTATTAATTATTATTAAATCATTTTGGAAAAAAAATTGAATTGGATTTTATTGTTCGAAAAATACAATGAGGGTTGATGTATGTATAGGAAGCTGAAAAATATGGGGGGGGATTTGAAAAAGGAAAGTTAAAAAGACATTGTTCGAGACAGATTCTATTTTTGTGTCCTTCGTTTGTTTTTTCCTTGGAGTAGTTGTTCATCCGATTCATATTGAGATTTAAATCAAAGTTAAATGGCAAAAGTTCAACAGTCTAACTTTACTAGTGCCAGAAAAGTGTCATTTATGCTATTTTAATTAGGTGTCAAAGAAGAACTTTGTTAATTTTAAAATCCCTCATATTCCTAAAAAGTCGAATATTTTAACCCTATCAAACAACTCTTGAATAAACAAGTACTTCAGAAAAGATTTACTGTTGGTTTCCTGTGGAAGTGAAAGATGTATCCATTTAGCAGAGATATGAACCCATTAGCAGTCACTGAAGCCATTTAGGGGTGCATGCTGAGACCCCTAATGGGCGTAAGTGAACCCAGGAGACCCTGGTAGGTGTTGAGGGGGTACTGACTTGCCCCCATTGGGGTAATCAGCCTGGGCTGACTGACTGATGGCTTGACCTCTTCAACAGGATGTGATCTAAAACCTTTCTTCACTTGGTAAAGAAAATCTGTGTAGCATTTTAGGCATGAGAATACAGTATCGTGTGTGTACCATGATATTGATGATTAATGTTCAAAAATTGATTTTTGAAAATTATTTCAAGGGCTGCTAGTCCTCTCCTACATGTAAATTGTTTAGAAAGCAACTAGCTTTTCAATATCTGATTTTTTTTCTTCAACTTTTCCCCTTTTTCCTCAAGTAATTCCTGCACATTTTGGAGAATGTTGAAACAATAAATATTATACCCTATGTACTGGTACATGTACATGTACAGGTAAATAAAATCAAACAAAAGCCAGTTTGGGTTGGATATTTTTTTTTAGAGAAAGCTTAACGGAGTTTCGGATTGATTTTAGATGTACAAAATATTTTTAAGAAGAGCTTTACTCTTTAAATATATATTTTTTTATATTTAACATCCAGGAGTTAAAGAATTCCTCAGTCAAATGATACACAACTCAGCAATATCTGATTTTTTTTTGAGTTTAGTTTCTTCCAACAAGAGGGAGAATTTGTTAAGTTTCTTAATCTAGACAAGTTGGGTGCTTGCTTTTGGAGAACTAGACCATCTTAACAAACACTAGAATTTTGTGGTGAAATGAAACGAAGATTAATGTGAGAAAATGACCCCTTGATAGGCACAATATTTATGCCTCGGTCATGTTTGCCTGGTCTCTATCAATCCACACTGTACTCAGTGGTCAGCCCCTGATGACCAGGCTCTGGTGACCTCATTGACCCTAGTGACCTCAGGTCATTCTGTTGCTTCCAGTTTGTTCTGCGGTTCCCTTAGGGGTGCAGTGAACTAATTCAAGTGAGAATTTCTACGCGAGCTCATTAGCATAAAAAGTGTCCCCACAATTTCTTTTGAAAACGGAGACGGTTTGGCTTTAAAAATGGTGGAATTGTGTGAATATACCCAAGGATCAACTCCCTGGTTTTTGGGCTTCCATCTGAGGGCAGGCTTGATAAAATAACGGTTGAAAAATGGGTCCTATTTGCCTGTGAAAGTGGAAGGTTGCCACTTGTAAAATGGCTACATGCAGGCTTGGGAACTATCACTTTTCGGGAGGTGATTTTGTTTTGGTGTGAATATTTAAAAATGTAATTGGCTAGTCTACCCGAAATTGAAAAGAAATAAAAAGATGAAGGACAAGACAATACTTTAATTTTTGTTTGAGAAACCCCAGTGATGTCGGCTTGCATGTTATTTGGCCCTGAACGTTGTTAATTTGACACTGTTTTCAATGGGGCTTGAATTGGTTCAGTGCACCCTTAGGAAAGAAATATCCTACTATTGAACTACATGTAGTAGACAGCTAGCTTGTATCATAAAAGGGTCCTTGCTCTATGTTTGTATTCATATTTATTTTCACAGTTCCAAAAGTTTGGATGCGGTGGATAGATGAGTGTCCCCCCCCCCCCCCCCCCGCCACCTTCGTATGCCCTCCCCTCCTACTACCCCCCCCCTTCCTTCCCTAGAAAGTCATCTGTATTTCACCCTCTGTAAATCGGTGTGAAATTATGACATTTTGGATGTGGTTTTTCCATATAGGTGATCAAGTTGGTGAGTGTAGAGCCCATGGTAATCTAGGAGCAGCCTTCTTCTCTAAAGGCAACTACAGGGAAGCATTGACACATCACAGATTCCAGTTAGTATTGGCTATGAAGCAGAAGGATAGACACACGGCAGCATCAGCACTCAGCAGCCTAGGTAGGAATAAAGTAACAACCCACCCCACCCTGACCACACCCTGACCACACCCTGACCACACCCAAATCTACCCTGTCACAGATTCCAATTAGTATTGGCTATGAAGCAGAAGGATATCAGACTGTAGCATCAGCACTGAGCAGTCTAGGTGGGAGTAAAGCAACAACTCTTTGATGGGCGTGTTCCCATCCTCACCCCATTCTGACCACACCCAAACATATCTAACCCAACCCTGTCACAGATTCATATTCTTGATGGCTTTGAAACAAAAGAATAAATTCACCCATTTTTTTAGGGGGGTTGACATCATGTTCATGTACATGTACCTATCTCTCCCTATCGAACCCACTACATTATGCCATCATAGATTCATTGAACTGACAAGTTCACTTTAAAGCACTCAACATGTTCATGCAGGCTGTAGGTTCCATACCAGATACATTGAGGACAAAGCATTTATGATCTCCGCGCAAACGGCACATTTTCTACATGACCACAGAACAAGTGAATACAAACAAAACAACAGCATTCATTACTCAATTTTCTAATATCACACATTGTGAAAATAGCCAAAGGACTCCCCCTTCTTCCAGTAAAATTTGCATTGTAAACTTTAGAGAACCACTTTTTCTTGCATTGCATTCTTTTGGTCCATGTCTTTTGTCCTTTTGTTTTTGTTTTTCCTGCATTCTTTTATCTGGGTCACAATGCTACACATATGCAACAGGTGGCAGCAGGTGTTTACACTACACCTGCTCGTTAAGGTCATGTGAGGTCATACAAGCTTAGCCACTCAGACTACATGTAGGTTGGCATGCTTCTAAAAGCCATCGGTCAAATACTGGTGGCTACATAAAAAAAAAAAGTTAAAAAAAATATCAAAACAGCACATGAAGTATCAATTTTTTTTTAGCAGTTTTCTGTTTCCATAGATTGGTCGTACATTCTTCAATAAGCCAGTTCGGTATTCCAAAATAGTCTGGTGCACAACAAGATTCGGCGATTTGTTTTCTTGGGATAAGAGCGGCAGATAAATGCACACTAGCTAGGCTATGGAGGATGTGGTAATAGAATCTGCATTCTGTGGATTTTGTTTGTGCAATGGAAAAGAGATGGAAACTTTCGTTCGCACAAAAGTTTGGACACGCAAGACACCCCAAAACACTTCGCTGTCCAAACAATTGTTGAAAAATGTTACTTCAGAACACGACGATCTCTTCAATTTTGCTGGTACTCGCTATGCTTTTGCTCGCGTACGATGAAATGTTTATCCCGAAAAAAAATTGTCAAATCTGTGCGTGCAATGCACAGTTGAAATATCGAACTGGCTTATAGGTCTCGTTCAAATGACGTCATTTCCTACAGACCATCCACGTACATTGGCATTTTGAGTGTCAACTTGCCTAACGCGCAACGGCTGCGTCGTATTTCGAACAGATTTCGAACAACAAGCGGTTAGCGCGCGTGATTGGAGCATTTTCAACACTGCGTAATGCATGTTTGATTGCATAAAATACGCAGTTGCAGGTTTTTTACACAGACGGCCGTCATTGAACGAGCCCTATTGTCAAATGCTTTGCAATCTGTTACACATTTTTTTCGCAAGAAATAGAAATTCCTCAACATTATTAAAATATTTAAACTTTGAATTTATACCTTCTCACAGATGTTGAATAAACTGGATATACAAATGGAAAAAGAAAGCACTTGGAATTTAGTATTTCAAGGTTATTTTGACATTCTTAAAAATCTTACCCCAAAAAGTAAAGTGTTTCCGTTTATATAAGCAAACAGTACATATTCAAATACTTAACATTCAAAAATGTAAACATAATCTTTTTGAATGTCTAAATGAAATAAAATCTTGGAAAACTGTATTAAGTTACAGAAATTTGACCCGTTTCCCTGAAGATAAAAATCATAAATCTGTCCACAGGTCCAATAATTGAGCTACTTTCGGCAGGCCTCTAGATTCTATTTCAATCCTATTATCCTGTGCCACATTTACAATGCGTGGCTCAGCTCGTGCCTTGCATTGATTCCTCCGGCTGGTCAATAGGGTTATATTACCCCCTCAAAATTCAGGGATTGTAGGCCAGTCAATATTTGTCCAATGAATCAGTCTCAGACCAGATTTCGAAGAACGTGATACGAAAATCAATTGGTGTTGAGGGAAGTATTTGTTCTCTCTTAGAATTAAAGAGGCATTGAAATCATAAAACGTGACTAAGTTAGATTAAAGACGTTTTACATTATTTAGCTTAGCTGTAACTACAAATAGCATTACTTAATCCTGACCTTCTAGAGCCTTCAAAATCAACAAGGGGTTCTGGGGAGATTTTGCAGGATTCAGTGAGGTTTCTAGCGAAAATTGTTTATAGTGAGTTAAGGTTATCAATGTGAAAAGGTATGGTGAAAAGGTAGGGTAGCGGTGTGCATTCACTGGTATTATCATGGGAACAAGGTACCGGTACCCTATCAAAGTAATAGATGGGTACCTGGGTACCCCTAATAGAAACCATACCCAAAATTCAAATCCCGGAAGTTGTCTGATAGCTTGAATGACGGTGTAAACTGCAACTTTCACGAGCATCGCCTGTCGGGCGTTTAAATACACATAAACGTGAAATCTGTTTTGGTTTTTCAACTAGCCTGGTTTTTATTTTGAACATTCCCCACAAATGGCATTAAAAATCTTCCTTTTTCATTGACTTTATTCACAAGTCGGCCATATTAAATTGAAAGCGAGGTAAATTCTTCATTTTTGAAACTTGCGAAGAGAAATGAAAGCATTGACATAGGTTTATTACAAATTAATACCAGTCTGCCCTTAATGAATAATTTAAAATATATGATTAAAGTATACCCTAATGTTTCAGTGAGGCTAGAATGCAAAATAGTCTGGCCCATCCCATTCAACAGTTCACAATTTATAAAATACATTCAGGGAACACGACCAAAATGGTTTCCTTGTGAATAAGATCCATTGTCTGAGAAGACGCTAAGTAATTTGTGAAGTTGGTTTACAGGTACCAGTTCCATAATCTAGAACCGGTTCCTGACATCAACGGTCGGGTTCTAGTTCCCTACCATAGGTATGGGAGTTGGATTCAAAAAGCTCCCCATTCCTTTGCCATCTCCAATCCCCCCTGTGTATGCATAGTGAGGCTTTACTGTAGTATTAAAAAGTCAGCATTGAAATAAACTTCAACTCTGTGATTTCAATCCTCATATTGGCTTGCACCACAGCTGCTTTGATATTAGATAACAAGTGAAATATGTATCAGAATGGCATACATATCAGTAGATTTCCATTAAATTACACAAAATGCTTGCGGGCATTGCACAGATAAAATCCATGTATTGCCAATGGGGTCAATTAATCTCATTGATTTTCTTTTCTTTTCATTTTTTTAATTGTATTTTTGTTCTACAATATTTTTTACAGAGTCAACCCCCCCCCCCCAAAAAAAATGGGGGGATGAACAAATTTCAAATGAGATTTGAGACGTCGTAATGTGGAGAGTACAATTTGGGAGAAGTTTTGGATACACTTTTTACGAACACACACCATCATTATATCTGTAACCTCCCAAGAAACCCTTTTACGAACCATCATTTTTGTTAAAATTACAAGTTAAGGCCAAAAAAAAAAATAAGTCGGTCTCTGGTCAGCGCGCGCGTCGATTTTAAGCATGCGCGTCGATCTTTTTTTTTCCAAAATGTTCCGCGGTAACTCCAACAGCGCCCTCTATTTCCGCACCTCCTCAATTTTTTTTACCAAAGAGCACCAAGGAATGGGAAATTGCACCAAGGCAAATGATCGAAAGCACCAAGGCAAATTATGGAGGCCACCAATGTACACGAGGACACCAAAAAAGCAAAATAGTACCCACCTTGTCTGTACAATCCAAGCTGAAGCAAAAAAAAAAAAAAGGAAAAAAAAAAAAAAAGCCGCGTGGCCGCGTCAATTCCGGAACTTCGGTCTGACCAGAGACCGAATATATATTTTTTTTGGCCTAATGTGGTGAATTTTTCTTTTTCTTTCGATAACAGGCCATGTGTATTCAGCAATTGGAGACTATCCTAATGCCCTGGCCAGCCACAAACAGTGTGTACTCCTAGCCAAGCAACTCAATGACAAACACTTTGAGGCGCGAGAAGTTGGCAATGTAGGAGCTGTCTATCTGGCCCTGGGCGAGTTTGACAATGCTCTGGAATGCCACAAGGAGCATCTGGAGATCGCAAAGCAGTTGGACAATCACAACGAGGAAGCTCGGGCTTACAGCAATCTGGGCAGTGCTTATCATTACAAGAGCGACTATGAGAAAGCGGCTGAGTTTCACGACAAGGTGCTGGTTATTGCAAAGAATTCACAGGATCGAACTGTGGAGGCTAGGGCTTACGCCGGGCTGGGACATGCAGCACGGTGTAGCGGAGACCTGGAAAAGTCTAAATACTGCCACGAGCAACAGTTGAACATTGCCCTGAGCACCAAGGATAAAACAATGGAAGGGAGAGCGTGCTCCAATCTTGGTATCATCCATCAGTCGCAGGGGCAGTTCGAAACCGCCCTCAAGCTTCATAAAGCACACCTGATGATCGTAACGGAACTCAACGACCGTACGGGTCAGGGAAGGGCGTACGGTAACATGGGTAATGCTTACAGCGCCCTCGGACAACCCGAGCAGGCAGTCAAATACCATAAGCAGGAACTTGTGATATCCCGTGAGGTGAATGACAGAGCTTCGGAAGCCTGTACGCATGGAAACCTAGCTGTCGCTTATCAGGCACTGGGAATGCATGAGAAGGCACAGGAGCATTATCTAAGCCATTCCAAGATCGCTGGTGAACTCAAAGACAAAGTCAGCGAAGCTCGTGCACTCAGCAACTTAGGAAACTATCACAGTTCCCGGGGAGAGTTCAGACAGGCTTTGCCTTACTACGAGCAGTATCTGAAACTCACAAGGGGTCTGAATGACCCGTTAGGCCAAGGCAAGGCTTATCATAACTTGGGCTATGCTCACTACTCACTGGGTAACTACAAAGAGGCTGTTCATTTCTACGAGAAGGACTTGGTTCTGGCAAGAGACCAGAAGGATAAAGTGAACTTGGGTAGGGCCTACTGCAATCTTGGCCTGGCTTACAGAACGTTGGGCAATTACAAACGAGCTAGTGAGTGCCAGAAGTGCTTTTTAACAATCGCGCATCACATGAAGAATGCTGGAGGCAAATTCCGAGCTCTGGGTAACCTCGGCGATATATGCATGGCTCAGAAAGACACGGACGGCGCTATTAAGTTTTACGAGCAGCAGCTGCAGCTGGCAAAGCAAGTCAGTAATAAGACGCTAGAAGCATGTGCGTATGGTGCTCTTGGCTCAGCCTATCGAAAGATTAAGATCTACGATAAGGCTTTAGCGTATCACACACAAGAGCTACAGTTGTGCGAGGAGATGAACGATTTGAAAGGTGAATGTAAGGCTCACAGTCACCTGGGTGCTGTCCATACGTCATTAGGGAAATACTTGGATGCCTTCAAATGTTACGAGGAGCAACTAAAACGTGCTAATGAGCTTCGAGACAGTGCTCTTCAAGCTCAAGCTTTTGGAAACTTAGGCATCTCCAAGATGAACATGAACCTCTTTGAGGATGCTCTTGGATACTTTGAGGAGCAACTTGCTACCTTGGAGCAGCTTGTTGGCAATAGTGTCTTGAATGACAGGGGACGGGCTTTTGGTAATCTCGCAGAATGCTATGAAGCATTAGGAGATTATGATGAAGCTGTGAGGAACTATGACCAATACCTCGCCATTGCGCAAAAAGTCAAGAATGCCAAGGAACAGGATAGGGCCTACCGTGGATTGGGTAACGTGCACCGAGCCATGGGCAATCTACAGCAGGCCTTGTTTTGCTTTGAAAAGCGTCTGGTTGTAGCGCACGAGACTGAGGACGAGTCCACCCAGGCCTCAGCATATGGTGAGCTTGGCTGCCTGCACAGCATCATGGGGAACTTCGAACAAGCTATCTCCTGCTTGGAGAACCAGTTGAAGATTGCTCAAGAGATGCGTGATAAATCAGGACAAGCAGATGCAGCCTGCGGGCTTGGAGGTGTCTACCAGCAAATGGGTGAATATGAAAAGGCCTTGGAGTTCCATCAGATGGATCTGAACATTGCAGAGGAGACTGAGAATCTATCCTGTCAGGGCAGAGCATTTGGAAACCTCGGGGTGACTCATGAGTCTCTTGGTAACTACCAAAAGGCTATCATGTACCAGGAGCAACATCTCAGCATCGCTGCTCAAGTCAATGACCGAGTTGCCAAAGCTCTGGCGTACAGCAGTCTCGGCCGCGTCCACCACGCCCTGGGAAACTTCTCTCAAGCTGTAGCCTACCTGACCCAGGGCCTTCAGATTGCTGATCAGCTCGGCAGGAAGGAAGATGAAGCTAAGATCAGACATCGTCTGGGTCTGGCTCAGTGGTCCAACGGAAATTTAGATGAGGCACAGCGGCAGCTCTACCGCGCAGCTGACCTCTTCGAGTCCATCTGGAGGGAGACTCAAGTAGGAAGCGAGTACAAGATCTCACTTCTGGAGTCTCAATCAGCCTCCTACCAATCACTACAGAAGGTCCTCGTTGCGATGGACAGGCAAGATGAAGCCTTAGCCGTAGCTGAGAGGAGTCGAACCAGAGCCTTTGTGGACCTTCTCCTTGGTCGACAATCTGGAGATGGTTCTGATCCTGTTGATGTGATGGATACTGTCCTGATGACGGTTGATGAGATCTTGGAGCTAGTCAGTATGCAGAATGCTAATGTGCTGTATTACTCCATAGCATCTGGACATCTATACAGCTGGCTGATCACACCAGCAGATGGTACGTGAATATTTTGTAAATCTTAGCTTAGTAAAATGTAATTGCCTATCTACCTGCATCAACAACTATCTCTATTCTTTGTATTTACCTTTTATCTGTTGTTTTCCTTCTTTTTCATTACTGTTCCCTTGTCATTTTGCTATTGAAAAAGATTCTACGCAGTGAGTATGTAAGGTACCATATAAAGAGAAAACCAGATCATGTAAAAAAAAGTTAAAATTATCAGTTCAGTATATAACAGATCATATTTGTTTTGTCGCATTGTTGTTTTGTGGAGGCAAACAACGAGAACAGCATGAATTATTTGATGCCAAAGAACCTAGTGCCTCAATGAGTAGCATTAATTAGAATTGTGAATTCTTCTCAAACAGGTATTCTCAAGTTCCATGATTGCAATCTGAATCAGCTTGACAAGTCCATGGAGGAAGACGATGCATCAACCTGCTCCGAGTCCACCCTGACAAACAGCGCCCTCAATGTAACGACATCAGCGCACCTCGACCAGTGCATTATGCATGCCAGGGAGGCATTAGGCGTGGACGCTCAGCACAGCACATACCGCAGTGCCGGCGACATCACCAGCGAGACAGAGAGTGAAGCGGATGAGCTCCTACAGCAGCACCTGGAAGAGCTGAACGCCAAACTGATTGTTGGTGGCAGCGGTGGGATTGACATCAACAACCAGCATCTGAGACTCACTAACCGCAACCATGCTGTCAACAGCAGTGCACGCAGCATGGCCAGCATGATGAGTCAGCTTAGCCTGAACGGTAGCATTATGAGCAACTCGTCTTTAGTCAACGCTGTCTCGAGCAAGTCTGTCAAACAGAAGCAGCTGAAGTCTTGGTCAGGTAGACCACCACTGAGAGTCCTCTATGACCTCCTTATAGCTCCTATGGAGGATGTACTACCACAACCAAATGGGCCCAATACCCCTGCTACTGATTTGGTATTGGTATTGGAAGGTAAGCTAACGTACCAAAAGTCCATTTGTTAATATTGGTTTTGCCATTCATAGAAAAAAGCTTGACGAATACATCTAAACAAATTTTATTACATCTTGCCAGCTTTTCACCTGATTTTGTTTTAATTTTGTTACAAGTTCCTTGCCTGTTTTTCTAATTTTGTGATATTTTCAAAAATATACAATTGTCAGTTAAAAGATTTCGTTGTTAAGGGTTTGAGGTTTTGTGGAATGTTTCTTTTCAAAAGAATGAAGATATCCATTCAAAATAGATACTTTAATAATTTATTTCTTACCCTTCCACTATTTTCAAAGAGCTCCCCGTTTCATCAGTCATTCCTGAACTTGTAAACATTTTGTAATGAGTAGGTGTATTAATAGTTTTTAACAACACGCAGAGAAAAAGAACTACCAAGTTATGTTTAGGAGAATTGCATAATATCTCATGATGGTAGAAATTTTTTTTTTTTGAGAATCATCTCTCAGTTCCTGCTCCTTCATTTTGCAGGTGATTTGTACCTAGTCCCGTTTCCAGTCCTGAAAGGTACCTCAATGACAGAGTGTCTCCAGGAGAGGTTCAACCTGCGTGTTGTGCCGTCACTGAGGGCGCTCAACACTAATCGTTACTGGGAACAACGCGCGACATCCAACAGCGGCATGGTCCCAGCGGTGGTGGTGGCCAATCCTGAGATGCCTCTCAGTGTGACAGAGAGATGGGGATGGGGTAATCTGCCTAACGCTGAGCAGGTCAGTACAGTGTTCCAAGAGGTCAGCTAGGTTAATTACAAAAGCAGTCTCTAAATTTGTCTGTGTTAAGTCTTTAGAAGTCTAAAGATTTGTATAGAGTCTAGAAAAGCTCACCTAGTCAATTATTTGGGTGAAATTTCTTGAAATGTTTCAGTTTTAAGAACAACTATTGCTCATAATTTTTTTCTTTGCTACTCTAAAATGAGATAAAAGCCAGTTATAAATAGCATTTATCACGTCATTTTTGCTTGTTATCTGGATGTTGAAGCTGTTTGACATTAACTCCTGTTCTCAAAAGTCCTGAAACATCCATCCAAAGCAGAAACAAATTGTAAATATGAAAATCCTCCAATTGTGTCCGGTTTGATTTGATTTCCAGGAGGCTCATCTGATATCAGAGATCATGGGAGTCACGCCCTTGACAGGCCCATCAGCCACAAAGGAAGCTCTACGCAAGTCCATCGCCAACGCCGAGTGTCTTCACTTTGCCACGTCGGTGTCTTGGAAACTCTCCGCTCTGATTCTGTCACCTGGACATATACCACAGAAGAAGGGGCCACCATCGCCTGTCAGACAGCGAAGCATATCACCTACCAATGGGTAAGTAGATTGGTGATCTCTAATGATAGAGAGTCTGGTTCGTTAGAGTGTCTTGACCTGATAGACAGTGACGAGAGTGATCTAGACACTAACCCAGACACCCCAGGTCTTTCAGAGTTCCTCCTAACAACTTGCATTGCTTCTTCTGTTGATAGAGAGTCTGGTGCCTTAGAGCATCTAGACCTGACAGACAGAGAAGAGTGTGATCCAGACAGTAACCCAGACACCCCAGCTCTCTCATAGATCCTCCTGTTTGTATTGTTTCCCCTGTTGCTAGAGAGTCTGGTGCCTTAGAGCATCTAGACCTGACAGACAGCGAAGAGAGTGATCTAGCCAGTAACCCAGACACCCCATCCCTCTCCAAGTTTCTCCTAACCGCTTGTATTGTTTTCTCTTTTGATAGAGAGTCTGGTGCCTTGGAGCATCTAGACCTGACAGACAGCGAAGAGAGTGATCTAGACAGTAACCCAGACACCCCAGCACTCTCCGAGTTCCTTCTAACGGCTGCAGACATCCTAGACCTCCAACTGACTGCTAAGCTAGTCATCCTGTCTTGCTATGCCAGCGAGACACGCTCAGGCCGCATCACAGCTGATGGCATCGTAGGCTTGGCCAGGGCCTTCCTGGCGGCCGGTGCCCAGAGTGTGTTGGTTCCCCTGTGGTATGTCCCTGAGCCAGCTAATAAGATCTTCATGAAGGGATTGTATGAGAGTCTCCTACTGGGCACCAAGGCGAGTGTGGCAGTTGGTAATGCCATGCGAAGTGTACAGGTAAGGAGTTTTCTGAATGGAATCTTAGAATTAAAACTAGGCAGTCTTAAAGGCTGTCTCTGTCAATTTCATTATTCACATAACAAAATGTTCTAATGTCCTGGGGTGCGTTTTGGCGGTCATAACCAAGAATTGGTTCGGTGGTTTCTCTTTGGTTAATTGTTTTGGGGATTTGAGTACTACATGATCACGCGTAATTCTAACCCAATTAAAATTGCTGAAGAAATTCACCGACAAGAAACCACCGAACCAATTCTTGGTTATGACCGCCAAAACGCACCCCTGAATGTAGATTTTCAGTGATTATGTAGTTATTGAATGGAATCTTTGTAAAAAAAAATAGAGGTTAAAAGAGTTCCCAAATGTAAATTAAAAAATTGAAGAATAAACACAGTTGAGGTTTAACTTTTAACCTTTGGCCTTTTGACCTGTGGCCCAGGTTTCTATCAGAGTTCTCCTTACCTTTTATCCTTTTTAACTTTGACCTTTTGACCTATGACCCAGGGGTTCAAGCAGTTTGCTCATCCATCCAATTGGTCCGGCTTCATGCTTCTTGGCTGTGACGTCAGATTGAGTAATAAGAGCGCCATGTTTGGAAATGCTATCGGAGATCTCCTGACTACGCCTACAAAGTGTCGAGAAGCACTCAGAGTGCTGCTACATCTGGTGAGTACTGTTTATTCTTTAAAGGTATATGGATACCATTTGCAAAAATATCTGTTTTGACGATTCAAAGAACAATACAATAAGTCTGAAGCAGGTTATTAAAAAAAACTAACTTGTTGAAATTTCAGCTCAATATACATGCTTTTTGAGACAAACTGTGAAAATGCAACATTGCTTTTCTCAAAGCAAAGCATTGGTTTCAGTTTGAAAGCGCGATGGTTTGGTCTGAACCATCGCAAGGAAATGATGGTAATTCCTCTCCTCTCGGAACAACAGTGTACTAGACGCAGCGATTTCCTCGAATGCACGATGCTATTATTTGCTTACAATCAAGTAGAATATTTCTTGATATCTTGACAGTTTCATCATTGAAGTTTGGAGATGCTGTCCATCACCTTTAAATTGATAGCTGGTCAGCTCATTTTGCCAGACTTGAAAATTCGCTGTGACCCACATAGCAGCTAAATATTGCTCAGCTATCTTCTTGTAAAGCAAATGTCAGTTGGTACTGGTCACAAGAATATATATCATGTGCTATGCTACCTTGTATCCTACTTTGGCTAAGCCAAATTTTTCTGTACTTAGTAAATTTTTCACAGTAAGCAGCCCCATTAAACTGGGCGGGGTGCCGGGGGGGGGGGGGGGGGGGCTAATATCAAATAAATGCTTGGCACAAATTGCTGAGAGTTAAAAATTACTTAGAAATCCAGAATGCCATTTCAGAACTAAATTCAGTTAGTTCTCACTCGTTTTATGTTCAGGACAAGTTTGAAAGCACCAAGAAATCAGGATGTAACAGTTTTTTGACAACTCTTTCTGTGCTTTGTGATTGGTCCCCAATTCAGATTGAGAAGTCCCTTCAGCGCATCCACCGTGGTCCCAAGAACCCCATCTACACCACCCAGCAGAGCATCTTAAAGAAGGTGGGACCTGTCCGTGGATGGCAGGAGCTCCTGAAGGCCGTGGGTTTCCGCTTCGAGGAGCAGCCAGCTAAGGGTATCCCTCCGTCGGTCTTCTTCCCGTTGTCTGATCCTGGGGAGAGGTTGCTACAAGCTAGCGCGAGCCTGCAGGCGTTACTGGGTAAGATAAAGACAAGACCTACTGGTATCTTGATGATTGATTACTTATGTTTGCAGAGGGGGGAAAATGACCAGCATAGGGGTGTGCATTTACGGGTAATATGGGAACTGGGTACCCGATTGAAAAAAAAATATGGGTACTCAGGTACCCGTTAAAGAAGCTCAACCCTAAAATTCAAATCTCGGAAGTTGCTGTTCAGTTTTTTCATGAAGGTCCACAAGATAATTCTACCACATTGGTGTATCAATACAGCAAGATACAAGTGTGAGCAGTGAGCTCTATAGCTTTATGGTGAAAAATAATGTGTTTGTTTTCCCATGTAGCCTGGCTTTTTTGGAAATTCATCACAAATGACATTCACAACCCTTCTTTTTCATTGTCTGAGATGCTACTAAGTTATTTGTAAAGTTGGTTCCATAATCTGGAACCGGTTCCTGACATCAACGGTCGGGTACTTGGGTACCCGGTTTCGATGCACAGCCCTAGACCAGTACAATGTATCAAATGTGGTTATGATGTGCATGTGGTGTTATTATTTAATCTCAAAAAAGGTTACAAAGAGAAGCGGTCATCTGTCATTGTAAATTTAGAAATACATCAAAGAATTCAGATCACTAACTTTGGATCCCTTTTGTGCTCCAGGAACAAAGCTAAAGTTTAGAGTTTGTCAATTTTTCAAGGCTTTAGAAATTGCCCATGAAAGACCGTCTAACTAAAAACGGCAGGTTTTTTTTTCTGTGCGTATGTTTTCTGCATTGTGCCAATACCAAAAGCCGTAGCTAAAATAAATCTTGAAGCAGAATTACTCCACTCTCCTGAAGACGGTCAGAGCATACTGCCCGGAATGCCGAGTTTATACCTCTGGTTCTTTTCAGAACCGTTCTCTTAGTTGAGAAATTATTCACACATGGTGTTTCCGCAAACCTTTCACTCATTAGTATCTTCACCATGCAAAGCCTCAAATCTTACTTACTCCACATCATGTTTGGTCCCCACTTTCTTGAAACCCACCCAAGTGTTTTTCGATGGCGGTTTGGTCAATTTATCGTTGCATAATGGTTGTTGACATAATTGTTTACATTGTGTTGTCACTTTTGTTTTGATGCTTCACAGGTTTGTCTCAGAATACACTGATTGCTTTGTCTAAGCTGCTTTCATTCTCCGATGCTGCTCAAGAAATCATTATCATGGTGAGTAGTCAGTCTTCTTAACCCAATTGAAGGTTTTGTTTTGAAATAGTTTGGTACTTCAATACTTGGTACTTGGTTGTTTTCCTCCAGAAAACTTCTACAAGGGAATATGACTATGGAGGTATGGACCTTGCAATCTGTGGAACATCTATAAAGAGTTTTAGTGTCCTTGCTTGGAATAAACCTTGTTTAAATTTGTATGGACCAATCTGATCACGCTAACAATTCTATCACGGAGGCCCCCATCAATGGCGAAAGCATTGTGCTAGCTATTGTTCAGATAATCCAGGGCAGTCGCTTTGTACAATGGTAAGGGGGCCTCATGAGAGTACAGTGATCATGTTCCCATATTCATCTGTTGATCACACAGGATATTGCAATTTAGATGGTGTAAATATCGATTTAGTTTTTCTGTAGTATTTTGTAATATATCTTTTATCATGTGTGTTCAGCCAAATGTTTCACACTGCACACTATGATCATCTTCAGGGCAATGTTACAAATTTCTGTGTATTTTATTCGTTCCAAATCCAAGCTCTACTGTGAAATCCCTTTTTAAGTCTCAAAAATACTCATTAAACCCTGGACAAGCTGGGCACTCAATCCAAATCCAAGTTTTAAACAAATGGCATCTTTCCTCGACAGCTGCGTATAATGATCAGTCGGGTGCATCAAATGAAAAAGTCTAGTGTCCGGACTCAAGGCAGTGAATCTGTCGATAGCGTTAATATACCCAACCAAGTACAGTCACCACGGACCATGGAGCATCAAATGGTAGATGAATAGTGTGACTGCACAAAGTTCACCCACCTTCAGATTAGTCCATGGTCACTATTGCGTTGATTTGGTGTGGTTTGGAAGTTTCGCACAGATTTTTATATTTTTTTTAAATCTGATTAACTCTTTCAGTATGATATACTTGATGCATAGTAGACCTGGAGTTGTATTTTCAGCACTTGTGAGCTTAAACCACTAAAAAACAAAACAAAAAAAGTCTGGCATTTTCACAGCATTTTCTACATCAGTGTATGTATATTCCATTTCGTGCATTAAAGAACACTTGAACATTTGGTTGATAACATTTGGTTGATAATGTTCACGGTGATGCAGAATAAGGACATTAATTTGCTGTGCATTTGCAGTGTCAGTAAGACCCCCTTTACACAGGGCTGCGACCTTTGGGCCTCCCTTGTGCGACCATAAAACTGGCCAGGTCGCCGTTGGAGGCTCAAAGGAGGCCGAATGGTTGCCTAGGTCGTTCAAAGGTGGTACACAGGATGTTCAGACATCGCCACGGACGCCATGGTCGCTGTAAATATTTGTTCAAAACAGTCGCCCAAAGGTCGCCAAGGAGGTTGGTTGCTCAAAGGTGGCTCAAATGAGGCAGAAGGGAGGCACAAGCATTGCCGTGGTTGCAGAATGGATGCACAATGGTCGGCCAATGGTCGCCACGTAATACATCCGTTCTGTTGCAAATTTTACCGTCAATCTGGGCGATGCTTCTGCCTCCCTTGTGCCTCAAGGGTCGCCTAGGAGGCAGAAGCATGGCTGAATGGTCGACCAGTGATCGCCGTTAGTTGCCGTTGGTCGCCGATGATGGCACAGAGGAGCCTCAATGGTTGCCCAACCTGATCCCCACAAGTTGCTCCGTGGACAGCAAACCCTCACTGCACACTTTCTCCCACGTTCACCGTTTGACACGTTTTCATCGCGCTCATTCTGAATTCTTGTTTTCAAATTCACAGCTCCAGCAAGTTGTGGCTAAGTACACACGAGACAGAGAGGGCGCTATTCAGGTCCCTGTCAACGTGAAGCTGTGGAGAACACCGGGCTGTCATGAGTTACTAGCTTCACTTGGTAAGGACTGTCAAAGACAAATGGACGCAATTGACATTGTCACTGGTACCTATTGTATGTCTGATTCAGATGTTTGTAACAAACCACAAAAATATAGTGATGGTGTACAAGAACATAAACAGAGACATGCCTTGTTTATGTAGAGAAGATTTCAGTTAAAATCGTCATCTCAATTTCTCTTGAAGACATTGATCCTCATACAGTTCATTAAAATATATTGAAAAGTGACTTTTTAAACCTTGTTTCCCCAAGTTATGAATGTCTTTGAGTCTTTATTCATGAGGGTGTAAGTGCTAAGATAACTCGGGATTGGTCAGTTAAGTGCTTGGGCACCGGCACTATTCTGAAAACTTGCTTGAAGTCCTGCTTTATACGTCATTTGGTTCCTTTGTTGATCATCATATTTTCTCTCGTTATCTCGTCAGGTTTTGACTTGATTGACGTAGGCAAGGAAGAGGTGCTACTAATCACCGGCAAGCAAGTCAGTCGACGCATGCTGCACTACACACTGCAAGCTCTGCTTGCAATATTCGGTCAGTTCACATTGAATTCACTTGCGTAACTTAAAGTATGTCTGATTTGAAATTGACCAAAAATGGTTGTTGAACATTTCAGATATTGAACATTTACACTATGCTCTGTCATTGGATGTTTGAGGAGTTGCCAGTTTATTTAATGCTCAAAGTGAAAATGGTTTGAACATTGAGTTATCTTAAGACAACAAGCAATTGTTTTTAAATTCCACTGCACTTTTTTGTACTTAAGATGAATGTGAATCATCAAGTAAAGTTACAAAGTTGCAGCATGGCTTTTTAACATACCTTATTTAGTGGTTGGGGAAAAACAAGTTCTTCAATATTTCTACTTTAAAATATCAACCCTCCAAACGTTTGTGTCTATTCAAGTCAAGTACATTACAAATTGGAGAAAATGAAGTTCCTTTCTATTTTGTGATAACTTCTTCACACATATTTCCTCCCCAGAAGCAATAGTTAATGATTTGCTTGTTTTCTAGGACTATTGTCATTGAAATAGCACTAATAGACTCTATTACCTATTCTGTCTTCAGATCCCGCTGCTGCACCCAAATCTCTACCATTAGAGAGCTTCTCTTCCATGGAGAGTCTCTGCTCCTCCCAGTCAGGAGCATCCGGGATGTCCCTCTCTGCCGTCTCCGCATCCTCCCTCGTCTCCTGCCACTCACTGAAATCCAACGCAGACATGTCCCAGCCCGTCGAGATCTCCCTTGGCAAGAGCCACAAGAGAGGAAAGCGACGCAACAATCGGCAGTTTGGAGTGACGTCTACGCCCATCTCTGCTGAGATGACACGGAGCGGCTTTGCCTACTCTGGGCAGAACTCCTACGCCTCGTTAGTTGCTGTTGGGATCTCGCCGGTTGCACGGAACACCCAGGGTGTCAGCCCTGCTCCTTCATCTGGATCTTCAGAATCAAACCCACCAATGTCAAGTCCCACCACCGTAGGACCAACTCTTGGAGGTGTCAGGAATCAAACGCCTTCTCGTCAAGAGATCCCAGATGCAAGTCTCTTCTCAGCTGACGGCGATCTGACAATGGCTCCCGAGGTCCTGGCATTGCTGAACAGTCTTAACAATGACCCAGATGATACGATGGTCCACCAAGACGGGTTTGTGAACTCCTCCAACAGGGAGAGTCCTCTCTTATCATCCTCGTCATCCAGGACCAAGAGATCTTCCAGTTCTCGAGAGTCACTCCTCGGAAGCCAGGACTCTCTCTCCATGGGAATGGTGAATCCTGCTTTTGTGGATGATACAGTGGAGTTCATAACGAGATCCATTCCCATGTCATCCTCATCCAGTATTGATGTGAGATACAACCGCGGTAGCAACGGTGTAAACAGCAACAACACTGAGCATAATAAACCCAGGAGGGATTCGAACCAATCACGATCAAGATCTGTGTCTCCAGGTGATGTCTTCTTGCCTGATACAACATCTCCAAAGTGTAGCTTGTACGCAGGCTCTCCCAGACAAAGCCCTGCGAGATTAGAACCAGGCGTTACAAGTCCTCCTAGAGGAGGCAGCCCAAGCGCTAAGCTATTACGTCGCACTAGTCGCTCATCACCAGCTCCGTCACACTCAGACCACGGATCTGAATCCAGAGGTACGCCATCGCCTCACGAGGCCATCGCCATGAAGGTCCTGCAGGACACTATTAAGCACATGAGTGCCGTGGAAAGCATGCAGAGGTTTACACGGATGAAACAAGGAAGGCCACAGCCACCGAGCCAAACGGCTGAGGCTGTGGCTACAACACAGACTGAGACATCCAATGAACAAGGAACCAGAGGACCCTGGAAGGTTGTCGATCGCAAGGAAAGTCCCGTGAGGGCACTGTTCACAAGTTCTACCACCGAAACCCCACCAGGACGCTCCCACCAAGTCTCTCAACATCACCCTGATCAGGGGTTCTCTAACAGAAGGCAGTCAAGCCCAACTGGTAGGAAGCATTCATCAGCTCAACCAAAACCAAGTACAATGGTAAACGGTACCCGTGGAAGTAGCCCCCACCTTAACCACAATACCCCACCTCCTCAGAGTACCACCAATCGACTAGAAGCCATCAACGCTCAGAGAATCCGATCCTTAAAAACTGGAAGCACACAAGATGAAAGTTTTGATGCTTCACGCCCATCCCAAGGGTCATATAACATTCCCAGAGAGAGAACGCCTTCCTCAAGCTCGACCTCCAACACATCCACCTTGCCTCATACCAGACCCATCCAGTACATCCCACCTTCTGACGACTACAAACCCCAAGTCAACTCCAATCTGAACTCATCCTATTCCAATTCTAATCACGTCAAGTCGTACCCGGTAACAAACTCGGTGCCTCTTGATGTGAGGCCCAAACCACACCCAAAGGGCAATTCAGTCAGGACTTTTACCCCCGATAGTCAGGAGCGAATATCAGCTAGCCAATCGTCCGCTTACTATCTGAACCGGCCGGATAGTTCCCAGAGCTCCACTGGTAGCATCTACTCCTCGACTTCCTCCATTCCTAGTGTGATTCACATGCAGACTGCCAATAGTCCCCACCATGAGGGCACTGTTCACCCCCAGACAGCAAACCACATCGGTCACAACCACACCAATCATGTCAATCAGCAAACCTCCAATCCCGGGGTTCAGCCAGCCAGTAAGGTACAAGGACAGCAGGTGAACGGTGGGATAGGTGCTAAGGTACCTAGAAGCAGGGTAGCCAGCGGTGAGGGAACTCAGAAGGTCACTAAGAAGGTTTACCATTCCTCGCCATGTTGAGTGGGTTACAGAGTTGTAGTCGAGTCCATCACAAGTCAAATCTCAAACTGATTCCAATCTGTAGTCCATCACAAGTCAAATCTCAAACCAATTGCATGTCAAGTCACAAGCCAAATTGCAAGTCCATCATAAGTCAAATCACAAGCCAAAAATTGCAAGTCCATCACAAGCCAAATCTCAAGTCCATCACAAGTAAAATCTCAAACCAATTGCATGTCGAGTCACAAGCCAAATTGCAAGTCCATCATAAGTCAAATCACAAGCCAAAAATTGCAAGTCCATCACAAGCCAAATCTCAAGTCCATCACAAGTCAAATCTCAAACCAATTGCATGTCGAGTCACAAGCCAAATTGCAAGTCTATCATAAGTCAAATCACAAGCCAAATCGCAAGTCCCTCACAAGTCAAATCACAAGCCAAATCTCAGGTCCATCACAAGTCAAATCACAAGCCAAATTACAAGTCCATCACAAGTCAAATCACAAGCCAAATCGCACATCCATCACAAGTCAAATCGCAGGTCCATCACAAGTCAAATCACAAGCCAAATCGCAGGTCCTTCACAAGTCAAATCACAAGCCCAAGTCCATCAAGTCAAATCCATCAAGTCCATCACAAGTCAAGTCACAAGGTCACAAGTAATGGTGGATAACAAATGACAGAGGATTGCACTTGACTTGAGGCTCAAGGACTTGGATTGACTTGTCGTTGTTTTGTGATGATTTGTCGTGACATGTTATGGACGTGGGGTGGCCTTGACTACAAACTCAGCACCGTGGCAGTATTTTAACAATCATTCCATTCCGAGGAATCCACCGGACTTGATATATTTCAATTTTTTATGTATAATTTAGTGGACATTAAAATGAATCTCGTAATGTTAAAAATAGATCCATCATGACTTCCAAGTAAGACCACCAACAATAATAACTGATTTCCCATAAAGAACTTTTGCACATTATGATTATTTTTATTTTTTTTTTCAAGTTATTTGTTTCCGATACCTTGAAAGAGATTAGGAACTACCATTTGAGTGTATTTGTTTTCTACCAGAATTAAAATATTAAATATTACCCTAAATATTAAATTTTGTTTTGGCAGGTATCTGTGCTTCCACCATAAATGGCTGATTTCATCAACTCAGTTATTTGATGTTTGTTTACATTTTGTAAAAATATAATATTGTCTGTATATCCGAGATGCGACCATTTTTTTTCCAGTTCAGCCACAGTAGTTTCAAAAAATACTCACTGCTTATTTTTCGCAAGACAGAAGTTTTTTGTCACCAGAAATTACCGCGAGCTTTTCTTGGGCAACTTTTATAGCATTTTCACCCATTTTAATACATATTTTCTCCCTTCGAGAAGCAGGCACGAAGTGAATTGGGATAGCAAACATGTTTCTGATTGTCAAGTACAATTATTCTCATTTTCTACTGTGCAGAATCATGTTTTCGATTTAATGAAACAACGAACTAAAATCACCATATTTTTGACAAGGTTGACAATTTTGTTTCAACCTGATCATTTATAATCACCTGCACATAATGATTTTATCACACTTTTTTTTTGACCACGTGAACACCGTATTAAAAAAGTGGGCCCACCTTTATTTGTTACAGTGTGTTAGTGAAAGTATTCTGTCCAATTTTTCATACGACAGAATTGTTTTATCGCACATGTATTCTTGCTTTTTGATATATACACACGATTACCAAAACAAATTGGTAGGCTGTATTGAAAAAAATTGCACAATTAAGCACCATTTTGAAATATTACTCTATGCTGAACATGACCTCTATTGGTCAGAAATTTCGGATCCTGTTTTTGATCACATTCCCTCTATTTGTGTAATCAATTAATTACACAAATAAATTCCTTCTTTTGCCAAGAAGTGTATTCTTGTGCACAAAAAAAGCGTCTTCCCTGCTTTTTTTTGGTTTTACTTGTACAAATAAAATTATTCTTTGTATTATATATTTATGAATCTTTCACCAGCGTTATGTATAAGCTATACATATATATCAAGGCTTTTTGAAAGGCAGTGTTGTGTAATATTTTGCTGTTTTTTCATTATTGATAACAAATTTTTGTTAATACATGTAAGTGTATGTCATACAGCAAGTGAATCATGTTGTATCTGCTTCTTGTATTGTGAAATAAAAACAAGACAAATTAATTTCGAATATTTGTTTCTTTACAAGTTACTCCAGTTTTTGGTCAATCATTCAATTTTTTGCCAAATTTATGAACAATTTTATTATGGTCCTTTTTCACTACCAATCATATTAATTCAGGGGCTAACATGGCCAAAATTTATTCGATTCTAAGGTTGGACACACTTTTATGTTTTTGGCCACAATCACAGTTTAATACAGGTTTTCCCGGCCAATTTCCTGCAGTGTTTATTCACTTCTGAAAATTGGTCATTCAATTTCGCCTGAATATGATTGCACATCTTTAATTCCATTTCAATTCAACAAAAGTTCAATCGTTTTCATTGTCCGTGCATTCGGTTTTGAGAAACAGATGGCCAATTACATTACCTGCGCATTCATTTACGCAAGCATACGTTTTTGCGCAGAGTTCTGGAATACAATTCCGTGAATGTGCAATCAAAAGTACGTTTTTCTCATTCAAAATAGCAGATTGCGTCACATAACATTCAACTAAAAGTGAAATAGAATAGCCAATGTTTGAAATCCGCCCTTTAAAAGCAAAAAGAAGCTGAATGAGCATAAACGAAAGGTGCTGCTCAATCACTTAATTGATTGAACTGAAATGGAATTGAATGCTGTGGTAACGAAATGAAACGCGTGTTCAGAGCGATTCTCAAATTCGGACGAAAATGAATGACCGCTTCTCAGAAGTGAATGAACATTTTAGGACAATTGACCGGGAAAACCTATAATAACCATTGACATATTTGGGTTGGTCAAATGGAATTTCAAATAATCCGAGGTTTACCACTTATAGGTTTTCAACACAAAAACGGGTTTTTTTATTTGCTCAAAATTAACAAGTGTTGGGGTGTTAACCTTATATTTCTCATTTTCATAATAAATCAATAATTAATCTTGATTTGAAATTTTAAAAAAATAATCTAAGGGTATAAACTAAATAATTTCACAAAAGTTCAAAAGTTGTACTTCAAATATCTAATGTACATCAATTCTCTGGGAAAGTCAACAATTAAAATTGAAAATTCACTCCAAATTAACAGGACCAAGTCTTAACCCTGAAATAACCCAAAGCCACCTTGGATAATGCCCTTTGTTTATTGAAATTAAAAAGGCCAATTTGAATATTTTCACCATTTAAAAAAAAAAAATGAAAAATGAAAACTGACAATAGTTGAAACAAGTAGGATGTGTTCTCAACGAACACGAATTAACATTTTGAACAACAGAAATTGCTTATGAACCAAATAAATACATACAAGTTGATGTCCTAAGCCTGATGACCTTAAAATAATAATTTTAAAAGCAAAACAAGGAAAAGTTACAAACGTGTCTTTATCCTGATGTAAAAATGTGCTCTGCCACCAAACAATAAGAATGAAGAAATTAAGGCAACAAAGAAACTAAAATTGACTGAAAATTTGGAAAATGACAAATAACAGGAGTCTAGACTCACAAAGACAGACACAGCTGAGCTCCTTTGTCACGTTAAGTACATCAAGACCACAAATTTCAGGCCAATTACAATTTTGGGAAGACACAAAATGAAAATCTACATTTTAAAATGTTCCTGATATATTGGGGAATTTCAAACAGCTTTTTAAAGACGTTGAAGTTTACAATGAAAATCAAACTTGGCCCCAATGTCAAGGCTCTGCATGCCTACCATCAATGAAGAATGCCCGCTTACTGTAGCAGACAATTGTGTGCTTACAGTTAGCAGATTTCACAGGTTAATTAGCAAGGAACCATTACCTACTGGGATTCTGTGCTTAGTAGGTTAGCACAGAAATCTTGTTGCTTACACAGAATGGTGATCGTAAGCGCGGAAATTCTGTGGTTAGCAGAGCCATGAAATTGGGCCCAGAGGGGGCTGAACCGCATTATTGCCAGCCAAGTATGTTACTACGGACACTGCCTTATTTATTGTGCATTAAAGACGACTATTTATACCTGAACTGGGCCATTTCTTGACCCACTTTCTTTGGAATAAAACCTTTACCCCTCTGAAGATCCTGTATATTGATCTTGTGTTGCTTCTGCATCTCGACCCGTCCTCTATCCCACAGATTCATGTCTCGGTTCCTTTTGTCGTAGTTTGGGTAGATCGCGTGCGTGTCGTACCCTAGACGTGTCAGCATCGGTGCTATGGTGTTGATGTCGGCCATGACATCTGGTGGAATGTGTCCAACCCATTTTGTTAGCGCTCCTTTGTTGATGGGCTTAATCACCTGGTCTGTTGATTTCTCCGTTCTAAATATCAACACAAGAATTGTAATTAAGAAAATGAAAACAACGATTGAAAGACTTTTGTGATGGTGTTCTCCTATCAGGGGAACAACAAACAACAAATGTCCCCAAAAAATAAAGATATCAAAATTTGAAATTTCTTCCTTAAAAAAAAGAGAAAGATTTTTGAAGTTAGGATTCACTTGGACAGGACAGTATGGAGGGGTGACTGGAATAGCCAGTGGGTACGCTCAAAACATTTTGTGGAGAAAAAAAGTGAAAATGGAACAAGGAAAAATTCCAAAGAGCTGCTGAAAAGAAAAAAAATGCTTAAAACAACTGAGAAAAACATATGCTCTACAAATTAACTGAGAATCACCTATACTGTAGGCAAAGAAAGAAACGCAACTTGGTTAAGATAATCTTGCTTCTGTAATAACAATGCTGCCTTAAACCTCACAAAAAAAACAATTGATCCATTTTGTCCCGCCTCAGTGACTCCCAATGAGAAGCTTGTTGCTAAAAACACTAAACACTGTCTCCTGTAATCCTGAATTCATTATTACATTTGAGTATGTTTTACAATAAAGTTGCATTTTTTTTTTTTTTTTTTTTTTTTTTTGCTAGTAAACATGACAAAATGCAAAAGCCATTTTTGCTGCTTTTGCAAACTACTTTGTTCAGCAAATTTCTGACTTCAGCAGCTCTTCGACCTTTGCTTTTTCTAAGACTACAGAGCTGTCTAAAACTAAGTCCATATCACACCAGTGTAAAGCCGACACATTTTGGGCTAAATGGAACAGTCATTTCATTTTTTTTTCAAAATGATTCCAGTGCTCACTTGGAGAGTGATATTCCTCCAGGTTTTCCCACAGCGCTTTCATGATGTAGGACCACATCATCCCAAGGAAGATCTAAGAACTCCAAGATCTTCCTCATCCAATCCTCCGAATGAAGCACAAGTTGCTCGTAGTACACGGGCAAGCAGACTTCAGGGCCTTCTTGCAAACACTGGTTGTACATCCCCTCTATGGTACGGCTCCATTTGGTAAGACATTCACGATAGCTGGTCATGTTGTAGCCAGTGATTGTCACGTGTCGCGTGATCATGGAGTGAACACTGGCGCGGCCGTCTCGAATCATCAATATATACTTTCCTTTTGGGAAGACACCATGCATGTAGGATAACGAGGACAGAACAAATGGGTCTTTATTGCATAACCTCTTGGCTGGCTCGCCGTGTCTAGCCATGATCTCTAACACGAAAGCCGCGACCGCGTTCTTGATGACTTCATCATCGATGCCAGCTTCTCGGAGTCGTTCTTTCTCAACACGATTTCCCACCCACTTGGAGCGACTTTGAAGCAAGTTTGGGATGAGGCGTGTTTCCTCCCCGCATCTTACATCGGGATGCGCGTCCAATAACGCTCTCATCAGCGTCGTGCCGCTGCGAGGAAATCCACCGACGAATATCAACGGGGAGCTTCTGTCGTAGGTGTATTCTTTCTGGTTGTCGTCATAGACAACATGCTGCGTGTTCTTCTGCACGACGTAAACTTTTGCATCTCGGGTGGAAAGCACTCCAAAAACAACGCAGGTCGTGAGGAGTAGCAACGCAATTAGGCGTGCCATTTTACGTTTGGCGGTGCGGTCCAACATAAAGAACGCCATATCTCCAAGCAATTTAGTCAATTTTAGTAACACCCGAAAGGTAGAATGAATTACCCAAGTTAGTCCATACAGTAATCAAGAAATTGACTATTCAACATTTGAAAGGTAAAAAAACGCAAATCTTTAGTCCAAAAGGGGCATTTTCTGAAACAAAACAACAGCAATGACCACACTCGAGTGAAGCATGGATAGCCTGAATACAAAATAACAACTGTTCTAATAAAATATATTTACCTTTTGTAAATTTCCAAGTTTCCATCGGTGACATCTCTTCATTCATTAACATTAACTCCACTGCAGCTGTACACAAAACACACACATTTTATATAAATAATCACAGGTGTTTCAGCAGAGAAACTAATCAAAAGTACACATAAGCCGAAGGGTAATTAAAACTTTATATGCCCAGCAGTTTTTGTCATTAAACTAAACCAACATTTGCTCACTTCCAATAAGTGATTATTTGCACCTGTTTTATATTAATATTCTAAAGTCATAATTATTTACAAATGCAGATGAAGTCACAATATGTAAATAATCGATGCAGACACACACAAGTATTGTTCTTTAAACATCCGTTTCATTTTTGATAATACTGAAGACACAAATTAATTTCAAGTTTCACATAATTTGTACTTACCTTACACAGACAGTCCAAGTCAACCACATCAATAATTGTCATGAAATTTAACAAAAAAACTGTTGTTGTTTTTTTTGAAAGAGTTTGTAACTTTGTAAGTCTACAAATACGGTGCACCGTTCCTTACCAAAAAATGAGAAATATTTAAACTTCAAAATGCTGCTATTTAGAAACCACTTTTTAAGCTCAACAACATTTCTAGTTGGTAACTTTTTTTCATTGCACAACAGACAAAAAATTACCAACAAAAGAATTACAGGTGTTGACAATTTTGATTGTCGCTTTTATTTCATAAATTCCTAGGACAATTAATTGTCCATCTTCATTGAGTAAACAAGGAGAATTCTTAAGGTTCACGTTTTAATCGGAACCTTTTAACCGTTAAAAGAATCGGACACAACATGGTTCCCAAGTGCTACGATGCACGCAGTCTCTGAATGCTTTTTCTGGCATGCAATGTTGTGACTAGCCATTCTGTGTCCAAAGTTTGGGAGCCATGTTGTTGCCACTTTATTGATGGCTCTGAATATTTCAAATCAATTGCATCCTCCATTGGTATTGGCAGTGTTTTGGCACTCAAAATCGAAGTGATAGTAGCCAACAGAAAGTTAACTTATATGATACCTGTGGCCACTGGATAAAGCATTTATTTTTACAACTTTGTGGGAACTTTGCGAGTTTTGTGACAATCAGGTCCCTTGTTTGGATACAGCTACTTGGTGAACTGTAAGGTCTCCTCACTTAACTTTCAATTCAAGTAACTTAAAGAAATAAACTTTAGTTTTTCTTAACTGTTAAGACCCATCTCCAAGATACCCAAGGAGTTTACAAAGCTAACATCTTGGCGACGTGCATAACACCAGGGCTCAATTTCATGGCTCTGCTCACCACATAATTCCAAGCTTACGATCACCAGTCTGTGCTAACACTGCTAGCCCAAAAAAACCTGTGCCACCCCTGTAAGCACAGAATCCTTAGTTATGGATGTACGCAAGCGCAGACGCCAAAATTCCTATACTCAGCACGATTTGAGACGAAGGGGTACCCCCTCCCCCAATCTGGCTATACCCTATGCAAACCCTAGACTATTGTTACCCAAAACATCCCCCTAGATATCTCAAAAGGATTCCTGAGATTCTGGTAACACAATGACCAACACAAAGGAAGGGGGTTCCCTCCGTCTAATATCATGCTACATATGAAAATATCTTGCTTACCTGTAAAATATGCTAATTGTAAGCACAGAATTTTCTGCTACAACAAGCAGGGATTTTACACTTTTAGTATTAAAGCAGAGTTATGCAATTGGCCAAGATCTGAAGAAACAGCAAACCGAGAAAGTTAACATACCTTTTTTAAATGTGTATAACGCCTCCACATTTTCAACATTTGGTACCAATTTCTTGGCACTGTTATTCTGCTAACCACAAAACTGTGCTTCAAACAGTATTGTAGACTGGCTTTCTGTCTATTTATGCTTAGCGTATAAATCTGATAAGAATTATTTTCTGCCTGAACAGCAAAACACTTGGCCTTGGTTTAAATTAAGTACTGTAAAATAACAGCTTGCACAACGACAATTCATGCAAGGCAAGATAAAGTTTTCTAAATTTGAATTTTAATATTTGAATTATAATTGTTATTTAGGTTTTCAATAACAGCTAAAAATGCACCCTGCATTTTGTTAATTTAAAGGAGATGTCTTCAAGGTGTTTTACCATTCAAGGTTCAACATCACCCTGTGGAGTTGCAAAAAAAAAGAAGAAATACCATCCAAGATTATACATGTACCTAGCTTCAATGATAACCCTGCTAAATCCTATTCAACAGAATCCTTTTTTGTTCTCTTAAAGTTGCTTTCCCTATACTATTCAATAAATTTGATTATTTAATGTTAACAAACTTACAACTTGTAAGTTTTATTCCAAACATAAAACGCTTTTCACCCTTTTTTGGGTGTCTAGAACGGTCTGAACAAGTTATTTTGGGAACAAACAGATCTGCCTTGTGGGGTGGGAACCAGGCTACCCCACAAGAAAAGAATGACTGTTGGGCCACGAATATACGAAATATGTAAAGTTATAATTCGGGATGACTTTTTTCCAGTTGATGTCTAAATTAAAAGTGAATAATTTTTTATATTCCAAGCAAAATAGCAATTTAGGAAAGGAATCTATTTTTCACAATGAAGCTTGAAAATAGAACGGGGAAAGCAACTTTTAAAAAGACCATTTCTTAACATTTACATATGTACATCTAACACTGGCAGAACAAAAATTAAAGCAGCAAAACTGGCAAAATTCAGCAAAAAAATATACATAAATAATTATTAAATTGTGCACCTTATTGGAAAATCACAGATCACATTCAGAGGAGAGTTGCAGTTTATACACTTTGATATTTGTATACAATCCCCAACCACCACAATAAGAAAATGCAAATATTTAACAAGAAAAAAAACTAAGATTAGGCAAAAAAAAAAATAAGTCGGTCTCTGGTCTCTGATCTTTTTTTTTCCAAAATGTTCTGCGGTAGCTCCAACAGCGCCCTCTATTTCCGCACCTCCTCAATTTTTTTTACCAAAGAGCACCAAGGAATGGGAAATTGCACCAAGGCAAATCATCAAAAGCACCAAGGCAAATTATGGAGGACACCAATGTACATGAGGACACCAAAAAAGCAAAACAGTACCCCACCTTGTCTGTACAATCCAAGCTTCAAGAAAAAAAAAAAAATCCGCGTGGCCGCGTCAATTCCGGAACTTTGGTCTGACCAGAGACCGATTTTTTTTTTTTTGGCCTTACTGTACAACATGAACCCCATTCACTCTGAACTTGTTTGTCCGACTTGTGACGATGGCATTAGGGCTGTGCCAAATATTCAAATATTACCGCATATTTGAATAGTTGTTTTTCTATTGAGGTGAAATGCAATGAAATATAAAAGGGGGAAAAAGTCTTTTATTTTATGACAAAATTTCATTCCAAAAACTTAGGCCTAGTTCGAGCAAGGACTATAGTTGACCAATGGTTAACTAACGTTTGCCCGAACTCTGTCTAGTCGAGGGTGGTTGACTACGCTCGTTGACTATTTGGAACCAACCTACTGGGGTTGGTTGCTTAGCTGGTAACCAATAGCCGCGCGCATTCATAACGTTAGCAGAGAGCCAGGATCCAGAAGATGTGCGATGACATTTTGACCAACATTTGACTAGGGACGTTCGCACGTTGCTATCAGTGCGCAGGCGTAAGGTACGTACAAATCAACCACTAGTCGACTAATGGTCCTTGCCCGAACTTGATATTATTTGAAGTTGTTGCCAGACACTTAGCTGATTAAATGCCCACAACAATCAAATGTAGAATCCATCCGAGAATATAGAAATGGATTTTGAAGAAAATAAAATTTGTGAATGTGCAAAGTTAGCATTCTTTGTAAATAAATGATATACATGTATTGATGTAAATTGTGTTGAAATGAATTATAATGAAACCTTCATGACGGCATTTTTACTGGAAATCAGGTGAACGAAGATCTGCCTTGAGGTATAACCGAATATTCGATCGAATGGAAGGTTGAATACTCAAATATCATTCGAAATTGCTTCAAGCCCGAAAAAGGCATTTTTGTGTAACTGTTCATCCCCTGTTACTTTAATCTGACTTGGGACTTGTTTTTTTTCTGGATTTGTGTACAATTTTACCTTGCAATTTCAGGCCTTTCTTTAAATCCTGGGTTAGATTTCAGCTTTGGCTTCAGGGTAGAGCTTCATGGTTTTACGCCCTTGGCTTCTTTGAGTGTTTGGATCAACTTTTGTCTAAATTCTGTCTCAAGAACATTACAGAGCCAGACTTTGCAGTCTTTTCACCTGATTCAAACACAAATACCTTTGAGGTCTGAATCACAGCCAAAGCTAAAGCCAGCATTTTGAGGAACTGTTTAAGACTTGATGACGGTAGGATCATACATTTCTTCTTTGAGAGGGTCAGGTGAATAGAGTAGGGGTTCTGAATCATTGACAGACAGAGGACTATGTGGGGAATCATCGTCAGTTACTAAACTCTCAGTCAGTGAGGCCATGCGCTGCAATCGTTGACGTCGACTCTGGTTCAAGACACGACCCTAGAAAGGAAAAAGGGACCATGAAATAAAACATCAGCACGATGGCATATAAATTAGTGGTAAAAAGTCGGTTTCTTCTAAAAAATGCTGAAATCTCATGTCGAATCATGACAGTTAAAATAACAGAACTAAAACGCTGTGGGTGAATTTTGAGTTCCTTTAGGCATTCAAACAAACGAAGGGTCACAAAAACCGGACCAATTTTTGAACGATCATTTGAAATTTCAGCCTGTGAACGAACAACCAATGTCGGATGTCAAAAAGAGTATTTCAATGTTTAAATTAATTCCAATGCAAGAAAATGTCACAAATGCTAAGCAACACAAGGTATCGTCAAATGAACAAAAAAGTAAAACAAAAGTAAAACCAAAAAAGAAAAAGTATTTTACCAATTTTCAATCGTCTGTCAATATTGTTGCTTGCTAAAGATCAATATGGTTACAGCATCCTGCATTAAAATTCCTGTAGTTATGTGAACAAACTTTGGCAAAGAAGCTAAGATTGCGATATTTGAACGAACCTTTCTCTTGTCTGAGATATTGAGAAGCGCTGCCGTTACGACACAACAACACGTGTTAGCAAACAGGAATATCATGACATACTTCCATCGCTGTACTTTCTCCTCATATGGCAAGCTGTGAACAGAAAAAGAGTTTTGAATTGAGTCTGTCGGTTTCAGACTTGGATTCTGATGGAATCAATTACAAGCATTAGCATTAGTCACAAGTCGAGCACTACTCAATTGCAGGTCAATCACAAGTCAATCACAAGTCAATCGCAAGTCAATCACAATTCATTCACAAGTCAATCGCAAGTCAATCACAAGTCAATCACAAATCAAGCACAAGTCAAGCACAGGTTAATCATTTGTCAATTTCAAGTCAATCACAAGTCAATCACAAGTCAATCGCAAGTCAATTGCAAGTCAATCACAATTCATTCACAAGTTAATCGCAAGTCAATCACAAGTCAATCACAAATCAAGCACAAGTCAAGCACGAGTTAATCATTTGTCAATTTCAAGTCAATCACAAGTCAATCACAAGTCAATCGCAAGTCAATTGCAAGTCAATCACAAGTCATTCACAAGTCAATCGCAAGTCAATCACAAGTCAATCACAAATCAAGCACAAGTCAAGCACAAGTTAATCACAAGTCAATCACAAGTCAATCACAAGTCAAGTCCATCACAACTCAATGTCAATCACAAGTCAATCACAAGTCAATCACAAGTCAATCACAAGACAATCACAAGTCAATCACAAGTCAAGCACTAGTCAATCACAAATCAATCACAGGGATTAAATGATTAAGTTTCCTGAGTGATGATGCTTCTCCCCAAATAATATTTTTTCTAGGGTGTATCTCAGATGGCTAACCCACTTACGGTTTATTGGAGTTTCCTAGAATAGCGCCAATGACTTGGTTGCATATGCCAATCCCAATCATCTGGACGGATGTCGCAAACCCCATCGCCGTGCCAATGGTTGCCTGGGTGACCACGAGGGGGATAGATGGCCACAGACTTGCCTAGGTTACAGTGTAAAGGCAGTATTACTTCAACCATGTGTCATGTGACTTCAAAGTGAGAACAGAGGAGTATTGTTTTGTTGTTAGGGTTTGTGGCTCATGATCTGATGGTCAGGGGTTCGAATCCCACTGCTGCATATACGCTGTGTCCTTGGGCAAGCCATTCTATTCCATTCACCGCTCCCACGAAGAGGTATAAATGAGCACCAGCATTTGCTGTGTAGTAACCTGCATTGGACTGGCAACTCTCTTTGAGGACTAAAATGTTCATAATGTGATGTTCAGAGGATCAATTACAGATGCTGTGCCCTTGGGCAAGCCACTTTACCCCTACTCAACTCTCTCCAGCAAGAACTACAATAAACCAAAAAAGAAAGTCCCCCCTTAATACTTTTTTGTCTATTAACTCAAAAACTACTGGGCACATCTTGCTCAAATTATGACTGATCAGTACAGAAATTCCTTAGCAATCCAGCCATACACTTTGTTTGGCCCGAAACAGTGATGATGTGTACAAAATTATGCAATTTATGACAAATAGTACCGAAAAAAAGTTGCCCTTTTGTATACGTGCAAGGTGAGTGTGAACCACAACTTGCACGTATACGAAAGTGCAAAACTGTTTTCGGTATCATTTGTCATAAATTGCATAAATTCGTACACATTATCACTGTTTTGGGCTGAATAAAGAGTATGGCTGGATTGCTAAGGAATTTCTGTACTGATTAGTTGTTATTTGAGTGAGAAGTGCTCAGTAGTTTTTGAGTTAGACAAAAAGTATTGGAAGGGGGGGGGGACTTTCTTTTTTGGTTGAGTGTATCTACTGGTACCTGGGGGATGGGAATAGATATATTTTGAGCTGCTTCATGCCAGGAAAACAGGAGATATGCGCTAACTTGATGACCTTAACAATGACTTGAGACGGACGTTACTTACCGCAGCAAAAGAGTAGGTAAAGCCAAGCCATAGCGTGGACACCAGCGGATAGACGCTGGTAAAAGCCAACAGACCAAACACAGGCAGAGTGGCAATGGAGCAAGACAATGCTAACACGCCACGCATTCCTACGATGTCCTGATATTTAAAAACGCACATCAATATGAAAAGATTAATTTCAAGTGATGATTTACGTATTTTAGGTATGAACAATTTTGCTAAAATGAATTAAATCTGAAACCCATTAGTTTTTGTACCGCCCAAAACCGCCCGGCCTGTTACTCCTTGTCCAAAACTGTCGAAGAACTCTATGGTTTTTATGGCTTCATCAGGGAATAAATACAATGTAATACAATGTAATACAATGTAATACAATGTAATACCATGTAATACAATGTAATACAATGTAATACAATGTAGTACAATGTAATACAATGTAATACAATGTAATACAATGTAATACAATGTAATACAATGTAGTACAATGTAGTACAATGTAATACAATGTAATACAATGTAATACAATGTAGTACAATGTAATACAATGTAGTACAATGTAATACAATGTAGTACAATGTAGTACAATGTAGTACAATGTAGTACAATGTAGTACAGGTGTTTTTTTTGTTAACCCTTTTATTACAACATTGTTGAAAAATTGACCACACGTTGAAACCTCACTTTTACAACGTATATTTTCACTTTTAAGGAGTGATTAAAAACAAGTGTCGTGTTTGTAAAGTTTGTTCCTTGAACTACACTCTTTCCTGTGATGTAAAAATCAAGGCCATTTTGTAAAAAAAATAAGAAAGTTATGCCTGTTTGTTGATCTGGTCCCAGTTACCAAACTGCAAGCCATTTCACCACATGACCAAAATAATGGCACTCCATACCTCAAATTGTGCACGTATGCTTCTGAAACAGTTTTCTATAATTGTATATTCATAAATACCTAAGACAGTTTAACCATTCCTATTGGTTGAGAGCCCGTCACGTGGCCGGTTTTAAAACGGTTGATAAAGACCGGCTGGCTGGTCTTAAACACTTTTCCAGTGTCACATGAAATTTGGACTCCTATGAAAACCTGGTGCCAGCACCATTTCATTAGTTGAACCGTCACAATCCTCTCGTAGTCATGCACAATGAGTCATTATTTCATAGTCCTAAATTCACACTACACTGGTACACCTGCGTTCTGCTGATAATTACCCTCGCCTTCTGTTCGGGTAACTATCAGCATCCAGACTCCAACCTGCCTTGAACAGAGTGTTTAATACCTCCCAATCACACGTGTATTCCCTTAATAACATTATGAATAAACAATATCATTAGAACAATCTGGAAATACTCTTGTCTCTTTTTCAGCTGGTATAGTTGACATGTGGGCAGCAAAACATACTAACACACCAGCTTGTTGAAAAGTAGTGAATGTATCTGTTGTGTGTGAATGCTCTGTGTGTGGTTTCCTTGACAACAAAAGTCCCCCATGGTAAGGAAAGGGTTTATCACTTGATACTTACAATCAGAGCCCCTAGGAACGGAGACAGGAGGAGTGAGACATCATATACAGCTCCTGCCAAGTAGCCAGGTACTGGAGACTCCTCGGTGAAATTATACTTGTCTCGGATGAACTTACTACAAACAAAAGATACAGAGGAGCACTTGTGAACAAACAGGACATCAACAGACCACCAAGTAGGGTAGGGCGGGACCAATATGTATTTTTATATTAACAATTTACAGTTTCTGTTAACCCTCGCATTCTTCTGCACTTCACAACCCTTCAAGTTTAGAAAAACCAGTTTTGCCCATAGAGTTAGCACCCACACCAGCGTTGGAGAAAACTGGCTTTTTTAAGAAACTGCTCCTAATTATTCATATTTAGTTATTCCGCATTTTCTTTGCATTTGATTACACCTGTGAAGACTTCAAGCCTGCTAGACTGATGCTCTGACCTTACAATTACCCAAAGTCTATAAATTGCTCCGTTTCATCTTAACTGGGGTCAGGGAACCAGACTACAAGAACATGATTGGTTTTCTTGGTTTTTCCAGCATCTACAAGCCCAAAACGTGAACAAGTAGTTTTAACAATATTTGCTATAACATACTAAACCTCCAAATCCATTTATTTCTGAAAATTGCAGCAAAGGCAAATGTTGTACATTCTCTTTAACCATTTGTAGGGTTGAGGAATTATTCACTTGGATTTCCAGTGTTTGTACCTTGCATCTGCCACAAAAGGGAAGACACCGTTGTAGAAGAACATGATCGTCAAGACAACCAGCCAATATGATGAAGTGAAGTAACGGATGTCACTGAAGTGAAGCTGCTTAGAGCTCTGCTTCACGTTAGATTCCTGAAATAAGGACATTCAACTCTTTTGTTAGAACAAGTAGTTTTCATTGTCTTTTATGTCTACATGATTTATGTTATGTAATTTAATTGTAAAGTTGAATTGTTTCAAGATGGCGGATGGATTCTTCTATTTTCTCGACTCTTTTGCTGATACAAAATTGTGTCCATAAGAGCCACAACGCATTCTAAAATAGTTACAATTTTGATGGAAACAAATAAAAAGACAATATATTGCAAATTTATGTATTAAAAAAAATAGGCGGGCGGAAAAAAGGAAGCAGGCGGGGACAAGAAACTGCTTTAATTTTTTTGCCTGGCCTTAGGCCCCCCCCCCCCCCAAGTTGGTCTCTGGTCAGCGCGCGTGTCGATTTTAATCATGCGCGTCAATCTTTTTTTTTCAAATTTTCCGCAGTAGTTTCGACAGTGATCTCTATTGCCGCACCACCTTAAATGTTGTACCAAGGAGCACCAAGGAATGGGGAAATTGCACAAAGGCAAGCGATGGAGGGCACCAAGGCAAATGATGGAGGACACCAATGTATATGAGGACACAACAAAAGCAAAATAGTACCCACCTTGTCTGTACAATCAAAGGTTAAAAAAAAAAAAAAAAAGCGTCGCCGCATCAATTCCGGAACTTTGGTCTGACCAGAGACCGCCTATTTCATTTTTTTGGCCTTATCCTAGGCTGAAAAGCATTCTCTAACAATGTTTTATTACCAATGAGAAAAAAAATTGAATGAACACCAACGAACTGACCGTTTCGGTTTCAACTCCTACCTGGCCAAGTTGGCGAACTCCATATATATCCAGACCACTTGTGACAATAGCCGCGACAAACCCCAGGGCACACAGGAAGGCACCACCCCACAGAACCCAATTCAGACCAACTTTATCTTCAATGGACTTGGTGAGGAAGAAGTTCAGTACGCTTCCCTGTAAAGGAGACAAAAAGGTGGGAAATGGATGTGAAGTGACCTATCGCCGTTTGTGAGTTAGTCACGCCCCTTAGACAACCCTATGGAATTTTTGTACAATAAGTTTTGTTTGTCTTAGATTTTGCACGTTCTGTGTCCATTTGTATATCATGTAATTGGACAATATTTTACAAGCTGCGTTGACATGATTTTAATGCGATTCTGCAGCTTAAGACTTTTCTTTTTACAAAGGCATTCGTATAAGGTTTTACTATTATCTATTTTAAATGTAGGTTTTGTTTTTGTAATTTTAAGTTGCATTGTTTTGACAGTGTTTTCTAAAATATCTAGTGTTTTTTACATTTAAGACTAATGTGTAATTCGAATTCGTACTTTTAATATTTTAGCTACTGTTCAAATTTTGTCATGCGCATTTGAACATTTTATGGTATATGCGCATAATAAATGCAATTTTATTATTATTATTATTATTATGTTAGGTCAATTGCCCAGAAAAAAAAGAAATTTAAAAGTGTTCAGCAACTACAACTTGACTTGCTACACCCTGAGTTATGAATGACTAGTAAAGCTGGTGCCAGAGTACAAAAAATATGTTACAAAACGTCTGAATAAATCCCCGTCATCTGATCGGTGGGTCATTTTACAAATATAACATGGTTTGAGGGTGGACAGTCGATATTCGCTCCCGAGGTATTGGAAGTTGACAAACTAGTTCCCGAGGCGAAGCCGAGGGAACTAGTTTGTTAACTTGCAATACCGAGGGGAGCTAATATCGACTGTCCACCCGAAAAAAAAACATGTTATATTTGTTTTACTATACCTCATACATATTCAGTTGCCAATTTTTTCATATATATATATGCACCTAAAACAACACTTTTGGAGAAACTTGTACAGCTCACAAAAAGAACATTGTTGCTCATTTTCACTAGTTCGGTCGTTTGCAATACAGTTGTAAATACAGTAATTCTGGTTCTGGTTCTGGTGGAATACTGCATAATCTCCTCAGCAGGGATTTAATATGGATGTAATATGCATTATTATGTAATATAATATTGCTAGTATACAACTTTCTTTTGTACAGGAGGCATATTTATTGTCCATAAATTTTCTCCACTGAGTACGGCATCATTGAGCCGATGTTCGCGCGTGCGTACTACACCCGTGCGACAGTTCCTCGATTGCTTTGTAAAGCGCATGCGTAGTAGACTGTCCCATGGGCAACCCGTGCGACAGTCTACTACGCATGCGTATTTAACCTGTGCGTGAATCCTCGCGCGTGCGTTTGGTAAACAGCAAGAATAACATCTGGCACGTGATGGTGAATTGACCAGTGAGAGTTCGGCACTCGATCATGAATATGGATGAGGTATAGTAATGATCACATGTCATTGAATTATCTGTTCCAACACACGGCCTGGCCGCACCTAGGGCTGTGCCGAATATTCGAATATTCGATTATCGATCTATTCGGTTATTCGATCGATAATCGAATATTCGAATATTTATTTTCGAATAAGAATATTCGGTGGTGATATGCAATGAAATAAAAAGGTGGAAAAAACCTTTTTTTTTTAACAACAAAAGTGTATTCTCAAAGTTAAGTTTCAAGTTGCTGCCAAAAACCCCCATAAAAGTATCTTGTATATATGCCAAGCAATAATGCCATACATATATTACTTCTGCTTTGGGAGTGCTTGCACTTGCAGTAAAGCCAACCCATTTTTTTAACGCCGGACTGCAACACCAATCGCTGATGCTTCCGACAAGATAAACAAGACATTTTGTCTTTCATGTCTTCACAAAACACTTCCTGACACCTTTTCATATCAAACTTCTAGCATGAGTAGTAACGTTTCCGTTGTCCGTATTTTTGTTTGTTGTTGTCCTACTTACAATCCCTACTTTCAAAAGAAAACCGCCGCTGTTTTCCCCGATGCGATCCTGGCAAGTTTCCCCACGCATTGGTGTCATGTACATGTGTGCAGCATAGGAAAATGCAGCGTGGCATTGGAGAGGAGCACGTGTTAATTTGCCCACGTGCGCAGTGGGAGGGGCTTTACTGGATCGGCGATTGACATGCGAAAATGGCATGCCAACATCGATGTAGAAGACCTCTGCAATCTCATGCAAAGAACTTGATTTCTTTTTTCTGTGTGGGCCTTTGTATTTTCAGTTTTCATGTACTTATTTTGAGGACGTACTGCTCGCACAGGGTCGCACAAGAAGCGGTACATTACACTGATACAGCGAAGCCAATTCCCCCCAAAGTTTTCCATCGCCTGTTCAATTGTGTCGAATGCACGTGGTTATAGGGAATCGCCTTGCACGCAGTATGCTGCCCACAGCACGTGGCGGTGTTGTAGAAAACTTGTCATGAACCCCAACATTACATTAAAACGTTTTGAAAACCTTGGTTCATTTACGTTACGGACTCTGGGATTTTTCTAAAAGAATTTCTTGTTTACTTTTAGGGGTAAATTTATTATGGCTGTTAGATGTTCGCCTCAATGCCTCCGTAATTATATACATGTACATGTACAAAATAATCTAGTTCTCTCAACTGATCAGAGCACCCTTTTATCGAACACATTTTCGTTCGCTGTCCGTCAGCTTTGTTCGCTGGGTTAGTCTGCTAATTGCACCCAATATTTGCACAAATAAAACATATATAAACACTTCAAAAACTAGTTCAGCAATTATACTTTCAGTAATAAAAGCGGGAACCTCTGGCTTATGTCCTCCAAGTCGAGCAAAACGCAAGAAAAAGGGCAGACAACAGAGAGGATTTCAAACTCAAAAGAGCTCTCATTTTTTTCGCCAGACAGACTTTGCGGTCAACTCACCGCACCGTACCCCTGATTCCCAGCATAGAAAACCACAGCTAGACAAAATGTATCAAAATGTTGCAAGTTGGAATATCCAAACCTTTTAGTGGCCTATTTGTTAGAAAGTTATCTCCAGAGCACGCGCTTAGCCAGACAAAAGAACCGGGTCAGCGCACCTGTGCCCTAATTAGCCTGCCAACAATGCGCCCGCCGGAGCTCGGCTGGCGATTTTTTTGGGGGGGGGGGCCTGAAATGTCACCCTTCGTGTTTTGGGTACACAGCTGTAGGCAAACAAGGAAATACTGCTTTGCACGTGTCAAGCTGGGGCGTGTGTATGCCGCGCCCACGCCCATTATTTGCATAAACTTAAATATGCATTTACAATTCAAAGACCCATATTTCATTGAATAAAGACATTAAATATCATAGGTTTTTTTCTTAGAGTTTTTGGTTGTTGAGAATAAGTTTATTTAAAATGATATAAAATCATTTCCTCAATTCTTGGTGACAAAAGTGCGAGTTATTATTATAAAAGTGATTTTTTTATCCTCAATACTGTGACTAGGAAGTACACCGTTTTGTAGACTTCAAGAAGCTTCCAGTAATAGATATGCTCGGTTTCCTGTTTGCGAGTTAAGGGTCGGAGAGTCACAATAGCTGACGCCACCCGCCGTGTCTGGGGTTCACGGCTTAATACGTCCCCCATGCAAACAAGGAATCCTTCACTCTAGCTTCTCTGGTTATTGTTAATCTTTAAATTACTGACGACTGAAGAACAACTGATTGTTGTCAAATACCTGACTTACCTGTGAAGAAATCATGCATGGCATGCTGACGTGCGCACGTACGTTGACTACATGTACATGTATGGCATATTTTTGCCTTTGAGGGAATTTGGAATGGCCAAATAACCGAATATTCGAATATTCGATCGATTGGAAGGTCGGACATTCGAATATTCAATTATTTGAATTGACTCAGCCCTAGCCGCACCGCAAAAATAGAAGTTCTATTCCATGGTAAATAAAGGTTCCATGAGACACAGTCCCACTGTTGTTGGAATCATAACATGGTTCTAATGGCTCTGATGCTGTACATTCATTCACATGTAATGGTGGACAATGAGGAGAATTTATGCAGGCTTGTATGTAACAAATAATGAATGTCCCACATTCGTGCAATGGATAGAATAATTTAATTCGGTGACAGATGAAATGTTCCATTCCACTTGGCCTCAACTCATGGAATAGAACATTCCATCTGTCACATTCCATCTGTAAAGCGAAAAAAAAAATGAGTAAAAAGCTTGATCGCAATAACAAACAAAACAAAAACAAAAATGGGGAATCATCACGAACCAATCTTGAGAATGTCAAAGTGATCCCAAAAGCAAAGGCTAGCTCCTTGTCTCTGAACCAGTAGGCAGTGATACGATTCTGGACGACTGTGTGAAGCAAAAATGTTTTAAAAGCAATAATAAATATCTTCCATCCCTTTCAATTTTAACTGTAAGTTTGTTCTGTCAAATTAAGGATATGTTACCTTATGGCATGAGGCTAGTCATATGCATCTGCAAGCGCTACTTATTTGGGTAAATTTGTCATTTATGTTACATTATTTATTATCATCACAAAACTACATACAGTTTCATGGTATTACATTTCACATGACCAAATATTTGGGAAAATTTCTCTTATTAGTACAGGGGCAAGTCCAAGAATTGGCGCACACTATGTCACATAAGTAACCAAGGTTTAACCCTCCAAGATATTCATGGTTTCAGTGTTCTTTATTCTACTGTTGGGCATTGACAAGGAAAATACCCACAAGTATTTTTATGTTATTAGTCTCTATGGTGATTATGTAATCAATGAAAACCTTGCATTACGTATGGGACAAATCGGGGACCTTTTCTTCGACTTACCCACAGATAAGTTTGTTCTCTTTTGCCTTTGAGAAAGATTTTGCAAGGAACAAAAAACTCAGCGCTCCAACCTTAACAAATATGTTACTTGAAATTTGGGTTGAAAATATTACTTGAAAAGCTGATGAACTGTACACTTTGAGAACCTTGATCAAATATGAACGTCAGTAATGTAGCGTAAACCTTCTAGGCCCTTGTCCTCCAAATCTAGCAAAATGCAGGAAAAGGGGACACACACACGCAGGATTTCCAACTCCAGAAGAAAGTCAACTTTACAGCAAAAAACTATGTGGTCAACTTGCCACACCGCTCCCTGTACCACAACTGCTGGTTCCCAGCATAGAAAACACACAGTCTGAACAAATGTATACAATTGTAACAACTTTACCCAACCCTGGAATCTAGCCAAGCCCTGCCCACGAAAGTGAACAAAAGAACCCCACTTAAGCAACCTATTTATAGAGCCTATTTCCGGAGCGCGCACTAGCCAGACGCAAAACCAGGTCAGGTGCGCGCCGCTGGCGCCAGAGCCCCTCCGCCGGAGCACTAGTGCTAGAAAGCAATGAAAACAAAAGTGCTGCATAAACTGTCCGTTACAATACTTACTGGTCAGCGAGCCGTTTCCTGATCCAAATATCAACCTGCCAATGAGCATGATAGGAAACATGGCGTTAGTGCCCTTGAGCATCGCTCCTGCGGCAAACGTGCTGGAACCGATCAGACACAGGCCGGAAAACAGAAACAGTCCAACTGGAGAAACAGTCCATCGAGAAGAAAAAATAAGAAGGAGAAAATTCAAACTTTTGCTTCCTGGGCAATGCCACGGAATAATAAACCTAAATGCCAAAACTTCAAAATATCCAAATATTTCTTCAAAAATGCCAAAACTTCAAAATATCCAAATGCCACAAATGACACAGGCATATCGTTTTAAAGCATATTATCTGCATTTTATTGAAATATAGTTTATTGCTAACAATGATCAATAATTTAGCTGTAACTTTTAACTGAAATTTTTTTCAATAATTACAAATGTACGTCCAAAAAAAAAATATCAAGTTGTCTGAGTACATCCGACACCATGGTGTTTCGAGCCAATTTCTACTACAGCCAAAAAGTTGGATGGATATTTTTTTTTTTAAATCATTGTAGTAAACTGATACCTTTTATCAGAATTAAAATCCACTTCCTGATTGCAACGCCTGTTCAGCAGACTAATTTTATTGGCTTGCTCAAATAATGAAACATGGCTAGGCAGAGTACACTGAACCAAAGATGTTGCGGGCAATTCTGCGGATTGCAGGTTCCGGACGAACCATCGGGTTCTGATGAATTGCCACAAATCATGATTTACTGTTCATGCATGTAGTCCGCATGTCCATGTATGTCAAGTTCACAGTAAAGTAAAAGTAAAGTCTGTCACAGGCCAATGTGGCCCATCTGGCCGGAGTTTATCTCCGGTTTCAGTAGCATGAAACGACTGAGAATATTCTATTCCCCCTGGACAGGATGCTAGTCCATCGCAGGTTAAACTCCCCAGCTAATGCCGGTACCCATTATACTCCTGGGTGGAGAGGGGCAAGTGGGGGTGAAGTGGCTTGCCTAAGGACACAATATATGACCAGCGGCTGGATTCGAACCCCTGACCCTCTGATCATGAGTCACGAACCCTAACCACTAGGCCACACACTCCCCTATGTCAAGTTCATATGCGGGGTCAAATTAAGGTATGCAATGAAGGTTTTTTGGGCTATACATGTATTTGAGTCACAACCGTGATGACTCACCTCGATTTCCAAGTTTGTCGATCAAGAACCCAGCCCCAATCACCACTATGGCATTCCTGTACAATGAAATATTTTCAAAAAAATAAGGATAAAAAAAGTACAATACAGATCTATACAACAAACCACTTTTGACAATATATCTCTTCGGATCTTACTATCTGACATTTGGGATTCACTATCATTAAACCAAACTGAAGTAGGCAAATTTGGTGCTGAAATTGTGTTACTACTATTACAGGATATATTCCACATGACAATCTTGTGCTTCTGTTATTAAAGAAGTTGTTTCCTGGAGTTTTCCTCAAGATCCCTGAATACAAGTCAGGGATCTTCAACAAACTTACATCAGGCATATATGGCAACAAGAGATGAACTGGTCCAATGTCACGTCTAGAACTTTTCCTGATTTTTTTTTCTAAGACCCTTGAATAAAAGTCAGGGATCATAAACAAAATTAAGGCCATGCATAAATGGCATGCAGGAGATTATTCTTGTGTGGCATCATGTCTAGAACTTTTTCGGAATTTTTCTGTAACATCCCTGAATACAAGTCAGGGATCTTCAACAAACTTACGTCCATGCATAGATGGCATACAGGAGATTATACTGGTCCGGCGTCATGTCTAATCCCTCCACACAGTCAGTTTTTGTTGCATTTATGCATGTGATATTCTGCAAAAGAGTATAAACCTTTATAAATTCACATATTTTTGCAAGTGATGAGGAGTTTCACATCAATATTTTGATCTTATGGTACAACAGAGCATATACATTTGATGAGTGGTATTTTGGGCATAACTCTTGCACTGTATTGCTTACGACTTACATGTAGGCCTATAACATTAAATTGAAGAATAGAAAAAATTGACATGAAAGAAAAAGTTGCACACCTTTTGCCAGACATAAAGTGCAAATATCAATGTGAGAATAGAACAAAGAGGAGCAGGTTTTTTTAACCTCTGCCTTTACTAAGTTAAATACTTACTCCTTGCAAGACTGCTTGGAGAACGCTGGGCATGTCAAAACAAAAGTAGGTCCCAAACGTCAACATGCAGTTGAAGAACAGTACCACAAAGCGGTAGTAAGCTGTATATAAATATATAAATATATAAAAGATATAAATTGAACACAAACTGAATTTGAATACATCCAGGAAGTTCTGTGGCAAATCGTTGTAAACTTCTTTGATTGTAAACATTTTTGGTTACTGTGAATTTACGGACCCCTCTCCCGTTTTATTCCTTTGAGTGTTTTTTCATCATTCTGCAACCTTATTAGTTAAGCAATGATTCTTTTGATTTTAATCGAGACACCCTTTTCTCTGTAGAATTTCATTCGGAAAGTTTTCCACACTAGGCCACCACTTGTTTTCAATTAATTTTCAAGTGCCAAAAAGTTGCATCCTTTATGGTTATTTCCTCCACTTTCCCTCCTCTACTCTCACCCTCTCCTTTCCTTTATTCCTATTTATTAATCAGTCTCTTACTTCATCGAGATTCGAACCTCGGACTTTTGTTTCAAACACAACACTTTCACCACTAGACCGTGCACGATCGCTTGTTGCAATAATCAATCTTTGGACGTATTTAAAGTATCCATTGAAATAAGACTAATGAATATTTAATAAACTAAGAATTCATGAGAAATTAAATATTCATAATGATGTATTGCACTATCATTGGCCGGCTCATGCATTGACGATGTCATGTGTAACGTACCGCTAGACTTAAAGAAACTTCAATCACTATGGCCAGGTGCCTCCAACTTAGTTCTGCACGACGTGTGCATCCAAAATGTGCTCTCAAACATGGCCATTAAAACGAGATCGCCATAGCATCATCATCATCCTAAAAATTTGTTCATATTGCCGAAGCTTCGTGGATTCATCTTGAGGTGAAAATTGATGTTTTTGGCAGCAGGTAAGTGGTGGCCCAGTATGGAATTCCTCCCGTAAGTAATAATTTAATAATTAAACAAGAATAACTTTTAAATTGCTAAAATTATTAAGCCTAACGTTACAATAGCTAGGCTAGTCACTACACTAAGCCAGTAGTGAACATGGTGAAGTATTGTTGATGTACCCTAACATGGCGCGGCCCCCAACGTGGCACACTTTGATATTTTGCCTGTAGCGCCTAGCTAGAGCAAAAGTTTTTCTGAACACTTTCGTTGATGAATCACGAGTTTATCTTTCTGTTACAAAGTTAAAAGTTAGTGCACAGTGAAGTTGAGTGAACCCTTTGTAAATGTCCCCCAAAAAATAAAAAATAATTTGCTGATAAATTTCTAGTGGGTACATCACTACATGTAAGAAGAGATAATAATTGTTTATCAGAATTAATCAACTTTACAGAAATTCTTAAATGTTAATTTGGAATTTTCCGAGATTTATTCAAGTGCGCCACATTGGGGAACACTCAGCCGAGTTTTTGTGCCCAATTTCCTGACGCCACCGTTTTTTAATTTCGGAATAAATTTCATGAAACCGAAATTGTTTACAGAGGTTAGGCCTAAATAGCAAGCATAAATAAGGCAACAGTTTTTAAAAACTTTTAAAAAAGGAATCTTTTTGGGGGGGGGAGAAAGTCAAAAATAGCACAGGGAATGCATCTGACCTGAAATATACAAGTTTAACAATCACCAACTTTGATGTTTAACAAATGGTTCTTAGTTACAAAGTTACATTGCAATAAAATTAAAAGGAAACTAATCTGAGATGTCACAACCCTTCCCACCTCCCCCCACCTCCCGCCCCGCCCCTCCATAACCGCAATGAAAATAGGCAGGTTCCCATCCCTGATATTGATAATACAGCAGAAGCAATAAGGGAGTCCAGGTTGCTTCAGCGTGTTCATCAACTCACTTTGCGATGGATCCATTTTACTTGCCGCCCAGCGAATAAATTTCCACTCAGACCCTTGATCCACGTAAGTCAATGGAAGCTCTGATGATAAGAAAAGATACAGATGCCGATAAACATGGGGAAAATATCCAAGAAATCAACTACGTCCAAATCGTGAATACGTTTGTGAGCAGCTACATTCCATTTCCACGGCATCCGCTACACAAATCACATGATGGATAAATAGCGCCCTCCATTGAGCAAAATTTGCCATGTTATTAAATTTTCCGGGGTGTTGACGTGACCAGTGACAGGTAGTATACATGTACTTTGCCCCCCAAAAACATATACGTTGGGTGGGGTGGGGGGGGGGGGAGTATAACTGAAGACATGATGTGGGTGGTACGCTTCCTAGTGGGGCTTGTTTACTCTGCTAATTAATGATTGGAAATTCGATGTAGACGTCGCACAAACGGTTGAATGGGGTAATCGCGATCGTGTAACAATTACACTCATGATTGGTTTCTCCATAGAGCAAGGAACAAAACTGCTCTAGGCCTATGGTTTCTCTTAGTAATAATACCTCGATCCTCCAGTATTTCTGGGCAGATAAGGCTTTGCAACCCAGTAGCTTAAAAATAGCAAAGCAACCACTCTTTTCCTCAACAAAACTTATATTGTTGGCTTACGATCATCCACTGTACCGATTAACAATAACGATGAAGCAAAATCTCTTTATTTGTGGCAGCAAGCGGGGAATTCCAAAGGGGGCAGTTTTGGCGTTGAAGAAAAGAATCCTGCCTAATTCTGCGCAGGGGACGCTTCATGAAAAATATGTGCTGTCCGGGCCATGTAACTCAATATAAACATTTTTTTTTACAGACTTGTTGGCTTTAGGAAAATATATTTCCTGAGCTTGTCAAACATATTTTCTTTCTTTTTCCTTTCTTTTTTTCAATGCCAATACACTTTTCGTAATTTCACGATTATTTTCAATATCCCATTTTGGAGATTTATACAAAGGCCTATATTTACATAAATAGATTTTATACATATTTACCTATTAAATGTAGATCCCAATGATATTGTTATTCTGATCATCCCAATCAACAGAGACAGTCTTCAAGATGTCAAGATGTTTTCGGATTTTAAAACTTATGACCAAAAGAATTCCAAAATAATATAAGAAATGTGTCTTTTACACCCTTGTAGAAACTGCAAATTCTTATCTATGACATCTTAACTATAATACTGACGATATTGGGAGCCCAAGAAAGGTCACCTTTCGGTCATATTTTCGACTTCTGCAGGCCCGGAAGCATCTGCCTGCATTTGTAATTTAATAGTAATTAGCTGTAAAATGCCGATGTTTTTCATTTTTTGCCTGAATTCCCAGGTAAAGCCTTCAATTTCCACATTTTTTTCTGCTGCAGGTTAAAGTTCGTGCATCAAATGATACATGTATGATCCCAGTGAAAGTTTGTAATTTTTTAGGATGCACGCCTTTCAAAATATAACTTAAAGGCGAGTGTGCAGAAATAGGAACGCGTAGCTTTAGGAGGTCTGACGATACATTTATTTTTCTTGAGGGAAAGAATATCCAGACAATACTTCTTTGGTTGCGTTAACTTGCATGACTTGTGCAGTTGTGTACAAAGTAGACTATGGAGATCAAGTCCAGTTCATTTTCAAAGTATTTTCGGAAAGAATTCCATTACAAGGCCACGACTCAGACCTCCTGCACAAAGTCTATGGGCAATGACAGAAAAAGTAATAAGTATTAACAAAGAATTTTTGCACTCCTAAAATAGTGTTTCTTTCAGATTTACAACTTTTGGTACTTTTCAGGTCATATTAAGGTATATGAGTGGTGGCCTTGTATGGAATTCTTTCCGTATTTTCTAACAGCATTGGATATGTTCATAATCATCATGTTGATGAGGTTGGAAATGTTTCTCAGTCCCCAATTTATGTCTTTTCAACATTTTTGCAATGACTGACGATCATATTGTTTTCAGCGCGCACCAGCCACATGCAGATTGATAACAGTAATACCAGAGATCATTGTGATGTACGCACCTCTATGGCCGGCTGGTGCACGCCGAAGGCGAAAAGAAGATGCATTTAATTTGCATATTTTATACGCAACAAACCGTTGCGGCTGAAATTCATCAAATATTGTTTCCTTTTTTTATGTTTCCATTTCAAAACTATGTCTTTCCTTAACTTTAGTGGATACTCATCCCTGTTTGCCTTACAGATCTGAACTCATCAAACTATGGCGTCCGAAGAAGAGAAGTTTTTCCGTCTGTTAGCAGAACAATACGGAGCCCACTGGGAACCACTGGCAACTCACCTAGGACTCTCAAATGACAGGATAACTCTCATAAAACAAGACAAGCAAAAAACAGAAGAACAAATCTTTGAAATGCTAATGACATGGAAACAGTCCAATCCGCCAGGAGATGTTACAGCACAGACGCTAGCCACAGCTTTGGCTAAATGTGGCAGGCGAGATCTGGAAAGACAAATCTTGGAAGGTACCGGTGGATAATTTTGTTGCAGGAAAATCCTTTTGATTCCCCAGTAGTTTGCTTCAATTCTTTGCTTGTTACTTGTTTCCCTCCATGTCTGAACCAGAAGTTTTGTTGAATCAATGATTTCTGGTCGAGAGTAAATCACAAGATAGTTCGCAAGTCAAATCACAAGTAAATCACAAGTACACTCACAAGTCCAGTCACAGTATTTGTGATGCGATCAAACTTAATGAGTTGTTTGTCCGGAATGTTTATTTGGAGATTCAGGCCAAAATAGGACCACTTCATCACACCACTTCATCACATTTCTTGGTGTTCCGACTTCCATATAGTTTTTTGACTAACGATGGTATCAGCATGGGGTTTTCACAGCAGTAATGCTGAAATTGTGCTCTTTTCAAATCTGTAATAAAAAATGTTTTGACCAGGGTCCACAAACGACTCGTTTGGCTTGATCGCATCACATTTATAAAGAAATAGTTGCAAACAATTATTGTCTTTGTCCGAGTTCATTTGAATAGCTTGTGACTTGACTTGGCACTGAATTACTTGTGATATAAAAAAATTTAGCCAAGATTAATTTCTTGACAAAGAGAGAGTGATGTAGTCGAGTCCACCTCATCCGAGTCCGAGCCGAGTCCACAATGGCTCAAGTTCGAGCCAAGTCCGAGTCAATTTTTGTCCAAGTCTGGCTCAAGTCCGAGTCCAAATTATCAAATCTTAGCCAAGTCCGAGTCCATTCGTGAAAAGCTTTTATAGCAGAATGCTTACATGCACGAGTACACCAAGAATACAGTGACTGTTGAATCATTGTCTTACCATTTTTCTTCAAGTCCGACAGGCAGTCCGAGTCGGCCACTAGCCGAGTCTGAGCCAAGCCGAGTCTAAAAGGCCAAGAGTCCCAGCCGAGTCTCGAGTCCAAAAAAATGGACTAGAGTCTGGACTTGAGTCCGAATCCAGACCGGAGTCCTCCATCACTGTCGGACATTATGCCATCCATTTCATCAATCACTCTCCCTCCCATCCAAATGCAGGCACCTTTCAACCTTCCGAGGATCCACCACCGAGTCCCTGCACGAAAACTGGAAGATCTTTTTGTAAGTTAACCCTCTTTTTTCTCTCAGAAGCAATGTCCTCGCTGCTCATTTGTCATCACGTGAAACCCGAGTGATAGAAATGGTGAATGGTCAGATACGCAGCTAACACTAACAGTTCTCATCCTAAGGTGCTGTGGCACGTTACAAGTCAATCACAAGTCATTCTGTCGCTAGTCTAGCCTCATTACTTATAACCTGACTTGTGACCCACTTGTGATTTTAATTTTGATGGACTCGATAAAAACTCTGTGATTTCTAATACTTTTCCCTCTATCCAGCAATTCCCGATGTTCTCACAGATCAGAAACTTCGGAGACTGTCCGATCATCTAGCAGGGGAGTGGCGTCGCTTGGCCACCCACTTAGGACTTTCATCTGACCGTGTTAGCAAGATTCAACGCGATCACCGTCAGGTGCAGGAGCAGATTTTCATGATGTTGATGGATTGGAAACACAGAGAAACTACCAAGGATCCGCTAGGACGTCTACAATCTGCGTTGAGGGAAATTGGCAGGTTAGATCTGGCTGACAAGCTAATGTTTGGTGAGTCATATTTGTGGTTTCATGCATACATTTTTGATAAATTGTTTATCTTATCAGCAATAACTAAATTGCTGCAAATTGTTTACTGGGTGAATTGACCTGAAATATACAAGTCTTAAAATTTAGGCTGCCAGATATCTTGGTGTCTTTTTTGACAAGGCGAGGAACCTTGAACAGGTCTCTTCCAGTTGTCAATCCTTGTACATGCATCTACGATGTATAGCATCAGTCAGAAACTTACTTACATCATCTGCTGTTGAACATCTCGTTCATGCTTTCATATCATCCAGATTAGATTTTTGCAATAGCCTATTTGTAGGTCCACCACAGCGTATGATAAAACGCCTCTTACATGTCCAGGAAAGCTGACGCTCGCATACTCACCAGAATGAAATCATCTTGCCATCTTGCGCAAACTTCATTGGTTACCAATCCAGTACCGCATACATTGTACATTACAAAGTTCTCCTTCTTACATTCAAAGCTCTTCATGGCTTAGCCCCACTGCATCTGAAGGAAATGTTACAACATCGTCAACTGAGACCAGGTCTGAGGTCATCATCCAATATACTGTTTTCTCCAAGACTTGTTTGGCAACCAATGAGACTGTGCAATTTTCCAGCTTTGCACCATGTCTCTTTTACTCCTTAGACGAGTTATGGGCAGTACAGTATTCATCATCACTCTTCACACGCCATCTCAAAACCCTCCTCTTCAATCAGTTTCTCTCTCACACATAACGACCTTCACTTTCACGCACATTGACTTTTCACTGACTGGACTAGAAACATTTCTGAATATCTTACAATGCAACTCCTTCAGAAATGCCAAATGAAGCTCATTACTTGGGACATTAAGTCCCATCTTGCAAACACAGCTTAATGGTGTTGTTTTTATTGATTCATAATAATAATAAGGGAATAACAGTGTGAGGAGCCGGTCTTCACTGCGTGATAATGACCGGGTGTGGGGGTGACCGCTGTTAATGGACCGCGACATTAATAAATACCTTTATAACGAAATAAGCAGTTAAAATGCTCCAATTTTGTGGCTTTTTCCCGGCGATATTTCCAGACTTTTTTGTGTTCATGTTCATGGGCCATATTTTAGCTTAACAGCTATAACGACATAAACTCAACAGAAACTGCTGCCGTAGCGAAACAAATTACAACAATGTTTTCATATCTTTACCTGATGGAGGAAGCTGAAATCTCGTTTACACATTCCTTGTGTCCGGAATTACAAAGATGCTTGGTTTAGGAAAGGTAAATATGTCGGTGGGTGAAGTGTTTCAAAGAAAATAATCGTAGATCTACGCTTTCGTCGTAAACATCCTCAGTATATACTGCACTGCTGTACGATGTCGTTTCAAAACTTCCTTACGCGCACGCACGCACGCATCCCTAGCAACTGTGTTGCGTACGCACGCGTCAGTCTCACGCGATGGGGGTTGAGCGCATGTGCAGTGCTCAATTGTTAAAAGCTACCGCAGGACTGTTACTATATTTCGACCAATCATTGGCTTGCATGGGGTTGAACGGGGCTTGATCAATGCTGGTTCAGGGGCCATTTATTCGCTTGATCTTTGAAGCCGGTTCATTATCACCGTTAATGACCGGCCACGTGATCGAGTCTCGACCAATCAGAAACCATCAACTCTCCAAGGTATTTATTAATGGGTCATATTCTTGTGAGTTCCATTCTTACACCATCCATGTCGCTCAGCAACCTACATGTGTAACTTCGTTGATCACCTTACTGGAATGCGAGATGACATTGCCCTCGGAGAACAATATGTTAGGACAAATTGGAAAATGATATTTAGCATTTAACTCAGGCTTTCGTCAGGTAAAGAGGAAATCCGCAGGACATCTTGAATGCTTGCATCAAAAGTAAAGGCTTACTCTCTGCAGTGGTGTTGTTGGGGTCAAAGGGGCACCGATTGGGGGCGTTAAAGCTAGGATTTTTGTTTGCTCTGTTTTTCGGGGGGAGGGGGAGGAGGGTGTTGCCGTCCCGTAATTCTGAGAAAAGAGGAAAAGTGGGCACAGTCATGAGGGATGAACCTCCTTACCTTGTGCCCCCCGGCCCCCCTTCTGGTTTTGAGGTTGGTCACAATCATAAAATATTTATTAAAATTAAATGCCAATTCTAAAGACTCAAGATGTTCAAACCACACTTGTGTCGTCTAAACTGCTCTTGATTTTGTGTTACAGATGCTATTTGATGGGAAAAGATGACAAGGAAAGAGACCCAAGGGTTACCAGGATTTTAGGATGTGAGACTTAGTGTAACAGTTGATCACCAGGGCAAGTATCTCTGATGTGATATCTTCTTGTGCCTTGCAGAGTGTCCTTTGGGAGACTGGATCTTCCACAACTTGGAAATGGACCTTTTGATTAGTAGGGGACGGTAATGCAATTGAGAATTTTACAGAAAAGACAAATTTATTTCAAATGAGCAAAGTGTATCCTGTACAGGTCACCATATCATGATGTAAATCAATTAGGTTTTGCCCTTCACCGACGTATAAACACTGTTGACTCCCGAGCGAAAGTTGGAAAAAAAATCACTCGGGTGGGACTCGCAACCCACGACCTCCTGCTTTCTAGTGCAGATGTGTTACCATTTGACCACTGAGCTAACGGGATCGGTTGGCTGGTTCGAATCTGATGTACAGATCAGCGGGTACCGCATTAACTATTCATAAGATGGGATTTGTTTGCGTTGGGGTGATGTAAATCAAATTATGTTGTGTTAAAATCTTGCATTTTGTATTGTACAATTTTGGCACATCTGTCGGATATGCCAAAAAAAAACCTCATGAAGTGCATGGACGATACATAACGGTATCAGCAAAGACTCCCGACAGCGTGATTTGCAGGATGCTTATTTGTGCATCACAGGATTAGCTTTGTACTTTTCAGATGTGTGACCTGTAAAGTATATATATTTATATAATATTGTATGGCTTTGAGGGGGATACAAGAAAATATTGCCTGAGCTGTAACAATATTGCACGAGTCAGAACAACCGACGGGTTCGTGGGCGATATTGGTTGGTCGTGATAACACCCTTTCGCAGCGGCGGGCTATCGCGGCGGCGGGCTATCGCATATCAACCCATAACAACGTCTAGCCGCTAGACTAAAAAGTATCCAAATAGAGCTTTCTGATTATAATATTTGAAAATGTGAGCGGTCTTGAAAAAATGAAAGAAAAACTGTCCTTGGTGTCATTTTAATCATACATGAATAAGTTTGCTTATTTAAAAGTTTTCAAATATCACCTAGTCAGCTTGAATAATATATCAACTGTACATACTTGATGCTTTAAATATTTTATTAAGCTCATTGTCAGTTTAAAGCAGGTGCACTCAAACTCTGACTGTTGCACACAGATTTCATCCTACGCCCATACGCAGCTCTGACCGTCATGTTTAAGTCATAACTTGCACGTGCAATTTAGGGTAGGCACATTTAAAACTGCATTGTGTGTTTTTGGATATTTGAATAATCAAGTTCCAATAATAGAAATGTGCACCCCTTCACAACAGTGGAGTCACCACCATACTCTGTACAGTTAAGTAGCTGTGATACAATTTTATTTACCACATGACCTCACTACAACTTGGGGAGGGATACTGTTCCAAGGTTCTTGGCTTTGTCGGACAGTGTGGTATACATATGCTTACAACTTTTGTGGAGTTTGACAGGGCAGAAACATGTGGTGATAGGTGGTAAAAAATATTGTCATTATTTTCGTTAGACTTACGCACTTTTTTTTCAGAAGTGGATGTGATTGTAGAAAAAAAAAGATATCTTTTGCTTAGGCCAAAAAAAAAGTCTCCGGTTTCTGGTATGGAGCTTGCCCCAATAGTGGTGCGGCGAGGCGCCTTTTTTTTTTTTTTTTTTTTGGCTTCAAATGTCGGCTGATGACTGCAAATGGTGCCCGACTAAACTTAGTGCAAAAATATGGGAGTCCAGAGAGGCCACATAAAGCTTATTCTCGATCATAGCCCCATCTAAAAACACGTTAAAATTGTGCAGCAGCAGGATTCCAGTCAGACCAGTGAGTTTGGCGGTTTTGAGACATCATTTTGTATTGAAAAAAAAAACTTTTTCATTTTGCCGACGCGCATGGCTACGGCGACGCGTGCGCATACCAGAAACCGGAGACTTTTTTTTTTGGCCTTAGGAGAACTTTATGCTGTAAGTAATATGTTTGCTGTTTTCTTGTTATTTCGATGCAGTGTGATAGCAGTTTCCCTTGAAAAAGTTATTTTCAAAGATTCTGATAAAGGATCGAAATTAACTTTAATTGTCACCCGAGTAACAATACAACGGTTCAATGGACAACTCACATTTAGAACAATATACGTGTACAAATAAAACAAGACAAGCGTAGTCAAACAGTTGGTATCTTTTTTTTTTTTTTAATTTATGTTTTGTAAAACAAAACCATTTCCCCTTTTCATATTATTCTTTAAATGGAAGGAAACTCAAACATTTGTTCTTGCAGGCTCTGTAGAACACTTGGTTATTTTTGTTCACCATTGCTCTGACGTTAGCAAGGAAATTGACAAATACTCAAATGTGTTGAATGAAAGTGATTTAATTTTGAAGCCTATTTGAAAGTTTGCAAGATAGAGAATGACTCAGTAAAGATTTGTTTACTCTCTGTGAGTTTTGTGTGTGGTTTTCAGAAGAAAAATGTGCAACTTTGAATAATGTACCAAATGTATGAGTCAACATTAATCTTAAAAGACTGACGCATGGTTGAGGAGTACAAATGTGGCTGGCTCCTATATATAAAAAAAAAAATGAAAAAAATGTACATTTTTCCTTGCAGCTGCTTTAGGTATTAAAATTTTAGAAAAAAAATATACATTTATGTCAGTGAGCTCTTTTGCTTTTGGATTTTGGAAGTAAATGCTATTAGGTATTTGCACACAATGTGCTTAATTGCAATGGCAAAAGCCAGTATTTTTTTAACATTAAGTTGAGAATTGTAACTGTGGCATTAAATGTCTTGCTCTTAAACAATTGTAATGATTTTTTTTAAGCCATTCCAACAAAGTTTTATTTGTGGAATCTAAATCCGCTTAAAATATTTGATTGTGTAACATTTGAAATTTCAAATGTGTGGAATTAAAAAGTTATTTAACTGTTTAATCTGTTTCCTTTTATGTTTTATCAAAAGTTTCTCTGAGAGAATTAGACATGTTTGTTAGTCTTATTTCAAGAAATTTTGGCTTGTATACAATGTCCCCACCTCCATGACTTGGCAATTGTTTTGCATTACCAAACCTAGATTTACAGAACATCCTGAATCAAGACTAGCCCTGTTTTTTGTTGTCTAGAAGAAAATGGGTTTTCATCCCCGTTAAATTCCGTTGAACCATGGAGCTATTATAATAATGACAATATTTTGTAAAGATAGACTGCCTCTTTCCATTCAAATGCCCTTTTCAACGGGCTTACCCCCCCCCCCCAATAATTTGTAAAGAGTGCCCTTTTCTAAGAAGTGCCCTTTAAAAAAAAAAAAGTACTTGTAGGCTGCATCCGAATCAGTTGTCTAGAGCTAGGTCTAGGCCTGCGCCCATTGAAAATACGCGGGGACGCGCTGACAATAGACGTAGCCGTAGCTCTGGAAGCCCGTTTCGGACACGGCCTTAGTCTTGTAGTGCCCTTTTTTGTGGCATCTACTGGTTTGGGTGCCTTTTTCTGAATTTGGCATATTGGCCTGAAACCCACCATAAATTGGCCGTTTGTGTGTGCATAATCGTCGTTTTTGAACAGCGTCTTTCACAGGTGCCCATTTTTCTAAGCAAGTGCCCCTTTTGGTGTCTCCCCCCCCCCCCCCAGTTCGAATACCGTTCCGCCGCCCCTGAACAACAGTTTGACAAGATTTGCCAATCAGACCATGGAGGAATCCTCGCTAAAGGAACTGAAAAATAAACTTGAAGGTCGTGGGCTATCTAAACCTGGCAATATTGCACAATTCGCTTCCTGTGGTAAAATTGGAATCGTCACGAAAAGCAAGCTTGCGCTGATCCAGAAATCTGACACGAAAGGCAATTGATAAACCCAGCAAGGCGAAGAACTCATAGCAGACCGTCAACGGCAGATAAAAATCGCTATTAGTAGCAAGGCCGGCGAGGCAAGGGCGGATCCAGAACACAATTTTTTGGGGGGCCAAAAAAATTTTGGTCCTCCAAAAAAGTGGGTCCAAAAATTACGGCGTGGGGTTCGGGGCCCGCTTAAGGGCCCCGAAAAAATTTTGGATTCTAGATGCTCTGTGGTGCGATCTGAGGCAATTTCTGACCACTTTAACCAATGTTTTTTTGAGGAAAAGATGGTGGTGTACTCATTGCCTGCCTTTTTTGCGATGTCACATATAAAAAAAAAAAATTGGTTTCGTTTTGGGGGGGGGGGGGGGCCATGGCCCCCTTTGGCCCCCCCCCCCCTGGATCCGCCCTTGCGGCTAGGTGACGTCTCAGCAATTGGAGAAAGGCGGGAAAAAGCACCAGATATCGTTCCTATTATTATGTTCAAATGAAGTTTCTGTTTTGCTTGCTTTTTCTATATATTTTTTTTATATTGTACGTCAGGCTTGCAAGGGCGGATCCAGGGCCGGGGGCCAACGGGGGCCATGCCCCCCCCCCCCCCCCCCCCCAACTGAAAAACCGAACCTAATGTTTTTTAAGCGACGTCGCAATAAAGGCAGGCACTGCTTACACCACCATCTTTTCCTCAAACAAAACTGGTTAAAGTGGTCAGAAATTGCCTCAGATCGCACCACAGAGCATCTAGAATCCCAAAAATTTAAATTAATTTTAATACTAAAGACCTGAGTAAAATAAATGAATAAATACAAACCAAAAGTTAATTGTAAGCTAGATGACTGGAACATATGGCTTCAATTCCTCTCCGAAAATGCTCGTACGTTTTCTTTTGACATAAAATCGGGACACCATCACATCCATATTTTTTAGCGAGTTTCAGAAATATTTAGGTTTTCATGGATCAACAACAACGTTCATATGAAATTTTGAATTTACCGTTCTGCCGTTTGGTCTGTCTTCAGCTCCATCGCTTCTTACAAAGATGATGAAGCCACTGGGTACTCATCGGTGAGCGGCTGGTATCCTCATTGCTGTCTACTTGGGATGATGGATTTTGTGTTATTCCTAGGCCTTGTGCGTCTGATGATAAGGAATATAATCTAAGTGTCGCTCTATAAGGATGTTCTACGCATGTGAAATCCGACTTAACTAAGCTGGTTTTGTGAATAACATTGAGAAAAGTCATTAGGATTCCTAACACAATTGGGTGGCTAGGTATGACATGGGACTCGTCTGTAGGCACTTTACAGGTTGCTCGAAGACGTGTTGATTAAGATCTTGAACACAGTCAGCGAGATTAAGAATTCAGAAAGTTACATTCATCCGTTGGACAGGTATCACTTTAATAGCTCAGGAGTAGGCAACTTTACCACTCGAAACCTGTCAAATCATAGAATAGCATAGGCCACACATGAAGACGATGTGATGTTATTGGACGATACCTGTTCTTCTGAGTTAGGTTTTTGGGAAAACACTTTCTCAATTTAACATAAATATACGGTAAATAATTACTTCCAGTAAAGAAAACAAGTTAGTGTGTTTTGACGGCATACTTTTGGCTCAGGTGCAGTGATATGCAATGATTTTCACACTGCCCACACAAATTGGACATAACAGAAAGCAAAGACAAGTCAACAAGGCGTGAATTGAACAGTATTTGCCATTTCATCCTTTTTGCCGATAATTTCTAAATCAAAAATAAAAGTCTACACTGAGATAGTCAATCTATATTGTTGAATTTGCAGCATGAATGCAGATTTAATACAAAAGCTGGCATTGGCAATCAGTATTTACAACACTTCTGTCTTGTCTGAGTTCGAAGATTATATTTTACTCGATGTGGAATCATGGATTCCAAGAACGGTAAATGAGCAAGCAGATTATATTAGTTGATTGGTAAATACCAATCTGCTAATAAAGACGATTGGATAATTGTTCTCCATTACATACAATACATGGGATCCCTTTACATATTGTTTTGCAACTTTTTTATAACGTTATATTGCCTCGCTTCTTTTCATCACAGTTTTGGAATCCGGGTACTTCCGGAGAAGGCGGGTACTTACTTCCGGAGAAGGCGCGTTCGCTCAAAACTTGGTCAGCAGAAAAGTGTCTCTTCCACCAGTAGGCCTATAGTTTTGATTCCTGACGTCTTAAAGCAGCTCTTTTCTTGTAAGCCTTCTTCCCCATTTTGACCCTTGCTTTGGTCCTGCTTTATACCATGGATATAAGGTTTTATTTCTTTATAAGGTCCAGATCTGTTACAGTAATGTAATTGAAGGAACTGACAAGAATTCTCTTTTGGGATCCAAGCAATTTAATAGCCCAATTTGTGCGATATATTGTACATAGTAAAAAAAACATTGTTAATTGCAGGAAATAATCCCAAGATGTGAAATTGTTATAATCCCAAATCTGAACATTGATTAATGTCCCTCAACATAGTTTTCATTATTAAATGTTGAGGTTGAAACTTGTTGAATAATTCCATAAGTATGTTTGCAAAAATCATGATTAAATATGGAAATATGTTTTGTTTTATTAAGGGAATAAATGTGTGATTGGTCGGTTAAACACTGTTTAAGACCGGTTGGGGTCTGGATGCCGATAATTACCCGAGCCCAAGGCAAAAAATACACCCCCAAAAAACGATTTTGTTCAACAAGTTAACTTCATGTTTTTCGAAACACCCCTCTTAGCTATATTTTTGGTACGTCCGTGTCGTAAACAACTCTTTATAATAATGGAGATTGGCATGCACGTCGCGCGTGCTGTGCGAAGTGGCGCAGAACGCAGCTGTGCCGGTTTACCGTGACTTTTGGATTATGTGGTAAAATGTTGATGGATTTCCGGACAGAAAATCCGAAGAGCTGTGAGATGTAAAATCCCCAAAAAGTATCTGGTGAACTTAATTGTACCTAAACTATATATGAACATGGTTCAATAATCATATATTTTAATTCATTAATTGCAATTTGCGATATTGTGTTCCGGACAAATAATCCGAAGAGCCGTGGGGACTAAAATCCCAGGGTAGGATTTGATGATGTTAGTGAATATTTTAGTATAAATTAAATGGTTCAGTATGGATAGAATCTCTTATTTTATTTATTTTGTGATTACTGTTGATTTAGGTCTGATAATAACGCTACAATTGGGGGATTAATTTTCGAAGTTTCGATGGTTAAACGTAGGCCCTACATGTGCATATTTATTATTTCTCCAAATAAAATAATTATTGGACTTTTTTTGTATCGCCCCAACTAGATGGGACTGGCCCAACTATAGCCTTGACCAAGGCTATCAGCTTGTTCCCATATGAGCTTGTTCCCGCTACCGCACACCGCGCGCGCAGCGACACAATGTTGTACTATACCGTTAGCCCCAACGACCCTTGCGTGTGCTTTGTGTGCATGTATATGTTGTACTTACGCCCCACACACACTTCCGCAAACAGCCGTACAGTAAGTCGAGGCGGAAGATAGCCTTGACGCAACCGTGTATGCCGAATATGATAATTAGTACGCGCTATGGTAAATAGTCTTCTCTTATTGGATAACGGCTGACAAAAAATGAATATTTATTGCATTACATAATACGACCAAAGGTTTATAAACCAGACGGCCTGTGGTAACAATAATTATTGTAAACACCCCCTTAAAATCTTAAATAATAGTAGAATAATATTTATAAAGTTACACATAGTTTGGGTCGAAAATGAAATGAAAAAGGATGAAAAATTAGACCTTCCAAAAACGGCAAACGGTACAAAACCGCACGCCGGCAAAAACGATGTCACCATGCACAGAGGCCACGTTGGTGCCGTCCACTGTAGGCACCGGCCCGGCTGGCGCCATGCAGGACACGCTGCGCTTTCACGTTCAGCGGCAAAAAAAGTGCTCACACTATTGAGTATATCTACCGCTGACTTTTGGGGGGGGGGGGGGGTATTTCTTCTAAGCTGTCAAGGGGATATGGGAAAAAAATATCTCTCCTTCAGCAAACTTATTCTGTAAGACTGATTTTAACTTGTATGAACAACTTATAAGTTATATGTCGTATGTACGACTAATATATCGACAGGGTACGACATATTTCGACAGGGTACGACTAATATCATCGACAGGGTACGACATATATGTCGACAGAGTATGACATATCAAACATGTGACATAATGTCGACAGGTGCCGGTGCAACATATATGTCGTGCATAAGTCGAGTCGACAGGGTACGATATACTTTTGTCGCATACGACAAAGTCGTATATAAGTACGACTTAATATCTCGTGTGTACAAAATATGAATTGTAACTCGTATGTTTGACTTGTTTGTCGATTATGTCGTACATGCAACATATCTTGTGAGAACGACTTGTATCTTGTGCGATTTACATCTACGACTTACATGTCGTACGTATGTCGTAGGTACGACATATACGATTCATACGTACGCGTTAAAATACATGTGTCGTACGTATGAGATGTAATTTGCACATGGTACGTATTCAGGGAGAGTTTTGTTTTCACCATGTACCTGACAGTTTCGTATATTTCCATCCCAAAGTCAATAGCTCGTTTCTTGCAGTTAATTCATACGGGTGCTTATAGATACGAGTTAACCTGCATTCGATTAAATGGGTATGATTTGACCTGGGTCCGAGTTGACCTGTTCCCTACATTCGCTGTCAGAATAGCACGGGCAGGTAGCGGCGTGATAATGTACGCTGTTGCACCGACAAAACGTCGGCGGACTGTCTTGAACTGTCCAATTCGCAATACATTGGAAATAGTATCATTTTGAACAAATTGTTCACTCATATAGCGGCATATGTTTCATTTGTTTGTAATACAACTGGAGAAATGGTTTAAAATGGGATTGAAATACCTGGACATACCATGGTTTTAGTGAACATACATGTACATGTACATGTACGTGGTGTATACAGTAATTTGTGGGTCATGAATATGTATATCGCAGGTCAAAGTTTACGGGCTTTGATTGGATATCGTGTAATATATGCGCATCAGAAATTTTCGGCCGATTTCGGTCGAAACTATAAAGAAACACATAAGGAATTCGACACAGTTGCGTCAAGGCTATCTTGCGCTTCGACTTATTGTACGGCTGTTTGCGGAAGTGTGTGTGGGGCGTACGTACAATACATGCACACAAAGCACACGCAAGGGTCGTTGAGGCTAACGGTATAGTACAACTAGTGATTGTGTCGCGGCGCGGCGCGCGCGGTGTGCGGTAGCGGGAACAAGCTCGTATGAGAACAAGCTGATAGCCTTGGTGAAGGCTAGCCCAACTATAGTTGGTACCGTGACCATTTTATGCGGATGATAATAAGCGAAGTGAAGGAGCGTGAAACGCAAAAAAAACCTGATATTAATGAGGGCGCTGTTCGATTTTACAAATCGCCGAGGAATTTCCGGAAATCCCCCAATAACAAAATCTGCCCGCATTTGCTGTATGTAGTTGACATCGACACTTGTTGAACAACATCTCTCAGGACGAATTGTTTTCTTCAACGTAAAGGAGGTAAGAACTTCATAATGCCATACATCAATTTTTTGATCTCCAGTCTGAACATGGGATGAATTTGAGTAACGCAACTGGTCGTTTTGGGGCGGGTTTGGGGAGATTTGGGGCATTTTCTTCGGGCGTGTCGATTCGTCGATTCATAATAAATAATGCCAGTACAGTCTGCTGGAGTGCTGCGCCAGTCATGCCAGTTCGTGGTATTGGCGTTGCAGGCAGGGTGACCGTAGGGTCATGGCAAAATTCTGCTAGATGCACTTCAAAAATCTGGTAGATTTAACAAAAATCTGTTAAATCACCTATTACCCGAAATACATTTTAATCACTTATCACATGCAGATGTTATAAAATTTCCTTGGGAAAAATAAAAACAACTAGGCCTAGAGCGGTTACAGTAGGAACAACCACACGGTGTTGGGCCATTGACTACCGCAAACTTTTCTACACACATGAACTCAAAATGCATATTTTAATCCATGTTTAACTTAGTCAACATGCCGCTTGAGGGCGCTGTCACATTTTATGATGTCACCTTTAATATTTTTGTAAAGTACAGCCTAGGCAGAAATTCACATCATTGAAAGCAAGTTCACATCTTTTGCCAATTTCGAATTATAAGGCACTTCCGGTTTCGAACGGAAGGAAGGGTCATGTGATTTTGTACTAAATACAAAAATGAAGACCCTGCAATATTGTATCGATTTTCATAAAAAACGAAATCAAATCTGTAACAGTTGATTTTATATTAATTTTCGAAGATTAAATATGGAAATCTTTATATATGACACTTGATGATGTGATTGTGACGTCATCGCCAGAAACCTCCAGAGCTATATTTACTGTGCTATATATAGCCACATCTTGATTATATCTCTCACGGTTAATTTGTTTGCAATTGTTTAAGGTTTAAAGGTCTTTTCTTTATAACTTCCGGTATGATGACGTAATAAAAAAAAATTCTCGCACAGGTCTTGTCTGCATTAAGTTCATCATATATTAATGTTGAAGCGATTACTGCAAATTTCGCTACAGATATCAAGTGAAAATACGTTTTTGACGTTTTTTAACCTGCCGCTAGAGGGCGCTCTAACATTTTATGACGTCACCTGTAATATATTTCTGAAGTACAGCCTAGGCAGACACTCACATCGTTGAAAGCAAGTTCATATTTCCACTTTCAAATAATTAGGCACTTCCGGTTTCGACCGGAAGGAAGGGTCACGTGATTTTGCACGCACAAGATAAATTGAAGATCATGTATTATCATGTTGATTCCCGCAAAATTCAAGTTCTGGTCTCTTACGGTTGATTTTATATTGAATTTCAAAGATTAAATTTATTTTTTGTGCAAGTGACGTCACGTGACCCGTGATGACGTCATAATGACGTAATTGAAAAAAAGCACATCTTCAGCGGGTTGTGCATTCATGTATTGACAATTGAAGTCCTTATTTTTTCATTTTGACAAACAGTTCTAGAAACGAATTGTGTCTTGGAGAATAAAAAAAAAATTTTTTTTACAATAACAATAGCTTTTGGGCAAAATCCCAACACCTAAAAATCATAAAATTTCCTTTAACAAAATTAAATTAAATTGCAAGTGTCTAGCCTGGCTTGCAATGATTGGCAATGGTCTCAAGACACTTTCTAGTACAGGGAAACCTCAAATTGAAGCTTTTGCAAACCTAGCCCTAGTCGATGGCCGCACTAGAGTAGACTCTGCATGCTTGCAGCTATACTCCAGTGCGGGCTGGCCATAGACTAGGGTTGTTTCAAAACTAATCACCTATGTTTTTCAAATCTGCCATATTTTTCTGTCAGATCACCAATTTTACAGAATTCTGCTATAAAAAAAAATTCATTCCGCTAAATTTTCTGTCAAACTTGTTTTTTTTTCTTCGAAAAATGGGGACCCCTCCCACTTTTTAAAGTGTGTGTGTGTGTGTGTGTGTGGGGGGGGGGGGGGGGGGGGGGGGATATCATATCGTTTGTCCCCCTCCCCCACTTTTTCGTCCCCAAATAAAATTGTAGCTGACATAGTGATTCTCTATAGCTTAGGATAGCTCATTCAATGACTCCAAACTCAACAGTGGTGCTTAAAAGCTGATCTTTTGCTCATAAAAATTGGCTTTGTCGAGCGCAATTTGAGTCCCCCACGCAAGTTTAAACTTGCGCACACGCAAGTTTGAACTTGCGCACGCATTAATTTTCTTGCTACAAATTGCGCACGCAAGTTTAAACTTGCGCACTGCATAGATTTTCCGCTTTTCCCGGCCACGCATACACAGCCGCCAAACTGTTTTTCGGGTATACTCATGCACATAGGCCTACATGTATGTATTATTTTTAAAGCAGATTTTTTTCCCCGATTTAATAGCATTACTGAGCTTCGGGAGACAATGCCTAAATGCCTTTTTTGAAACAATTTATTAACAGTATTATGCTAATGATGTTGACTGTGTAGAGGTTCAGAGATAAGGGGTGGTATTAAATGCGAACAATTTATGCACTTTGCATCATGATGTGTATTATTGTTTATGGCTGATTAGGATTTTTGTTTAATAAAGAACATATTTATTCAGTAAGTCGAATTCATTAATTAAATTAATAAATTAAATTCATTAATTAAATCATTTACAAATTTATTTACTTAAAATAATTACCTTTTTATATGCATAGTGTTTTTAAGTTGTAAACATTAATATGAATTATTGAGTCTACAATAAAAAAATTGTTAAAGTAATAACTTTAATTAAATAATTTAATTAAGAATAAGCACTTTTTTAATTGTAGAGTACATGTTATGTAATTTAAAGCATTTTAAAAATAATGTAAATGATTACTATAATGTCAAAACCAAATTGAACAATTGACGGGATCATAATCATTCTTTTTACGCTAACAGCGGGTTACACCTAGGAAATTACGATTTATTTACTTTCAAGAATATAAATAAAATGCTAATTAGGTTTACAAAGCAAAAAACGTGAAGCTGGTCTCCATTATTGACCAACTTCAGTACACTTTCCAAGCAATCGCCGCTAGTGTGCTTAAGTTGATTGCTTGTTTGGTCCCCTCCCCGGCCCCGCCCCCACATACCCCTAAAAACCTTCTCTGATAAGCACTGCTAAATCTCAATGCTTTTTTTCATTGACGCTAATTGAATTCCCCTTTTTATTTATTTCTTTGTTCATTCATTTATTCCATTATTTCTCCATGTACTCGTGTTTTGAACAGTTTTTTCTTCATCAATGAAAATTCCGTCCTCAAGGTTCTGAAATTGCCATTGCCTTTGCGCAAGTTTAAACTTGCGCACGCAAATTAAAATGGCGCAGTGTAATTTGCGTGCTTCTGGAGTCACTCACGCAAGTTTAAACTTTTAATGTTCAGAAAATTGCCTTAGATCGCACCACAGAGCATCTTAAAGAATCTTGCTTCGCACTCGGATAAGTTCTTTGGATAACAATTTCGGAGGTACTGAGCTTCGATATTTGCTGAATTTGAAAGTACATACATGTATCTCTGGCAAATATCAATAAAGACAGAAATATTGCCGTTCAAAATTTACAACTTTTGCAGTTGAAATGCTTGAAAGTTCCTTTCATGGAGACACTGGTGATTCTGTGTACTTTTTGTGGTAAGACAAGCGTGAGTTTAAATTTGCGAGTTCAATCACCGCTGCGTCGTCCACACTATTAAAGGGAATATACATCATTTGCTTTTGCTGTAATTTTCAGAAATGGATGGAATTGGGGGATTGGAAATATAAAGCAAATATAGTTACATTGACTTTTTGGAGGTTTTGGGTTCGAAAATGCTATAAAAACCAAGAAAAACGATCATTTACCTGTAGTCTGGTTCCCTGACTCCATATAAGAAGAAACAGAGCAGTTTACATACATTGGGGAATTGTAAGGTCAGGGAACCAGTCTAGCTGGCTCGTACCCGTTCATAGGTTTGTAATCGATTGCAAACAAGTGCAATAGTCAATTGGGGCCAGTATTTGAAAAAAAGCCAGTTGTTTCCAACGCTGATCGGCCGATCAGCGTTGGAAATTGATACAAAAATACCACTTTTCTTGAAAATGACAGTATACCAGGTGCCATAATTTTACAGGATGCTTTAGACTGTCATTTACCAACGTCCTATTAAGGTATTTCGCAAAAACTTGGTAGTTTTATTTTCGATGTTTGCAAATGTTGTATATTCCCTTTAACAAATAAACGGAAGTTACGTGTGATGCACGTGCGCGAGTATCTATCCAATCAAAGGCTTTAAATGTGAGCTAATTACCGGTCCCCATATATTGAGGGGGGGGGGGTGGGAAACAGTTCAGTCGAGTCCTTCTGGCTCTATTAAAAGTTCCTCGCAGGAGGAAAAGTGCAATTATGATCAAGTTTTTGGTTTATGTGCCTTCGGGCATTTTTGTCATCTTCGGGTTTCTATGTTGTCTGTTGTATGTAAATCTTCGGGTTCTGCGTGTTTGTCTTTGTCTTGGGCAGGAGGGTTTGCAACCCTACTAGCTTGGTCCGGTGTGGCCGGCCGGCCTGCCCCCCCCCCCCCCCCCCCCCCCCCCCCCCCAGCGTGGTGCCTGGGGGGGGGGGGGCCATAACAAGCAAGTATCGATCCAATCAAAGGCTTTAAATGTGAGCTAGTTACCGGTCAAACTATTATAACATGGAATTTTTGCGCTGGGGTGACACAAATCAAATTAGGTTTTGCCCTTCACAGACGTTTAAACACTGTATACTCAGTGTGTTACCTCCCGAGTGAAAGTTGGGCAAAATCACTCGGGTGGGACTCCAACCCACGACCTCCTGCTTTCTAGTGCAGATGTCTAACCACTTACAACAGATCCTTTCGGTCCTCGGGCATTGCGTCTGTTGTTAAATCTCTTGATGATGAACAGAGCATAGTGTTCGAATTGGCAAGTTAATCCAACAGGTTCTCTTCAAAACCACACGTACTCACAAAAGAGATAGTTCCACATGGTGTTACCACAAACCTCTCACTTACATGTAAGTTGATGTTAAAAGAGTGGTGTTACATGTATGTCATGGGAACAGTCACAGTTGCTGGGCATTTGTCTTTGTAAACACACCTGACTTGGTTTTTTTTTATCCCCTCAGATCTCCAACACTGGATGTATTATGGCTCAGAGCTTTGTTGCTGTTATTGCTGTTAAAGATGAATCAGGAGACATCAAATACAGTAACCTGAAAGTACTTCCAGAGGTCCAAAGAGGGACAGTATCGAAGGTTTTTACATTTTTTTTATGTTTAGGCAAATTAGGACCGAGTTGGGGAACTTTCTGCTGTCCCCACAGTGTCTTCGGTCCCCATGATACCATGGGATAACTTGTGTGTGGTCCCCACAACTACGGAACAAGAGTGTGTGGGTAGGCCTACACCATGTTATGGGGAAGGTATTCATTGTTAAGCAAATTAGGATCAAGTTATGGGGACTTTTCTGTCACCACAGTGTTTTCAGTACCCACAAATACCTTGTAGAGACGAGTGTACGGTATGTCCCCACAACACGGCACATACCCACACACACCAATACTTGTTCCGTAGTTGTGGGAACTACACACACAATTTCCCATGGTAGTATGGAGACCGAAGACGCTGTGTGAACAGCAGAAAGTTTCCACAACTCGGTCCTAATGTGCCTAACATATAAAAACTTCCCTTTAACACAGTGACAGCCCGCCCCACACATTCTTGTTCTGTAACTGTGGGTACTACACATGTGTTGTCCTATGGTATTATGGGGACCGAAGACGCTATGGGGACAGCAGAAATTCCACATAGTGATAACTTGGTCCTAATTTCCCCCAAAAGTTAAAAAAACCAACTTCCCCAGTGCCGACCAGCCCACAGTTGTACTTTAATACCATTCCATTTTAGAACAAGGCATTGTATTTCCCTTTATTCCTATTATAAAACACACAGACTTGCGTTCGAGGAGTGTTCTTAACAAAAGATAGGCATTAAACTTGTGCAAAGAACGCATGTTAGTTTTTTTTTTTTCACCCCCTCAGATCTCCAACAAAAAAAGTAATGCTAATGGCGTGGCTCAGGGACGTGATTCAGACTATTCCGATGGACCAGGAGACACCAAACACATTCTGAAAGGAGATTCAGAGGTCAAAACAGGGACAGTATGGGGTCCACTATTGAATGTTTTTACATTTTTTTCATGGTTAGACAAATTAGGACCGAGTTGGGGAACTTTCTGCTGTCCCCACAGTGTCTTCGGTCCCCATAATACCATGGGACAACTTATGTGTACCTGTGGGTAGGCCTACACCGCGTTATGGGGAAGGTAATTATTGTTAAGCAAATTAGGACCAAGTTATGGGGACTTTTTTCTGTCCCCACAGTATTTTCGGTCCCCACAAATACCTTGTAGAGACGAGTGTACGGTATGTCCCCACAACTACGGAACAAGAATGTGTGTACATGTACATACCCACACACACCAATACTTGTTCCGTAGTTGGGACTACACACACAATTTCCCATGGTAGTATGGGGACCAAAGACGCTGTGGGGACAGAAGAAAGTTCCAACAACTGGGTCCTAATTGGCCTAACAATAAAAACGTCCCCATAATGCAGTGACGGTCCGCCCCACACATTCTTATTCTGTAAGCGTGGGTACTACACATGTGTTGTCCTATGGTATTATGGGGACCGAAGACGCTATGGGGACCTGTAGCAGAAATTCCACATAGTGATAACTTGGTCCTAATTTCCTCAAAAAGTAGGAAAAAAATTTAATTAAAAAAAAAATAATGTGGTGACGACCTGCCCACAGTTGTACTTTGATACCATTCCATTTCAGAACAAGGCATTGTATTTCCCTTTATTCCTATTATAAAACACACAGACTTGTGTTCGAGGAGTGTTCTTAACAAAAGATAGGCATTAAACGTGTGCAAAGAATGCATGTTAGTTTGGTTTTTTTTTTTTCACCCCCTCAGACCTCCAACACTGGAAAAAGTATGGCTCAGCGATGTGATTCAGCAGACTATTCCGATGGAGCAGGAGACACCCAATACCTTAACCTGAAAGACTTTTCAGGTGACAGACTCTTCCGTCTGCTGGCAGAGAGGCTTGGTGCCCACTGGGAACCCATAGCAACATTTTTAGGGATCTCCAGCGATAACATAACCGCCCTCAAAAAAGAGTATTCCGACCCAGATGAGCAGATTTTTCAAATGCTTACGGCGTGGCAAAAAAATTTGGCAGACACTGGCAACATGGTTCAACTGTTGGTTAACGCTTTGGAGCAAGGTGGCAGAAAGGACTTGGCAAAGGAGCTACAAAATGGTATGTGATGATTATGGTTGGTGTCATCATGATCTGCATGATTAGGCACAGGGTGCCGGTTTAAGCCAAATTTTGGCTAAACTTTACAAAAAAAATTTGGGAAAAAAACCCTGAGTTTGACAGAAAAATTTATTAGCAGACGTAACCTTTTTTAGCAGATTTCTAGCAGAATTCTGTAAAATTGGTAATCTGACAGAAAAATATGGCAGATTTGAAAAAAAAATATAGCTGATTAGTTTTGAAAAAAGCTTTAATATCTGGTTCCCTGACTTGTATTAGTACAGGGCAAAGTACTTGAGACCATTGCAAGCCAGGCTAGACACGTGCACATTTAAAAAAAAAATCAATTTAATTTTTTTTATAGGAAATTTTATGATTTTTGTTTTGTTTAAGGGAATTTCATAGCATCTGCATGTGAGAAGTGTTTATAATGTTTTTTGTGTAATAATAGGTGATTTAGCAGATTTTGGTGAATCTAGCAGATTTTTGAAGTGCATCTGGCAGAATTTTGCCATTACCTTACGGTCACCCTGATTAGGCACTCCTTCTGCACTAAAAACGCAAATGTATCACTCCAAAAGCATCAGACTCAAATGTACTTGCATGAGCCGATCATGCAAATAGCATTTGATTGCAGAAGGCAGAGTTTGTATTATCTATCACTAATGCAGTGCAAATCCCACAAACCCATTCCTGCAAGGTTAATCAATTGTGCTCCGCGATTATTAAAGGGAATATACAACATTTGCAAACATCAAAAAACGAAATGATAACATTATCATGAATTACCTTACTGGATTGTTAAGGAATGACAGTCTAAAGCGTCCTGTAAAATGGTAGCTTCTGGTGTGCTGACATTTTCAAGAAAAATTGTATTTTTCCAACGCTGGTCGGCCGACCAGCATTGGAGAAAACTGGCTTTTTTTTTCAATATGATCACACACCTGTGAAGGAGTTCAAACCTGCTAGACTGATTCTCTGACCTTACAATTCCCCAACGTCTATATATTGCTCTGATTCATCGTAAGTGGGATCAGGGAACCAGACTACAAGAACATGATTGATTTTCTTGGTTTTTCCAGCATCTACCAGCCCAAAACGTGAAACAAGTCAGTTCAACAATAACATACTAATCCTCCAAATCCATTTAGGCTATTTCTGAAAATTGCAGCAAAAGCAAATGTTGTACATTCCCTTTAATACACTTGATAAAACTGATGTGTTTCAGTGTCATGATGTCGTCTTTACTGAGTTCTGTCTATTTTGTGACTGTTGTATGTAATGTATCTCGATCTCCCTCTCCTCCCCCCCCCCCCCGAGAATGACAATGGTGATGTATATAGGTCATCCTTTCTCCTCTATTTTTTAAAGGTTTATGGAAAATACCTAAAGAACCAGTGGTTCCTACCACTTCAAGCGGTAAGCCTCATGGTAAGTGCGCACGTTCTCAAGTGCTCAAGTCACAAGTCAATTCAGACGCAAGACCCTTTCTCTGACAATTAGTCAACAGCTCTGTTATGTACCACCAGATGTATTAACATAGTTCTAATGTCAAATAGATCATTTCGGTGGTGCACTTGAAAAATAGAGAGGATTTTAGACACAAGTAAAATATATTTAAGTTACAGATTTTTATATTGTCAGTGTTGACAATGATAACGTCGACATTTATCTTTAAACACTCGGTCTGTTTAATGACGTTTCGCTTTTGGGTTAATGCAAACTCTACGTTAAATTTTCAATGTGTATTGGTTTTCCTAATGAATTTTAAAGTGAAATTTGGACATATCCCATAAAGGCACTCCTACTATCGAGGAAAAAAGGCTCCGTAAATTTTCAGAGAAACTTTCGGGAGACATGGAGAGGCTAGCAACGGAGCTAGGAGTGGCCAGCGAGCGAGTCGATAAAATTAAGGATAAGAATCGAAAGGTGGCCGAGCAGACGTTCCAGATGTTCCGATATTGGCAGTGCAATACACCGGGTGTCAATCACCTGGATGAGCTGGTTACCGCACTGAAGGCAGTTGGCAGGCGTGACGTAGCAAGGGAGATTGAAAATGGTTTGTAAAACATCTTCTAGCAAGCCTTTTTTAAATCATAGATGATCATTTTATGTAAACTGTACTGTGTATTAGCGTTGCAAACCGAAACTGAACCGACCCGAAACCAACTTTGGATCAGGGCAGTTTGGCCATCATTTCAGTGGGGTCGGTTTTGGTTTTGGTTAGCAATTTTTGAGTCGGGTCAGGTCGGTTAACCCATTTTGAAAAAACCCGAAATAAACCGAAACAGTTTGGAAATTGACACGGTGCAATATTTATCGCAGAGTCTCTGTGCCCGGTACGACCAAAATGGTTTGCGGTCAATCATGCACGGTCTATGTAGGCCCACCCGTAGGTCATTTTGTGAGTGCCGTACGATATGATTCAGTTACTGAGAGACGATGATTTTCACGCGACGCAGGTACATTCAGGCACAAAAAGCAGACACAGTTGCCCAAGCCAGATATTCAGGTGTTTTTTTGGGGGTTGGTTGGTTTTAGGTCGGTTTGGGTCGATTTTCCTTGAAGCGGTTTTGGTTCGGATTCCAATGGAGGGCTGGTTTATGCGTATCTCCCCCCCCCCCCCCCCCCCCCCCCCCCCCCCCCCGCGCAGATCTGTTTGAACCCAAAGCAAAAAGGAAGGGAAAGGATTATGCTTTGAGTGTAGGATATCCTCATGGCATGCCATATGTACAGTACTACCAGATATTTTAATGAAATCACCCTTTACCTTTTTTTCTATTTACCTTGCATTGTAGGAACGTTGTAGAGAGAGAGAGATATAAAAGAGAAAGTTGAGCTGATTGCATGCAGTCAGTATCCAGAAATGATTGAATTACAAGATGCATGGATCCAGTGACAGTCACGGCCTTGGACAGGATTCCATCTCGGAGCAACACATGTTGTCGTGTCCGTGCAACAAGGTCTTGTTTCCTAAACTTGGCCGTACGTGAAACGCGAGTTTCAGAATATCAAAAGGTCGTATCTCACTTACAATAACCGGGATGTTCACACAAAGTCAATGGACGTAGAGTACGACCTTGTCGCACGGAGCACATTCGTGCGAGATACGACTTTGTTGCAGGATGGAGTTACTACCTTCTTGCACTGATGCGACGATATTTGTGTTACAAATTTGAAACTAAATCTTAAACATGGGAGTTTGAAATTGAAGAATCGTCAAATTGAAAGGGCCTGCTGAGGTTTTAGTCCTAGCAAAATCTTGCTCAATGAGAAAACTTGAGAATTTTAGAATATACATGTAAACTTGCTTATGATGAAGAAGTTAACAGTAATAAGACTGAAATACTGCTTTGAAGCCAACATCTTAACTCTTTTTATATTTTACGACAGTTTTGAAGTTTTTAGCCAATAAGGTAATAATGAATGGGAATGACAGTGTGGTGGAGTAGTTTTAAACATCTCGTTTAAAACCTGTTTGGGGCTTGGTTGCTGATAATGGTCCTCGCCTTCGGGCAATAGGCCTGAGACTTAATGATGTCACACTTTGTTTACATGTGTGCTTTTCTGTGTGGTAGACGGTCCCTACTTCGTCTGGCTTCCCGACTTCACTCCCATAGGAAAGCGCATAATGTTAACAAAACCATTAAGTCATTAGGTCTGAGGTTAATTATCAGGGACCAGACCCCTAATGGTTTAAAACTGGACATTTAAAATGGCACTACCGCACTGTTCTTCCCTGAGTACTGCTATGAAATTTTTAAGCATGTACAAAGGTCTCAGACTATTACTGATTACAGCCGTAATGGCAAATTCAACCAGAGTGCCTTCCAGGTGCTAGTCATGGGTGTCGCGAGGGGGGGGCAAGGGGGGGCACTTGCCCCCCCCTGGAAAAGCCAAAAAAAAAAAAAAAAAAAAAAAAAGGACGAAAAAAAAGGAAAAAAAAAGAAAAGAAAAAGAGGCGCGAAGACAAAGTGGTGTAAATTTAATGAGTTGGGGGGGGGGGCCAAATGTCCCTGCCCCCCTCTAAAACTGATAAATCGAGAATGTGTTGAGAAATACAAGCATTTTTGGGCAAAAAAATTTTTTGCCCCCCTCTAGAAAAAATCCTGGCGACGCCCATGGTGCTAGTATATAACGAATGTTTGTGAGAGTGATGGTAAGAATAATTTCATTTGGTGACAGATTGAATGTTCTATTCCACGAGGCGAAGCCGAGTAGAATTGAACATTCAATCTGTCACCAAATGAAATTATTCTTTCCATCGCACGAACGTAAAACATTCGTTATTTGTTTTATACAACACCTGAATAAATTGTCGTCATTTGATTGGTAAATTATAAACTACATTTTATTTTGATTTTAAAGATGTTGAACTACCCCTTCACGAAAATGTTTGAACCCAACGCTGTAGCGCTGGCTCTTTGGAACAATACGCGCTACGCTGAACGCGCACACCAGCATGCATTTTGCACGCAAATACCGCGTCATGGAACAAGCGCAAAGTGAAACGGTTTAACGCATGGGTATAACGCATGGTTGCACCGTGCATTATACCGAATAATAATATGTCACGTGATCTACAATTCACCAATCAGATGACGGGGATTTATTCAGGTGTTGTATAAATATTCATATTAATAATGTGATTGGTCCATTCCATTTCCTACAAAGTTATTTCTGTTGTTCTGAAAAAAAAAAAAAACCTTCAGGCAATCTAATTTTAAAGTAGATTCATATTAGTAGTTAGTCTGAGTATCACCCGTTCTCCATGCAACCCACCTCCGGTAGAACGTCTGATATATCAAAGCATGTGTGATGTCATTTCATTCTGAAATCAGGACTAAGATTGTGATTAGTCAATTTCAATGCCACGTTTTTGTAATACAACAACTTGTACAAAATGCTACTAATCGTGGGTGTGATGTTTACGCACATGATGAGCTGGCATTACGCGCGTATAGAAGGCACCTGCTGATTGGTCAGTTTCTGGAGGTCATACGCAGTCTAGTTGCATAATTAATTGCCGAATCTGTTTACACACCATAGACCATGGTTGGCTTTACCAGGGCTAGGGTCTATTACATAGACTAATAGTGCGCAGCTTGTGTTTTACTGAATTTGAAATATATTAGAATACATGTAACTGTAGAAATAATTTAGATCTGTATTTATACATGTAGATACAATATTTAAATAGAAATAATTAAATTGAAGTAGAGCAAGATTTTTACATGAGAAGAATGTTCTAAAACTCAAATTACACATTTCACATTGTGGGCTTGCGGCATGTTTTCAATGTAAATGAAGAGTTGTTAGTTACAATCATTTATCAGTTTGGATGTGACTAATATGTATACCCACACCACAACCACGCACACAGAAAAGTGTTTTAAAAAGTTCTAGGGACACTCTCAGAATTTTCGATTTCACCGACTGACCTGTCAGCATGTAGACATACATGCAGGACCTATTTATGTGTAAAGGTTGTCGTTCTGAAGCATGGTGCCGACCATAGGCGTCAATCGGGGGGGGGGGGGGGGGGGGGGGGGGGGGGGGGGGGGGGGACATGTCGTTCCCCCAACTGTTTTCTTCCCTGAATAGCCTGTAGCTCAGAAAAGCATTTCAATGACTCCAAACTCAAAAATGATGTTTAAAATGAGGATTTTTTGCTAAAGCCTTGCCAGTAGTCATAAATTGCCACAGAGCGTCTAGAATCCTTTTTTTTTTGGGGGGGGGGGGGCCTTAAGCGGGCCCCGAACCCCATGCTGTTTAGGCTGCGCACTCGAATTAGTTCTCATCAGGATACACATGTTTGTAACACCCTCCCCCCATACACTTTTGAGAAGCAATTGACGCCCTTGGTGCCAACATGCTTTTAGAGCTAGGACCTATACCAGTTTGGCCTGGCTTGATTTGTACAGTGCTTTGTGCGCTGAATTTTGTGTCGGTGGCTAGGGCAGAGTAGGGCCTACAGAACACTGGTGCCTAGGGCCTACGAAACACTTAATCTGGGCCTGAATGCTGCAATCAGGTTGAAATACAGTACAAAGTACATGTATTTAAAATGAGAGATGTACGTGTTTTATCCTCACAATCTTCCAGATCACATTCCTCTTTGGAAAAAAAATTATATTGGCGGTAACATGTAATGTACAGCAATATCTGTAATCATGGTGTATATATTTGCCACTTTTTTAATCATTGTTTGATTCCGTCCAATAATGTAATTGATTCTAGAAGTTTCAAAGAAGTAAATAAATATATGCGTAATTTGTTGTAGTGTGATTACACAAGTATGTACATGTACATGTACACTACTTGCTATGATTTTTCTAGACCAGCATTAAGCCCCGCCCACTGTGCACATGAGCAAAGCACATATGCAAATTTGTCAATGCCACATGTTGCGCACGCCTTGTGATTGGTCAAAAGCGTCATTGGGGTGGGGCTTAATGCATCAGTGTACATATATTACAACTCAATCAAATTGGGTTGAAATTTTACAAAGATGGGAACAAAGAGAATATCTCTTTAACTGTACTTTGTAGTATTAACTGTGGAACTTTCTTTAAAATATCAAGCACTTATTAAATGTATGGAGTTCATATGAGGAAAATTTAAGAATTTGCTTTGAACATCTATTTTACATACTTTTTGGTTGCTGGATTGTTTGATTGCTTGTACATATGCACTTTTAATTTTGTATACAAACTTGATTTGTGCAGAAAATCTACTTTGTGATATGAGATACAATAAATATTTGATACAAAAAAAAAATCTTTAGGTTGAATATATTGATTGGTTGTTTGATTGCTTGTGTGGTTGTTAGCTCTGTTTGTTTATTTATTTGAGGTGGGTTATTTTCTGGAGGGTTCTTAAAAAGGGGGTGTCACAAAATATGTATGTGAAAGGTAATGTTTATGGGATCAAAGACCTTAAACAGATCTAGGGGCCTGTTCAGCTATGAATCCTCTCTAGTTCATATTCCACTAGTCGATGAGGCCTGGGTTTGGGGATATGATATGAAGATTTGTTTTGCACATATGGCAAACAGTTTTGAGGACATTTGAGAACATGTCTAGCCCCATTTGTGGAAGTTTTTGTCGAATATCAAAAAGTTGTTGAGAAAACATGCCATTTCACCTAATTCCCAGTACCCCATTCCCTGCGGTGTATAAAGGGGGGGGGGGGGGGGTACCCCTCACAAGCTCATCAGCCCATGGAGAAATAATTTCTCCATGCATGCTCAACCCAATTGAAATCACACCCCTTTTTATGCTCAACTGTGTTTCGTTGGCCTTTTCATTCTTTATAAACTTCTCAAATTAAGGTGTATTAATAAGTAATAACCCACTGAAAAAACACATTGGATGTCTTTACATTTTGCAACCCCCGCCCCACCCCCCTGAGATCTACACCAACTTGTACTTCCTTCAATAGCGTCAAAATGTGAAACAGACATACATATTCATATCAGTAAGATAAATATTCATGAAGATGAAATTTTAAAATCGTTTAATAAGTTCGATGGGAATCAAAAGGTTTTGTGCACACCAGCTGGTTTTACATACAAACCTCACAAATTGAGGTCCAGCCGACTTCTCTTTATAATTGGGCATCGAAAAACACATAGTTGCAAAAGTCATGTTGGTGACATTTTTGCATTTATTTTAATATTAAAATTTCAATTATTATGCATGAGGGTGCATGAAGTGCCAATCGCGTATCGACACTAGTCTGTGGTGCATGATTCGGGGTACCAGACTGTAATAACCGCTAGCGGAAGATTTCAAAAGAAAATGCTTGATAATTGTGCTGCGAATATTTTGAAAGAAATCTCTCGATTTGTCTGCGATTTCTTCGTTTAAGTAGGTAATTCCAGGAAACCATATTTGTAACTTATAAAAATTGTAACTTATTTTTCAATGAATGTGTTCTTTGCAGAGAATGTTTGAAAAACACGGCACGATTGACGTCGGTTACGTATTTGTCATGTGTTTGTAAAGGGGAAGTCTTTTATTTCCGACATCTTCTACAAACTTCCAACAAAATCGTATTGACTCATGAATAAACATGATAAAAGACGGCGAGGAAAGAATCCCATATCTGGCCATCACTAATTTTTCCCTTAAGTGACCTGTCAGCCACCAGAAATTAATAATATGTCCTAAAAAAAAGTCAAATTTTGCAGGGAAAATATTGAAGTAGGCCTAGGCCTATTTGGAGAAAAAAAGGCTTAGAAATTTTCAGACGCAGTACGGTTTGTGCACAGGCATGACACTGACCATGGAGCAAGGCTTGCTCCATGCACTGACAGGGTGACACAATTAAGTGATGGCCAGATATGGGAATCTTTCCGACGGCGATTGTGGGGAAAAAATGTTGCAACCTGACGCCATTTCAGCGGTTGTGTACAAAGTCTATGGAGAGTCGAGACAATTTTCTAAGAGTACTTTCCTAACAAGATTACAAAATTGGAAATGTTTCTCAGTCCCAGATTCATGTCTTGTCATCATTGTATGATTTTTGCAATTACTGATCTTTATTGAGATGAAATTGATATATGAAGAAAAAAGCAGCGTCACATGCGTCAGGGTAAAACATTCTTTCCAAAAAATGTTGCAACCTGATGCTGCTTTTGTCTTCATACTCATAAGCCCGGTTCATACTTCACGCTAAAGCAAATGCGAAGCGAAATTCGTGACGTCAACAATACGTTCGAAGTGCGTCCACCATTGTTGACGACATGAATTTCGCTTCGCACTTGCTTTCGCGTGAAGTATGAACCGGGCTATAGTCATAGGCCTATATCATTTCAATGAGGGTCGTTCACTGCAAAAATGATGATAAGAATAGTCTGGGACTGAGAACAAAGAAAAACATTTCCAATTTTATTAGGAAATAATTAGAAATTTGTCTTGACTTTCCATAGGCTTTGTACACAATTGCGGATCGGAAGTGGCATCAGGTTGCAACATTTTTTCCAAATTGTGTAGTTAAGTTATGGGGAAGAAATGTTGCAACCAGACGCCACTTTTTTCTTCGTATATCAGCTCAAGGTCATTCATTGCTAAAAATGTCGGAAAGACATGAATCTGATTATTATATCTGGCATGTCTGGAACAGAAACATATCAAATTTTGTTGGGAAATACCTTGAAAATGCTCTCAGCTCTCCATAGACTTTGTACTCAACCAAAGAAGTGGCGTCAGGATACAACTTTTTTCTCTTTTTATTCCATCAAGATGTATTCTGTAACCAGTCTTATTGGTTTTGGTAGGCCTAAAATCGCACATGTCAAGTGTTTATTTCAGGCAGTGGATATTTCGCCGGATCTGGCTTAAACAATAATGGTACTGAACATGCGTAGTCAAGTTTTTTTGGACTTTAAAAATGTTACAGTGACAAATTCCTTTCTCGTGTTCCATGCCAACATTCCATGTGACTTTGTAACCATGAGATGGGAATCAGACCATTTACAAAATGTATCATGTTTACAATTTCAGACTTTATTGCCCTTTTTTGTTTGCTCTTCAGCTTAAAAGAATCCTTTGAAAGTTTGAAATCCTCCCCTTATGGAAGGATGATTTGGGAGGATTTAGAAGGGTTATTTTTAGCACTTAGTTTTGTTCAAGTTAGAGTCAGTCGTGTTTTTATCATTACAAAATGGCTTAATATCAACCTAGAGCAGACTTCTCTTAATTCCAATGACACCATATTTGGTAATTTTCAACTGTATCTTTTTGTAGAAAATGTGATTTTGTACAGTTAATGCAACGTGGTGCAATGCGGTTTTGCCAATTCACGGTGCATTGCGGTGATCGCCATTGTTATTTTCACGTTGCATTTTGTCAAAATTTCCCTCAAAAAATCGAAACCCTGGCCTCTATCCAGACTGGGACCAGGAGTGCTCTGAAACGTGCAAAGCTTAATCAGGCCAACTTTACTCACTCTTTAGCCAGCAAATTTCTCCAAAAATTCCATTGTGCAAAGAAAAGGTCCTCAGTATTTCACCAACCAAATTTGAAGACTCAATTCAATTTTTCAAGGAGACATTTCTTCAATATTTTGCACATGAGAGGGAAGTCAAGTGATTTCAAAATGAGGCTAAAGACTGGTACATGTCCAACCATGGTTCACCTATTTGAAAAGACTGACCTCTTCATTCAGTGTCAATAGTCTGGTGGCTTGACTATGGAGAAATGTGTAGTATTAGAGACTAGTTTTTGGTTCATGCAACGTTTCTTTTGGCACAGTTGATTGATGCAGTACTGAAGCGGTGTTGGACTGGTTGTTTCAGGTGGCAGTCTATTTTCTTGTATTGCATGTTTTTAATACCTAAGTTATTATAAGATGGAATTTTGCGTTGGGGTGATATAAATCAAATTAGGTTTTGCCCTTCACCGACGTTTAAACACTGTATACTCAGTGTGTTACCTCCCGAGTAAATGTTGGAAAAATCACACGGGTGGGACTCGAATCCATGACCTCCTGCTTTCTAGTGCAGATGTCTTACCACTCGACCACTGAGCTAATGGGATCGGTTGGAGGGCAAAACCTAATTTGATTTATATCACACCGACGCAAAATTCCATCTTATAATAGTTTATGCAGTACCCGTACATCAGATTCAAACCAGCCAACCGATCCCATTAGCTCAGTGGTCGAGTGGTAAGACATCTGCACTAGAAAGCAGGAGGTCGTGGGTTCGAGTCCCACCCGAGTGATTTTTCCAACTTTCACTCGGGAGGTAACACACTGAGTATACAGTGTTTAAATGTCGGTGAAGGGCAAAACCTAATTTGATAAATACCTTAAGTTTTGGGACTCTCATACACAGTATAAGTATTGAGAGTCCCAAAGTTTCGGATTAGCCTCTATCTATATGATTCTTCTGTTGGTTTTAAATGTCACTAACTAGGTCATGACTTATCATTCCCATATTCAAACACTAACTCCCCCTCTCTCACTGAGGGAGAAATACCCTCTTGGTCCAAATTTATCAGGTGACAGATTTGAATAGTTCTGTAAATTGGGCTCATATCGGTGCAATTGACAGGCTGTGGTAGTTTTGTTAACTGAGGGTCAGGGTACCATACCTTGACTGACATAATGATGGGTCAGCGCTGGTGAGTGCCTGTCAATGATGGATTTAGTTCAGTAACAGTGAATGCACACAAGGTTCACTCATGCATGTCCCAGCAAACAAAGGCATTGCCCTCTACAATGGCTGCTATGCAAGTTCTAGCAGTATTCAGTGTCTGCACCCTACAATGTATCTATCAAACTTGGGAAATCGGGTTAGCATAGTGCTACTTTCCTCGCCTGCGGCCTTCCACCGCTGTGACCCGGGTTCGAATCCCGCCTGGGCCAATATGTGGATTGGGTTTTCAGTCCCTACCTGATTCCGTGGGTTTTCCCCAGAATATTCTCCTGGGCTTTTCCTCCCACCGCTTAAACTGTAATTTTTTTTCTCATTGTCTTCTCTCCACAGGTTCTTCAGGCTTGCGAACTACAGTGCCTAGGGCGCTTTTGAGGAATCCTTGGTTTCATTACCAGAAATAATTAATAATAGTTTATGATAATAACAATCCTCCGGCAACAGGTTTGGGCAGTTCTTTGGTTTAATCCGTAGGGATTCTGCCAGTTGGTGACCAGCCTGTATATGGGAGACAAAGTGTATAGATTTTTTTGACGGTTTGTGACAGTTCTAACATTGTGAGGATTTTAATGACTATTTTCTTTGAACATTCTGTGCAGGTTCATCCTAACGTGGAGGAGTTTATACACTCTTATAACATCACAGACTGCCATCGAGGATGGAGTTGCCAGGTATGATACTAAACAGGAAAAACCAAATATCTATAACTCCCTAGGCCTTTTTGCTAGGATGTAGCCTCAATCCTGCAAAATCCTCCAATTGGCCTCATGGAAAAATAGCATATAGCCTCAATCCTGCAAATTCCTCCGTTATTTCTTGAATATGGTCCATGGAGGGATGACCACTGCCTGAATCCTGCAAAATCCTCCGGCTATGTCTGTCAATAGGCTGAGGCAGAGGCAGTGACATCCTGGAGCAGTGCGGAGGATGTCAAGTATAATCAAGGACTAAATTTATGCACGGCTGGGCATAAACAACACAAGGTCCGGCCCAAGACCTTGACACAGTGCGTACTCCGAAATCAGCAACGCACTTTTGCCATGTAACCTCAATCCTGCAAATTCCTCCAATTTGCAAAAAGGATTTTGGAGGATTCAGGGCAGTTAGGGTTAATGTGCAATTCCACTGTTATAAAAGGAAGTGTAATGTTATTTTCATACCAACCTACCGGGATAATTTTTTAGGGCGTCACTTTAAACACACAATTTTTTGGTGCTCTAACATTGCACACTATTTGTGGGCCTGTGAGCAAAAGAGGTTCACAGTTCACAGGGTGCAGGAAACAGGGTTCGAAATTAGCGGTAGCTCGCTAGCCAAATGCTAGTCAAAACAGCGGCGGGCTAGTCAAACTATTCCTTAAGTAGCCCGGCTGGCAAGTCAACAAATTATTGGGATATGGCAAAGATGAAAGTACAGGAAGAAATTAATCATGAAATTCAGAAAGCAAACCTGTATCAATTTTTGTATAATTTTATCAACTGTTTTAAAGGGTTAAATTATCATTTCTGTTTTTAAAAACACTGACAAAATTGCCTCAGAATAGATTAAAAAAATCAGTTGGAAATGGGTAAAACAAATTTTACTTACAACCTATTTTTGTACCTAGGTCTCCATGTTCGATCACGTCTGTTTTCACTTCGCGTACTTGAGTAAAAACGAAAATGATAATTACGCAACATTTACCTACCTACATCTGATGGATTCTATATTTATTCAGGATCGTTTGAATCAATCTTGAATACATATCTTTTTAATGGTCAATTTAGATTTGTTTGTAAATGAAAATATATCCTTCAAGTTTGTTGAAATAAATGTCCGCCACAAAATTATTTCATAAAATTGCATGCTTGAACGAGTGATCGAGTTCCACAAGTCCACACGGAACTTTTCGGAATTGAGAGGACAATTTTTGGCACGATATTTCTCTTTTGTGTCATGCGATTTGTCTGTTTCCATAAAATTCTGAGGGTGATTTTTTTAAAGAAATCAATATACCAAAACTACAGGGTGAGTAAAAAAACACACCAAATGTCGGGACCATTGTTTTAGTGAAGTTCTGCATGTAGCACTTTCAAAATCTAGGATATGAAAGCCCAATTCATAAGCTTTCTTTTAGTACAAGAATCATTTGAATCACTCATGTACATGTACTTTGCAAGTGTAAACACAACCGCTGTTTTAAGGTTCTGTCCATGGATCACAAAAAGTTCAGTGTTCTTTCAGCAATGCAAAAACAAATCACATACATGTAAGGATGTGTTTGAATTGTTTTCGTTTTGCTGAAAGAACGCATTTTTTTTGTGATCTGTGGACAGAACTTTAAAACGGTGGTTGTGGTTAAAACTCCTTCACTTAAAAAGTACATGACTGATTTGAATGATTCTTGTACTAAAAGAAAGCTTATGAATTGAGCTTTCATATCCTAGATTTTGAAAGTGCACCATGCAGAACTTCACCACTCACCCTGTAATTTACAAATTCTGACTTTTCAAGGGACCCTGAAGCGCGCCACTAGGGGTAAACTTTAAGGCTCTATACGCACTTTACATGCATGTATGCACATTGTTGTTTATGAGACACTCTATAAAAGAAACAAAAACATGCAGGCTAGTGAAAATGCCCAGGGGCTATATTAAGAGTCTGTTTAACAGTAGCCCGGCTGGCTAGTGAACAAAAAAGTTAAGGTTGAACCCTGCAGGAAATGTGAACGTTTTGTGGACTTCCCACATGCACACAATGATCTCACTTCTCTGGAAAACAGTTGTAGATGTTTTGGGGTTAGGATTATCCATTGCAAAAATGAAGAGGAACAGTCAAGGCAAATTTCGTTGCAGACTCGGTGCAATTTTTTCTAAAAACTTGGGGACACTCGGTGAACGTTTTGTGGACTTGCCCACGTGCACACAATGATCTCACTTCTCTGGAAAACAGTTGTAGATGTTTTGGGGCTAGGATTATCCATTGCAAAAATGAAGAGGAACAGTCAAGGCAAATTTCGTTGCAGACTCGGTGCAATTTTTTTCTAAAAACTCGGGGACACTGGGACTTAAAGATTTCCATTTGATTATTTTCACAGCGTTTCGTGGATCAACTATCGTCACCACAGCGCTTGTACATAGTTCTTCCCCACCGGGCTTTGTTGCTGATGAAAAGGTAAGTTCCAAGAATCACAGGGGCCTATATGCAGGCATGTAACTTTTCCTGGGATCCGCTGATTTCCTCGTTTTTTTTTTACTTCTCATGAATGCGATTACAAAGTGAAAACACTGTACAAAGTCTTGTGTGGTTGGAATGTCCTCGTTTTGCCTAAATTCCCAGTTGCACGCCTGTATAGGGTCACTGCTGTGCACTCAGTGCATGTCTTCCACCTCATTAGTGACAAAGAGTTTATACATGACGGACAGTCAGACACTGAAAGTGTTTTGCTTAACCCTAACTCCCTACTGAGCTCTACTAAGAACTGTACCAATTCCGCCAAAATCCATCACTGACTCTGCTTCACATAATGCTTCAGGACCAATTAGCCGAAATCCACCACAGACCACCACTACAATAGGTGGACTTTGATGGACTTGGTACAGATGGCTTGTCTTGTAAAGATACCGTGAGTGTGGGCATGTCAGTATGATCAAGAGCAAGAGGTTTTGGGGAAGGAAGAGGGCAGATAAGGGTCTAGGCGCAAAAATCTAGTTGGTGTAGAGGTTGGTCCTTTGCTGTTCCTTTTACCCTCTGTTGACCAATCCGAGTTAGAAATGTAAACCCTCACCGGTAGCAAGGACTAAAAGGTCTCTATCGTAACAAATTAATGCCAAGAGAAATGTGTTCAAAGACTTTCATCTCCACTTTCCCTTGCTAGGATTTGTCGCCCAATGGACGAGTCAAACCTCACAATGGTTGCGTGGTGCGACAAAACGACAAGATCATCCTCTTGAAAAGAGTCTACACCTCGCCTGTCAGACGCTCGTCCAGAGTCCGCCGGAAAGGCTGTGCGGTTCTGCACAGGTCAAAGGTCAAGCACAGGCACTCGGACCCAGCGGAATATCCCAAGTCAGCCATACGGACCACCAAACATTTCACCAGAAGTTATCCCAAATCAGCTGGCACAACACCCGTGAGAACTAAAAACCGAGGGGATGGCAACAGAAACGGGAACTGTCCACACGCCACCCCTGATGTACCTGTCACTCCCAACAATCCTGCCACCCCTAGTCCCACCAAACTAGACTTTACCTCCCCTGACCACATCACGCTTTCGGATAACCTCACCGAGGCTGACTTTTTCAGGTTGGATGGCACTCCGAAGCGTCGGTTGGTGGTAAGGATAACTGAGACACCAGAGATCAAGAAAAAGCTTGCAGAAATCAGCAGGCCACAGTTCTCCACACGCACAGAACTCAGTGAGATGTTAGAGAAAGACCGTGTCTCAAGAGACAAGGAGGATGCTCTTAGTATCAATCCTCTAAGTGATGATGACTGTTCGGATGGTTCTAAATGTTGTGAAGACTTCAACAACCAACGGTTTGACATTGATCCTCATGATGTTCCGTTTGATGCCTCAGACCAGGGGAAGAGCAAGGATAATCTTAAAGACTTCATCGTTGGCAAGAAAGCATCAGCACCAGAGAGAAGACCACTGCAAATGCAGCAAGCTGTCCCTACGGATGACAGTCTCTTGGAATTTGTCTTGGATTCCGAATCGTCGTCATCAAATAGTCTAGACATGGAGCTTGATGATTACCAAACTGCCAGCATTGAGAGTGCCCTGAATGGTTCTGGATCAGATGTGGAATCAATCAATGGCAGTGACGATCTCAAGGATACCAGAGATCATGCCGATGAAGTACTATGCATCAGTCCCCTTCCATTTGAAACATCAGACTCCGCCCGTGAACAGTTCCCTCTCCCAGAAGGTGGAGAATCTCACCGCCTCCATCTGGGTTCTCCGGAATTCTTGCCTATAGATCAGAATGAATCTCTGGATGCGTTTATGGTCACACCAGAACATTCCTCATCGGATGAATCGGAAACTTTCTGTGAAGACTTTCTAGTTGAGGATCCTTCTGTCAGTAACAGTGCCGGCAGTTCTGTGTCATCTAGAAGTCCTGTGACCATTGTCGACACGCATCTTGATGAGAGGAACCAGTTCAATACAAGTGTGTCCCCAGCTTCTCAGAAGAAACTCCAGAAATTAAACTGTTTGCCTCCAGTCAATGGTATGAGGGACGTGTCAGTTATGCGAGTCTCACTGTCCCCCTCGGCCTTTGTGCCGGTGAACAGAATTGACACAAAAGTCTTTGATAGTGCCAACCTGCTGGATGATGTATGCATCGTGAACCTCACTCCAAGTCACAAGGTTTACAACAACATGAAGGGTAAGGAGCCATCCCCAACGTACGCATCGCAAGCAAATTCTGAATCTCCATGCTCGCCGGGGAATACATCGTATGTGAGCAAACACACTGAGCCTGAGTGCTGTGGACAACGTGCTTCATCCAGACAGTCTCCACTGAAAACCAAGTCTTGCGTTAAGTCACCCAGCCCTGGCGTGTCTTCCAAGATCTTTCCAAACCATCACGATGACTTCCAGGATTTCTCAGAGTTTGACTTTTCAAGTGCCCAGGGTCCGCTTCTTCCTCAAACTTTCAGTCCTGTTGAAGTCACTCAGAAACTGTCAGATACAGGCCCTAGAAGCATCCCTACCAAGTCACCAAGTGATGAAGGTGACCTTGAGAGGAACAGTTCCAAGTCTCAATTTAGCGGGAAGTCTTCTACCGCAGAAGAAACATCTCTATACCATTCCAGTCCTTCTGATCCTTCTGATGACGTAAACTTGACCATGCGAGAACAAGCAAAATGCAGCAAGTGGATAGAAATGTTAGAAAGTGATGAAGATTACCACGAAAAGTCTTCACAGAAAGGCGTCGTTCCTGAATCAGAGGAGCAGTGGATGTCTGCTTCATATTTTCTCATGAATGAGCATCACAAGCCTTCCGGGAAGAAAAAGTCGGAGAGAACTGTCCAGCGGAGAAGCTCAATGAGAATCGCTAAAAGGATGTCGCTGCTGACTCTGGAAGCTGACATCAAAAACACTGACCAAACAGATGCCGATGATTCTAAGCAGGCTGAGGTCTCAGAGGTCCATTGCTCCAAGACTTCAGAAGCTGTGCCAAAGCAAAGAAAGGGCTTTGTCAAAGAAAACATGACAGTCGTCAGGAGGAGAGGACGTCCTCCCTCAAAACGGCCACAAGTTTTAGATGGTGCCAGCACCGAACTTGACAAGGGTGCTGAAAATGTTGAGAATTCTTCAAGCTTTTCAGGCTCAGCCGAAGAAATTGAGAAGACAATCCCTCAAGTGCCTTCATCATTCATTCCCACTGGTCTCAACTCTGACGAGAAACTCCAATGCCAGTTTGACACGGATTGCACTGTCGCTGAAGACCACTCCAAACCAAAGAAAAAGGCAGTTAAAAAATGGGACAGGCAATCAAGACGATGCTCAGCAAGACTGAATCCTATCATCCTTCCGTTGATCAGCAAAAGCCCGAGCCCTGTTACATCTAATAACTCAAGTTCAAGCAAACTCTTACGTGAAGAATCGGAGCTGTGCAACACAGCCCAGCCTTTGACAAATCCCAGTTGCTCTGACCCAGTTTCAACAGAGGAAGAATTTCAGTGCCAGTTTGATGATGTCACAGACCCTGTCAAAACAAAACCTAAGACCAAGAAACCACACAAGCAACCAAGGCGACGATCGTCAAGACTTGTTCCTATTGTCCTACCGCTCAGTTGTGAAAGCCCCACCGCTAATGCGTCAGATTTAGAAGATATGACATCCAAAAGTGACGACTTGGATCGTGTCTCATCAAACTCAAAATCTGCTGAATCTACAAGTGTTTCAGCACAAAGTGTTTCAGTAAATGAAAATTCTGAATGCTTTTCAGTTGCACCTGTTCCTGAAGGTACAGAAACTGATTCAACGTCAGCTTCTGAATGCATTGCATCATCTGGAGAAGAGGAGAGAACAAGAGATAAGGGTAAAAGGAGACGGAGGAGATCGGCCCGCTTACTCCAGTTGTCCATGATCAGTCTGGATGAGGATCAATCCGCAATGGACCAGACTTTGCTCAGGATCCCGTCTGATCCTGAGAAAGGAAACACCGACATCAATGGGGAAGGCATGTCCATTGTCGGCAGTAATTCAGTGTGGTCTGATGTAGAAGAAGGAAACAGAGACACTGTCACATTTGATGGGGACAAGGCCAAGACCGACTTATATAAAGTAATTTCTTGGAACGGAGCTTCTTACATTCCTGATGAAATGTCAGTTGATGTCGACACGCAGTCTACAACAATCAAGGATCTTCCAGAAGTGTCAGGTTCGCTTGATGATGCCATCACAGTCTCAGGGGAAGATGCTAATCCTGAAAAGAGACCTAGACGAAGGAAGTCTTCAGTGCTGAGCTACTCGGAGAAGACAAAGGAATCCAAACTCAAGAAGTATAGTAAGACAAAGGAAGAGACGGTTAAGCAACTGTACCTGAAGCGAGGCGAGAACAAGCCACTCAAACCCAACAATCTGGAGACAATCTTCGAAGAGCTTCACTTCAGCAAGATAGGCAGTCCTCTTTATTCAGGCTCCAGGAAATGTAAACGGGCTGTCAACTTCCCCGAGCATCCATGGCTGCCCCGCAAGAAAAAGAAAACACCAAACAAAAGTGGCCGATCCAAGGGCAAGAAGAAGACGTCCAAAGATCCCAATATTGACAAGAAGCTTGAGGCTTTACTAGCTGAATGGACTCCTGCATCACCTGCTTCAAGTAGTGCCTCGTCTGACTACCAAGCAGATGATCCCTCCCAGCACTGTGACATTGAAAATGGATCCAGCATTTCACAATCCGACAGCGACAATTCAACTTACAGGTCGTCTCTAAATCCCACTCCTGATATATCCCTAATCTTCGGTGTAAACAAAGTTGCGCACGTACAGCAGGCAGAGAACCCAGTCCCTCAGAAACTCAGACTGAATGGTGAAATGGGGGAACTTGAGGAAACTTCACCCAAAAAGCCCAAGAGGGACACACCATTTAAAGGATCGGGCCCCTCTGGAAGTTACGGTGCTTTATTGAACAGACTGATGAAGAAGAAAAGAGTGGTTAGTCGTGTTGGTGAAATACATGATGAAGCAGTCCAAGAATAGAGCCTTTGCCATGGCAAGCATGTTGGAGGTGCACTGCTTTGTTTCACAGGGATAGTATACAAATATTGAGCGGCTCAGCATGAAATGGGAGGAATATTATCGCAAGGTAAAAATCTGGACTTTTTCATTTCACGAGGCGAAGCCGAGTGAACTGGAGAAGTCCAAGATTTTACAGAGGGATAATATTCCTCCCATTTCACAGTTTAAAGCCACCCAATATTTGTTTTATATAAGGCCAAAAAAAAAAAATACTCGGTCTCTGGTCAGCGCGCGCTTCGATTTTAATCATTTTTTTCAAATTACCACGGAAACTACAACAGCGCCCTCTATTGCCGAGCCTCCTCAAATTATGGAGGACACCAATGTACATGTATAATGAGGACACAAAAAAGCAAAATAGTACCCACCTTGTCTGTACAATACAAGCTTGAAAAAAAATAAAGCCGCATCAATTCCGGAACTTCGGTCTGACCAGAGACCGACTATTTTTTTTTTGGGCCTGACATATAGATCCTTGTCATTTGATATATTTGAACTTTTATTTCAATACAAAATTGGTGAAAAATGTATTTCTCTCTTCCAAACCACTCCTTCACGAAAATGTTTGAACCCAACGCTGTTAGCGCTGGCTCTTTGGAACAAAACGCTCAACGCGCAAACCAGCATGCAGTTCCACACAAATACCGCATCATTGAACAAGAATGATCCTAACTGTTCAATAGTATTTCCCATTCCCCATGGGCGGATAGTACTTTTTGAGCCCCGGCGTGTATGGCAGTAATAACGAATGACACGTGATGTGAGTTCCACCGATCAAATGACAAGGATCTGTATGTCGGTTATATAAACATAAATAGAGAAGGACCCTTTGTGCCACCATTGTTACTGAATAATTTAACAAAGGACCCCTCCAAGATGGCTGTTATATGCAAAGCTCCTATGGGTTTCTCTCAAATGACGTCACTTACTACAGATTGTCACGTGCGTCGGCATTTTGGGTGTCAAATTTTCGTGACGTACATCGGCTGCGCCATATTTCAAAGAATTTTGTAATTTTCCTACAAAGATGGCATCTTATGAGAGAGATCTATGCATGTAGGTTTATAAGGCATTGCTGGTTGGGCAATGTGAATGTCTCCATGCATAAATAAAACAGGGCACTGAGTGAAGACAAATTTTTGATAAATACTCTTCAAGAACAACTTGAAAAATAACAGTCTGAAGGTGCTGATATTTTTGGCTCAATCATAAACCAGACACAAAAAGCATTTGAGAATATTTTCAACATTTGTGTACAGTTTTCAAGAAATGCGGAAATCTTTTCAAACAAGAATAATCCAAATTTCAGGATATTTTTGAAAGTGACTCAAACGTGACTTTATTTGATAGGGGATAACAGAGGCATTTTCTCCCCACATTTTCTTCAAAACCGAGTTTGTATTCAAATGAAGGATTGCATGTACAACTGTTCATACAGCAAGAAGTGTTACTCAATATTGCTTACAAACGAGTGACGATGTGCATGTCATAATCCAGCCTAGGCCCAGTGTCATAATGTCACTAGTGATATAGTTTATGTTAACAAAAAAAACAGAAAATTCATGCAGACACAAAATGTGTTTTCAGCAAAGAAATCCCTTGGTCATGAAGACTCAAAGACTTCCCATCATTGAGGTTGTTTCTTCCAAGCTATCAGTGCTTACATGTACACTCTTTGTTATGCTGTCAGCTTTTGGTTACATGTACATGTATATAGTTGTGTTCCCTAACGTGGCGCACTTCGAAGCTTACCCAACTTTCCTCGTGTAGTGTTGCCAGACCTCTTTGTTGATAAACCTCAAATTCATGCAGTGAAATACTGGTACTTTTACCTTTTTAATGCTTGCTATTTAACCTCTGTGAACAATTTCGGTTTCATACAATTTAATCCGAAATGCAAAAACGGTCGCGTCCGGAAATTGGGCACAAATTGGCGGAGTGTTCCCTAACGTGGCGCACTTGAATAAATCTCAGAAAATTCCATATTAACATTTAAGAATTTCTGTAAACTTGATAAATTCTGATAAATCATTATTATCTTTACTTACAAACCCAGCCAGATGTTTGTCAGAAAATTATTTTCTTATTTTTCGGGGCATTTTCAAAGGGTTCACTTTGCACTTGAAAATAAAATCGAAAAATCACGCCAAAATAATTTTTTCTTTTAACTTTGTAACGGGTAAATAAACTCGCGATTTATGAACAGGAGTGTTTAGAACTTGATGAAATTTCACTTTCTGAGAAATTTAAGTAAAAACTTTTGCTCTAGCTAGGCGCTTCAGGCGAAAAATAAAAGTGCGCCACATTAGGGGCCGCGCCACGTTAGGGTACATCAACAATACTTAGTCCCTCTACTGCCCCAAACTGCCCTTCATGTACCTAGATGTATAGCACCCCCAAAATTGCCCAAGCACTCTATGGTTGTATGGATTCACAGTGAAATACAGTGTACATTAGTACAGGTGCTAAAGGAGTGCGTTCTTCAGCAAAACGAAAATGTGATTCGTGATTTGGTTTGTTTTGCTGAAAGAACGCTTACCTTTTTGTGACCCACAGACAGAACTTTGAAATGGTGGTTGTGTTTGAAATTCTGTAACGTGAAAAGTTCATGAGTGATTTGAATGATTCTTGTGCTAAAAGAAAGCTTATGAATTGGGCTTTCATATCCTAGATTTATAAAGTACTACATGTACATGTAGAACTTCACTAAAACAATAGTCCCGACATTTAGGTTTTGGTTTTCTTGTCTTTTTTTTACTCACCCTGTATGCTTCTAGGTCTACAATGGATACTTGCTGGCTAAATCAAAACCGAAACATATCCTGAGAATGTTAGGCAGCTTTCACTTTGAAAAGTGGAATATTTACAAGAGGGTTTTTTTTTTCTGCCTGTTTTATATCAAAGTAATGATATCATTCAGCTTTTCCGCAGACTGCATTTTAACATCAAATCTAAAACTACTGAAAAAAAATCCTTAAATTAATTAATGAGAATGTTCCTGTTTTAACAGGAATTCCAGGGTTTTGGGGCCCAAATTTTTAGGGTTTTATTTATTTTTTAGCCAGTTTGGGGGCTTTTTGCCTGATTTCACATATTTTTTTCCCGTGTTTCCACCAGTTTCCTGTTTTTTCGTTGGAATTCATTCTCAATCCTGATTTTATATATTTGCCAAAAAATATCCCTTTTGCTGTTTGAGATTTGACTCAAAACCAGTCTACGGTTTATAAATGAAGATTATTTAAAGGTAATACCATGGAGCTATAGGCCTATACCAACATTTTTAAAAATCAAAAAACAAAACTACCAAATTATTATGAAATACCTTACTTGACTTGACTGTAATTGAATAATAGTTCCAAGCATCCTGTGAAATCATGGCACCTGGTGTGCTGTCATTTTCAAGTAATGTTGAAGTTTCTTATCAATTTCCAATGATGGCCAGCTGACCATCGTTGGAAAAGACTTGTTTTCAAAACTGCCCAAAATTTACAAATTTAACTTGGTTGATCATATGTTTAATTTATTTAGTCCATATTTTGTTTGCAATCAGTAATACATTCGTGAAAGGGTGCAAGCCAGCTAGTCTGGTTCCCTGACCTGACAATTCCCTGACGTGTATAAACTGCTCTGTTTCGTCTTAAGTAGGGTACAGGGAACCAGACTAGCTATAAATTACAGCAAAAGCAAATGTTGTATATTACCTTTAAAGAAAAGTAAATTGTTACATTATAGGAGTATACAACTCAACTTTTAGTTTTCATTCTGAGCTATTGCCAATGAAAAGGGCTGCTGTGAATGTACATTGATAACGTGCTAAGAATAGTTTACATGTATAGAGATATCTAACTGATGTCAGCTGCTTTTGCATGGTCGTCAGTCTTGACTGGGACGGGTGGGGTGGGGAAGGGCATAATATTACAAAAAGGTATATTGTACATAGTGTATTATTCCTTTTCTTAAATGGTCATGGTCTTCATGTTTTATACCATACGTGTAAGTAAGCCTGGGCATGAAAATGCACAAATGTAAATCATGTAAAATGTGTGCTTTTTGAATTAAAAGTGTACAAATAAAAACAGGAAATTCCCTATTTATATGAGCATGATGCATGACATGTGTTGAAGACATATTTTTTTTTTAAATTTGAATTTATAGTAAGCCACAATAATAGACCCTAATATTTAAAAAAAAAAAAAAAACTTATCGGTCATTATTATCCAACATTTTAAAGCTTGAGTTAAAATACTTTTAACAAAATTCTCTCTCCTGTAGGGAGAAAAAAAAAGGCTCAAATGTGAACTGTTTTTCTTTTTTTCCTGTTGCTACCCATAAGGGCAGCCTCATGCTTTGACGCTATCGCGTCGTATTTCCCTATTAATTTGGATAGAAATGATATATGCATTTGAATTAGTAACCCCCTTCAAAAACACAACCATTGTTTCCCCGCCCCTTTCGTATGGCGATAAAAGTCTAGCGCCCTCATCGGTGTACTAATATTTCAAGATGGCGGCGCCCATGAGGAGTGCCATGCTTATTTTGACGAAGGTTTCCACCCCTACAAACGCCCGTTTACGTGAGTTTATCCTCAAGCCACCACTCAGAAACTTTACTGTCACGTCGGCAAACATGGTCCGGGGAGTGAGAAGACCTCAAATAAAAGCTCGGCAACAGAATCGGAGGAACATCCAGCGCGATGAACATGAAGAAGGATTGGGAACAGAACTGGCCAGTGAAGAAGATACGGTGAACAGCATTCCAAACGCCGTGGCAGAAATTTTGTCAAAGAAGACTATCATGAACAACTCTAAAGCTGCTACTGAAGACAGAGCTTCAAAATTGAAGTACGAGAAGGCTGGAGTAGATGACAAACGAATTGGGTAAGCAAACTAACTTGCCAAAGATACTCCTAGAACTATGAGGCTCCGCGTGAGCGGAGCCTCATAGATCTAGAAGCCCGCAAAATTGTCTGCAGCACAAAACACTAATAAAGTACAAAAACGTCCATCAAAATGCAGACATTTCACACAGAACCGCTGCACAGTTTGCACTTGTACGCATGCACATACTATCATTTCGCCTGTACCGTACCCCCCGCGGCGCGCTCCGAGCGAACCGAAAATCATCGCTCGATCATATGCGTGCACGTTTCAAGTGTTCGGCTGGCTCAGTGCGGAAAGGGCATATTTTTCATCATTTTGGCCTAAAAACCGACAGAATCCACCTATGTTAGTTCTGCCCATGATACGTGAGTATGTCAAGAGGTAAAGTACGGAGTATAGGGGCAAACTGTGCAGCGGTTCTGTGTGAAATGTCTGCATTTTGATGGACGTTTTTGTACTTTATTAGTGTTTTGTGCTGCAGACAATTTTGCGGGCTTCTAGATCTATGAGGCTCCGCTCACGCGGAGCCTCATAGTTCTAGGAGTATGCCAAAGACACAAAAAAATAGGGTTTTTTTTCTTTTACCTTTTTATCCAATCTGTTCTGCATCCATTCATGCCATTACTAGCATGATTGGTTAATTTCTGAAGGGTTTTGGTGGACAAAGATAATATATTCCCTCTCCCCCTTTACCAGTTTACACTAATGAAATTATTTCCCTTTTTAATGAATTGTCCAAACTCCTTTTCGGCTTTATGCAGGCGACTAATGATGCTAGTCAAGTCACGCAAGGCACGCCAGCAGACAGGACGAGTGATGCTAGAAGGAAGACGCCTCATCACTGACGCTATCGAGTCAGGACTCCAAGCGCACACGATTTTCTTCAGTCGGCTCGAGAACTTGGAAGGCATACCTGTACACAAGACTCAAGCAGCGCTGATTAAAGTGCCATTCAACGATATAGCCATGTGGTCAGACGTTGTCACAACACAAGGAGTTATAGGTAATGCATCATTAATTTGGTCCCTGTTGTGTCAGTGTGTGTCCTTGGGGTAACTTGACAACTCAATAATTGACACGGAGACTTTGATAACTTTCAGAAAGGGCTGAAAGTGGCCAAACATGTTGTCACTCAAAACTATCACTTGAACAAGAGAGAGAAAGTACTGGAACTTTCCATACAGACGCGCGCGCACGCATGCGCATTGACAAGTACATTAATAGTCTACTACAGTCGAGTCTCGTTAATACAAACTCATTCGGACCTAGCCAAATTGTTTGTTATATCAGAATTTTGTATTAAGAGGAACATCAGTCCCATTCATTGTGCATATAAATGCACAGTCGGGACCAAGGCTTTATCTTTGTTATAACCAGAATTTTGTATTAAAAGAGTTTGTACTAACGAGAGTCGACTGTAGTCTTAGTTCAAGTCCATACACACCAGTCCCAATCACCAAAAAAAAAAGGAAAAAGAAGAAGATACATGTATGCTGTGCTGTAAATAATGGATAGATGTAGGTGAGAACGTACATCTGGGTGCTTCCTATATTGCCTTGTGTAGTTCCCAGACCTATTTACTTAAAACTCAATGGTTCAAGAGTCTGGAGGGTTGATGGTTACTCCTTGCAACTGTTAAAAACTGGTGTGCAGAGGAACACATCGTTGCATCAGTGCAACAAGGTCGTATCTCGCGCGAATACGCTCTGTGCAACAAGGTTGTATCTCGACCTCCATAGACTTTGTGTGTACATCCGGGTTGTTTTCAGTGAGATACGACCTTTTGACATTCTGAAACTTGCGTTTCACGTACGGCCAGTTTTAGGAGATATGACCTTGTTTACGGACACGCCATGTTTTCACCCACTGACTTACCCGCCCACATCTATACCAAATTCTGTGATTCGTTATACTTGAAGATGAAGTTATTGTTTGGTTTTTCTTCAGGTGTTTTTAGGAAGCCCACCCACACCAGCACGCACCAATCAGAGTCCTTGATTCTCCCTTTGACGTTGATCTGTGACAACATCCGAGAACCAGGGAACCTAGGAACAATCCTCCGTTCAGCTGTGGCAGCCCAGTGCGAGCAAATTCTCCTGACCAAAGGTTTGTACAGAGAATTCTGATAATGCTTAACTTTGTGTGTGTGTGTGGGTGTGGGTGAGCTTGTCTTACATACGCAGTGTGGACTTCCGAACAAAAGACGTCCACATAATGTAGGTAGCACCGACGTTGTGTGGACTTGCCCACGTCCACACAGTGTTTCCCCATTTCTGGAAAACAGGTTTAGAGGCATTTTTGGGTTAGGTTTATCTGTAGCAGAATGAAGAGAAACACTAAAGGGAATCATAGAAAAAAAATTGGGTTGAAAGAGTTTTCACAGTTTGAGAAAAATGAGTTTTTTCACTGGTTTTTCTTAACTACACGAAAGCAACGGAAAGTCCACACTAGTCATGTGAAACAAGTATGGGTGTGTGTGTGTGTGTGCTAAGCATTACGTAGTCTGGCAATTTCAGGAGAGTCTACATGTACCTATTCATCCCTACAGCATAGTTCAACTGGCTTTGTTTCTCAATGACATCTTTGAAACATAAATGGAATTTTGCTTCAATATCGGAACAATTGTTTTGTTCTGTGTTGATACTTATTTTCCGTCACGTTTATCATTGGATATTTTAAAGTAAATTTAAAAGCTGGAGCTAAGAGAGTCAGAGAAACACAGAAATTTAAATTCATAGATAAGTTTGGCCCAAATTAAGTTGAGGGAGGGTTGATCAACTTCCCTCCCCCCCCCCCCACCTTTGCCCCTCCAAAAGAGTGTTTCTGCTGTTCTTTATTTGTTTGGAGACAAAATATTTCAAAATCTATCCTTTATTTTTTACTTCAAAAATTGCGGCTCCCCCCCCCCCCTAACAAATCTAGAAAGACAATTTTACCCGTGAATAATATGTAACAGATGTTACCAATAAATTTATTACTGTCATGTCCAAGACTTTAGTCCTGAAAAGCATCCAAAACCCTTTCCTCCAACTTTTGACCTTAACAGGTTGTGTTGACCTCTGGGAGCCTAAGGTTCTCCGTTCTGGTGCAGGGGCCCACTTCCGCATGCCGATCATCGCAAACATCCCGTGGAAGGAGCTTCCGAATTACGTGGGCGAAAACGTCACTGTCCATGTGGCAGACAATAACGTCTCCGGAGAGGAGTATTCAACGAGAAGCTCGTCAAGAAAGTCTCCTCGTCAAGTGCAAAAACAAAGGAAATGGAATCAGCATCTTGAAAGCGATGAGGATGTTCTGGATCTTCCCCCAGTCTTGGAATCCAAAATGTACCATGAAGTGGACTGGAGAGTTAAATCTGCTCTTGTTATTGGCGGAGAAACGGAGGGTCTGAGTGACGCTGCGCTTGATATGTGCGACACATCGTTGGGTTACCGTGTGCACATACCAATGCCAGGATCCACGGAGAGCCTTAATTCAGCCGTCTCTGCCAGTGTCATCATTTTCGAGGCACTCCGGCAGAATTTGACTGCAGCGAAAACTTGACAAACATTCAATCAAACATTAAGTTGTGGACCTCATTAAACACTGTGCCTATCCCAGTGTTTATTAAGAATAACACCATTAGTCACTGTTTTATTGCACTGGTAATTTTACAGAGTTGTGTAAACAAGGCAGAATTCATACCATTTTTAAAAGAAACCAAGTGATTTGGACTTTTTCAAACATCCCAGATAAGATTTGTGCATATACATTTCTTTCTCCCTTAATTCCAAACTGTGTCTGATTTTGCTCACTTAATTTTTATTTTGTACATGTTCATTTTATTTATGAACAGTATAATCTACACTTTTATTTAACTACACAATCTTTGACTTACTTATTTTTGGAGAAATACAACTTCTTAATAAATTTATGAAAGAAACCTGAATTAAAAAAACATCTAGCACTGAATGCTCTAAAAATTAAGTGTTGTGTTGCATTTATTAGCTTCTCAACGGCAGTGATCTGTGTGAATTACAGTATGTTTAATCAGTGTCAAAATCGTGATTGATTGACTGATTGATAGAAATTTGCATGCTTTTAAATCTTGCGAAAGCAGACTTGGAAAATGGTTTTCTGGGGAGGCGATTTTACTGCAAGAGTGCCTTGCGCGGCGATCACGTCTGTCCGTAAATTGTGAAGTGCGCCCTCTATTATTGAATCACCTGATTAATGCATATTCATCAGACTTCCTTTCGCACTGACGTTTCGTGTTGAGAGGATCGGAACACGACAACTTGCCCTTCGTAAGTGACTTTTTAACATTATTCAATCCTTTTTTGCTAAAATTGAAGTTTCAGATAGAAAGAATATTTCATTATGTCTTCACTGTTGTCAAGTAAATGTGGAAACATTTACAAGATAAGTGAAATTGTCTTCTTCAAACTTCTCGTCTGAACTGATTATTTTTGCGAGTGCGTACGTGCACGAGTGCAGAAATGCCGGTGCAGCCTGCAGGTACGTCAAGTTCAAAGGTCATCCACTGATCCAGATTCCATTCCTCGCTTCAATTTCTAAAAGAAGGGTAGCTATAATCTGAATTTTCTGTTAATTTGGCTTGCTGCAATGACAGTTGGATTCCTCTGTAATGAATAATGTATCTGTTTATTTTCTGTAGGATTTGTTGTTTCATGTTTGTCATGAAGTTGAACATGTTGAATGTGGAACAGTTGGACCATGACTCGTATTTTTGGACCGTTCTTGCAGTAGTCTTTGCTTGCACTTTCGTATACATATGCCCACACCCCCTATTTTTTGGTATGGGATTGTGTATGGAGAGAAAGACCATGCTGCTTTTTTGTGAGTACAGTCGTTTCCCTTTTTTTTGGAGTACATGCTTCCAGAACTGTACAAACCTTACACTACACTAGCCCCACTAGTGTGGCCGTCGGTATGCTGCGCTGAACCCAAGGCCACACACCGTGGTCTGCGCACTACTGAGGACGTTTTCATAATTTCAACAGCGAATTTCTTACATATGGTTGTATTCTACGATGTCCCAACTTTCACTTCTGGGATGCTTGGGTGTAATGATGTTCAATTTTCCAAGATATTCTTGAATCTTTCTGGAGCCCATATGCACTCGTGAAACGTCTGGTGATGGCAGCCATTTTGAATGTGACAAGAGATGACCTCAAGCTGTGACGTCGCGTTTATGCAAATTGCTTGTCGAGCGAGGGCGCGAGTTGCAAATGCGACGGCTGTTTCCTGTACCATGCATTTATCGTCTGGGGGAGGAAACAGCCGTCGCATTTGCAACTCGCGCCCTCGCTCGACAAGCAATTTGCATAAACGCGACGTCACAGCTTGAGGTCATCTCTAGCTCTTGTCACATTCAAAATGGCTGCCATCACCAGACGTTTCACGAGTGCATATGGGCTCCAGAAAGATTCAAGAATATCTTGGAAAATTGAACATCATTACACCCAAGCATCCCAGAAGTGAAAGTTGGGACATCGTAGAATACAACCATATGTAAGAAATTCGCTGTTGAAATTATGAAAACGTCCTCAGTAGTGCGCAGACCACGGTGTGTGGCCTTGGGTTCAGCGCAGCATACCGACGGCCACACTAGTGGGGCTAACACTACACTAGAAAGACCAATTGAAGTTGCTGTAGCCGAAAATTCTCAATTTTTTTCCGACCTCCAAACTCTCCTGTCCCGAAATGTTCAGCCTCAATATTTTACAAGTATTATCTTGATGTGGATTTGTACCTCTAGGGTGGGTTGAAATCCCTCAAATGTCAAACAAAACAGTGAAATTTACCAGAATTTCGTTCACCAGGATCATTGGAGTCTTGCACTCGGCCGTCTCTCATCGTTCGCTGTCGACTGAGGGCGCTTTAATTCTCTTGACCAACTACAGCGTGGCTTTCATCTCATCGAGACATTCTCAGAATGAAAGTGTAGTCTGCCCTCAGATGGAAGTCCAAAAACCAGGGAGTTGATCCTTGGCTGTATTTACACTAGACCCGTGAACGTGGTTTGTAAACTACGCCACGCTGTTGTGTATTTCCGAACTTGGCGAAATTGTCCCTCTGACTCCCTCCATTACACACAGTGGACGTTATTTTGCAAATGTAATAAGTACTCACATATGAAGCTGTCTTAAAATCTGTTTGTACACCAAAACTTGCATTTGACGAAATTTGAGGAAAATTCTGGCCCCGGTTTATGAAGTCCTGCTAGCTGCCATTTTCTCCCAAGTGACGCATGCGCATTGCGTTTTATTGTACCGTCCTTCGTATAATTCGACGGCTGTTTACTGTCGCAGCTAAAAGAGACATCGTTTTAGACAAGTTTCAAGTCCTTTCCTCTCTCACCGCACTGCACGCGGGCGCACGTGCGCCCACGTGCGTGTGCGCACACACGTACACGAGATGAGCCGAGCAGCCAATTGGGTGCGGGTTTTTTTTTCGGGGTTGCGACATGAAACAGCCGTCAATTTGTCCAAGCGACTCGTCCGGGGTCATTTGTCAGGGTCACTTGTCGGGTTCAAATGAAATTTCTACACGTTCGTATGGGTCTCTACTGATGGGCAAATTGCGTCGAAATTACACAGCCTAAACAATCCGACGGGCAAATTTAGATTTATAGGTGAGTACTCAACACCCATACGGAATTATGTATGTCGGATCGATTTCGCTAGGTTCAAAATGACACAACAACGTGGCGTTGTATACAACGTCCACGTTCACGGGTCTATATTTACACAATTCCACCGTTTTTAAAGCCAAACGGTGTCTTTTTTAAAAGAAATTGTGGGGTCACTTTTATGCTAATCAGCTCGCGTAGAAATTGTCACTTGAAATAGTTCACTGCACCCAAGACTGACTTCTTCATTCATTGTCATTAGTCTGGTGCACTATAGAGAAATGTGTTGAAAATTTGACCTTCAATGTAGTACCCGACATCCTAGATATGGCACTGTCAGTCAGCTGACAGTTGATTGATGCAGTACTGAAGAGTTGTTGGACTGGTTGTTTCAGATGTCTTTTTTCTTGTATTGCATGTTTTCAGTACCTTAACACTTACACTTACGATTTAATGGGAATAAGTATTAGGCTTCATAAGCCTTTATGACCCCATATCTCTTCCAGTACTCATCAAGCTCATGTTCGAAAGAATTTGTAGTCTTGGCATTCACAACATAACTTGGTAGATCATTCCAGGTGTTGACTACTCTCTGAGAAAAAAAAAATTTGCCTGCATCTCAGAGCTTTGTTCATCCCAGTCTTAAAGATCTTCATGTTGTGTCCTCTTGTTTCTGTTGTGTTGGAGATTTTGAAGAATCTTGATGGTTCTGTTTTGTCAAATCCATTGAGTTTTGGGACTCTCATACAGAGTATTGAGAGTCCCAAATTTTCGGACTACAGTCGTATTAACTCTTGCATCGAATGTTCGTTGAATCAAATAAGTTGTAGAGTCTTTAACATTTGAAAATTCGCCAATGAATGACCATATGGTTTTGCCTAGTTCCGGATCGCATGTGCACATGACGTAGGACCCAACTATACGCACGTTGAACGATTTTATGTGATGTATTCTGTGATGGGTTAAAGAATTTTGGTCTGTGCGTGTTCGTAATCACCTGATCCCTTTTAACCCAAACAAACTTCCCTTGCACCAGTCTCCCAGTGCGCTCTGTTTAGGTTACCTTTGGAATCTGTTGGAAGTTAATCTGCTTTTGAGAGTCAAGTGAAGGAATTGAATCATTTACCTACATGATATCAAATAACTTACAACAAATACACAACGACTTCAGACTGCAGAATGGGCCAGTGTTTGTGGCATTGTTAAAGGAAGAGTAGATCATTTGCAGCTATCCAAAAAGTAACTGACCAAATTATTGTTGAAAAGCATACTTGGTTTAAAGATAGTAACGGCACTAAACTCCCTGTGAAATTGTTCTTTCTGGCATGCTGTCATTTTGAAGAAAACAATAAAAGAAGGTCATTTCCAAAGATGGGTAAAGTGACAAATGTTTTGACAATTTCCGTTATTATTTGTTTTGTAATTTGGCGAATCCATGAATGGGTGCACGCAAGCATTGACACGACACACACGCGCGCGGTTGCTATTATTCGTCAGTTCTGGGCAGGACATTTTGAAGCTGCAATTGGCTGAATGAGAACATGTCCCGGATGCTGAATTCAGGCCCAATTTAAAACATGACTGCAACTTTTGAGTTGAAACCAAGATCCCACAATATTATTTTCTCAGAATATTCAGCATTCACAGAGCTAAAAGTTCATCAGTTTAGTTGTTTAGCGCCCGTCTTTAGATTTTGAGCATTTTTGTTGCTTCAAACGAAAAAAAATACACAAATGACAAATGGTCTACCCCCGGTACACATACCCTACCTTAAAAGGGCCAACTTAGGGCCCGTGACCATTCAGCCCCGGTATGAAAAGGGCCCCCCGGTAAGCTCGTCCCCTCCCAAGAAGTCCTCTCGTACCGTCCCAGCTACCAGCCCAGGAGCTGGTCCGGTTGCTAATCAGGAACTCCTCTATCCTGGGGTCTATTGTTTGCAAGTATTGACGCATGTAATATATCCCAAAAGAAACCCACTTGTGGTTTTCATCTCTCAGCACGAAACAATAGAACACTTTCGTCGGCACAGATCAAAAACCCCTGCCATGCGGCTTCGCGCACAATGGGACAGTAAATTACCAAGGCGTTATGGAAGGATTTTATCTTTAATCCGGTAAGTCTGCTATTGTTCTGCTCTGGACGTTCTCTGAAGGGCAATAAATTGATGCGCCTGACTGACTTCAAAACTTCTGGTCAGACAGGACCATGTACCGGACGAGACTGGGCTGAAGACCGGACTGGCTTTGGACCGGACGAGGTACCGGGGGGGGGGGGGCCTTTTCATACCAGGGCTGAATGGTCACGGTCCCTTACTCATAAAATACCATGACAAAACTTTCAAAAAGTTGGCATTTTTAAAAACTGATTCATTGACTTCCATGAATGCACTAAAAACTGACATTGATTTTGTGCCATGCAGGTTTAGATATCTTTTCCGCAGTGAAAAGTAATTAGATTTCGGGCATCATGTAAAAACTAACGTAATTGAAATGCTGGAGTTAGAATGTTTTTATGCACAAGTAAATGCAGTTTTTAGATTTAGCTTTGAGAACAGTCCACCAGATGACTTGCGTGTAGTGCAATCCAGTGACCAGAATTAGAAGCTTGTACTGTCTTACTCACGCGCATGCTGCAGTATACCTTTACTGGTACATGTACACGTATGTCTAGTCCTAAAATTTGGGACTCTCAATACTGTGTATGAGAGTCCCAAAACTTAAGGTATTGAAAACATGCAAAACAAGAAAGTAGACTGGCACCTAAAACAACCAGTCCAACACAGCTTCAGTACTGCATCAATCAACCATGTCAAAAGAATTTAAGAAACATGTGGCATGAAGCGGGAACTAGTCTCAGTTTACTACACATTTTTCCATAGTCAAGCCACCAGACTATTGACACTGAATGAAGAGGTCAGTCTTTTCAAATAGTTGGACCACGGTTGGACATGTACCAGTCTAGTATTTAGCCCCATTTTGAAATCACTTGACTTACCTCTCATGTGCAAAATATTGAAGAAAAGTCTCCTTTAAAAATTGAATTCAGTCTGCAAACTTGGTTGGTGAAATACTGAGGACATTTCTTTGCTCCAGTGGAATTTTCAGAGAAATTTGCTGGCTAAACTGTGAGTAAAGTGGGCCTGATTTAGTTTTGCATGTTTCAGAGCACTCCAGAGCCCTGTCTGACGTATGTCATGTCTGCCAACCAAAACATTACACGTTAGTGAGCTGCTTGTAGTGCAGATATAATGTCAACTACACTTTGCCAAACATGGTTGTAATTATTTTTTTCAGTGATCAGCTCATTATAAACTCGCTGCAAAAAAAATCAGAGACAATGTGCACAGTAATACAATATGGTTGCAACTGCAATTTATTTTTTCAATATTTGTTTTCTTCGGCCGAGCAACCAAACTTCAGAGGCACAAAAAAATATGAGAATCATAGAAATCAAAAGGGCATCGCGATGAAGTTAGGCCATGATACATGTGAGTGATATAACATGATATGAGATTGATATCATATATCTTGATGCTTAACAGTGTAAAGGATACATGTAGGACGATATGGATTCCAGACATAGCATGGAAGTCAGATGAAGTGCATGTACGTCTACACTGTCTGCATGAACATGTACATTAACTTAAGTGCAAGAAAATTAAAACCTGCATTTCCTATTACCCCACCCAATCCATAAAATCATGCAGAATTTAATAAAAATTATTAGAAAAAAAAAGAGGAACAAAAACTTATGGTGCTGTCCCATTTTTCCCACCCTAGTTTTAGTGGAAATTAAAAAAAACCATATATTTTCTGCAATTTGGTCAGTAAAGCTGTCTTGATGCATCATGCAGTGAAGCCTTTAAACAGTGAAGCAAAGGCAGACTGAATAGTTGATTCGCATGTTAACTTTTAAAATATGTACACCCCCCCCAAAAAAAAGTGAATTAAAAAATGAAACCCACCCGATTTCTTTTTCAACCTAATAGAAACACGATATATGTGTGCTTGGCCTAGTAATGGTTGAAGACATGTATTACGTTCACAGTTTAAACTATAGTGAGGGCTCATTAGGAAAGAATTGTTGTGTTTTTTTTAACTGAAATGGACTACCCTCGGTGATATACAAATAAAACAAATAAACTTAAGTTGAAGGTTAGCTTAAGTCACACTCTGTAACTTAGTATGCCCTGCATTCATAAATTCTCCATTTTAAAATTTAAAATTATTATTTATAGGCCTAACTGGTTGTATGGTTTTGGTTTTCTGCACACTGATATTTTTCTGTACAAGCGCTTTTTTTTTTATCAAAGAATTAGGACCTTAGAAATTGTGTTTTAAAATCATAACCATCACACATCCTATAAATTCAGAATTCAAAATATCTAATTTGGGTTCTGACGTTTTATCAACATTTGCCTTTTAGAATGTTTAATTAACAGAACAGATGTTCGTACATGAATTTCATGTTGTTGGGCTGGAAGTATTGCACACAAATGGCGATCTGCACAAAATAACTGTTTCACTTGTGTAAAAACAATTTTGTGAATTTAATATTTGATGTACAGGCTGCAGCTGTTTCAGCCATAGCGAGGCTTCTGGCAATGTTTAACCAAATATCAGAAAACGTATCAGTATGGCATTTTTGACATACTTCTCTTCGTGGAAAAGTGAATTCATGCTATGAAACTTAGTGACATTATCGCAGTTATCATTTTAAAGGGAATATACAACATTTGCAAACATCGAAAAATAAAACTACCAAGTTTTTGTGAAATACCTTAATAGGATGTTGGTAAATGACAGTCTTAAGCATCCTGTAAAATTATGGCGCCTGGTATACTGTCATTTTGAAGAAAAGTGGTATTTTTGTATCAATTTCCAACGCTGATCGGCCGATCAGCGTTGGAAACAACTGGCTTTTTTTTCAAATACTGGCCCCAATTGACCATTGCACTTGTTTGCAATCGATTACAAACCTATGAACGGGTACGAGCCAGCTAGACTGGTTCCCTGACCTTACAATTCCCCAATGTATGTAAACTGCTCTGTTTCTTCTTATATGGAGTCAGGGAACCCGACTACAGGAAAATGATCGTTTTTCTTGGTTTTTATAGCATTTTCGAACCCAAAACCTCCAAAAAGTCAGTGTAACTATATTTGCTTTATATTTCCAACCCCCCAATTCCATCCATTTCTGAAAATTACAGCAAAAGCAAATGATGTATATTCCCTTTAAAGTAACTAAAATTTTAATTTTTTAGTTTTTATGTATCAGTTTTTCAATTTGCATGTAAGTTTTGTGCATGTCCATGTACATGTACATGCACTACATACACATTCAATGACATGAATGTGTCGCATTGTTGAAAGAAAAACGTATCTAGGCTAGTAATCTATGCATTTGACAGGTCTTCACAATATACATGTACCTGCTCAATGTACAGTGTACGGTACATGTACATTTTGTACATGTACATGGTGCCGTACAGGTAGTGATGCCATACGTGTACATGTACATGTACATGTACATGTACAGGTAGATGTCTCATGTGTATGTAATCTATATGCGTTCATCTATTGAGATTCCAGGCATCAGTCTACTGCCCTTCAATAAGGTCAAGTTATGTACTGCATTAAAGGGACTCTCAAAACCTTTAGGAAGCAGAAAGACATTTATATTATCACTTCTATACATATTTAAAAAATACAAAATTTGATGTTCATGCTAAATTTCTTATCATGCAGTGAGTGTGATAATTCCTTGGTTCTGACTATTAAATGTGTGCTTTGTATTACGAGCATTAGGAGGGAGTAATAATATCAAAATCTGTTCAATTCTTTTTAGAAATTTATTTATGGTACAGTATACTGTACTAGGCTTTGCAGAGCAATTTGTTGCTCAGTTTGTATGTATATTTATTTGGCCCTCTATTCTCTATTGTGTTTCTTTGGAGGGTATTCAATTAAACAATTACCCTAAAAGTAAAACCTTGGAAACGGACAACATGACCTCTTTACCCACGCATCCGTTCTGCATGCATTGCCCTGGCATATGACTCTGCAATATTCTTCTACCTACTTGTTTCCCTAACACACTGTCCCATTGGCCAACTGAAGGCTGTCACTGTTTGCTGAGTAAAGGTTGATGTAATTAAGCCTGAATATGATTGGCTGCCTGCAGGGGCGTGGCAGGGTTTGGGCCAGGAAATCATGAATATTCATGGGATATCCTCACAGCTGGGGGCTCTGTGTACCAGCACATGGTACCATTCTCAACAGTAAGACTACATTGTGCGTGTTTATTCAACCCTGTTGCAAACGTGGCACAGTGTGTATTTTGAAGGCAAGGACACACTTTTGTAGTTGTACTCTGTGCCAGGAAATCCTGACAATTTTTCTGATTAAGCTGTTCAGTCTTTTGGGTAAGTCTTCTACTTCCTGGTATAACGCAGCTCACCTGTATATTATTGATCAAAATTTAAAGTAACCCATTTAAAAATCCAGTCAAGTTTTTGAAGTTGAGAACCATTTTACAATAAATGTATACTGCGAAACTGCAACTTAATTATTGTGTAATTTTTGTCAAACTATGTACAAATAAGGTATTGCCAAAGATATCTATTTTGAAAATTATGAATTTAAAAACGACACATTGAAAGGGATTTCGGTTTTCTTGTAAACTGCCATATTTAGTTTGGTTTTAGTTGTGCCTATTTCCCTGTGTTTATTACAGTTTTGTTAACTGTACGTAATCTACAATAACCCATGCTCTCTAGTAGGTATTTTTATATAATGTTAACCTGTTATACTTGTCAGGAGTTATCCTGTATCTTCTGAAATCCAACAAGGAAGTAAACATTTAGAGCAATGTTTTCCCACTTCCACACAGCTTTTACCAGATACAATATTTAGTATTAAATACAAATTTTGAATCGGTGAAATTCATGCAAAACCGACCACTGCCTGTCAGTAGAATTAGAATTTATTCATTTGGGATTTAAAATTTCTGTCATTAAAAGATCCATTTAAAATACAGAGAATGAAAATTATTAGATGGAAATGTAAACTTCATGTGCACGATGCAGAGTCATGCAGGGTGGGTTATTCCAGTAGAGACAAGCATGGCAAATGTTGTCCACCGCGTGGTTATTTAATTTACTTTAAACTGCGTGGTTATTTCAGAGAAGAGATTTTGGTTATGCGTTGCTGGTACAGTACCTGCATATCTGTCTGTCTGTGCGCTGGGTACCTGTACATGTATCTGACCATTAATCTTGTCTGTTTCCTGTTGTCAGACCAGCATTGTGTTTTCAGGATTTCATTTGTCTCTGACAATATTTATTTCGCACTTGCTGTTCATGGATGAGTTGGAATACTGACTCGATCCGACAGGGTCAGAAATAGTCTATGTAATAGACCCATGGCTAATGCCATGGGTCTGTGATATGTGAGCAGATTCGCTGATTAATTAGGCAAGACCCCGCCTCTTGAATTCCTAGATTTTGACCAATCAGCAGGCGCTTTCTATATCGGGTCTTCGGTCATTCACCCGTTGCGCGTCATAGACAATGGATTAAAAAGCCCTGCGTGCAGGCTGCGTCACGCGCTCTGTTATCATGTTACGCGATAACGCGCCCGGCTGTTGTTGCATTACAAAACACTGCATGCGAATTGACCAATTAAAACGTTTAGTCCTGATTTGGGAATGAAATGACGTCACGATTTAGTAAAGTCGACTCTGATTGGCTGAGGCACGAGATCGGATAAATCTGCATGCTTTTATATATCAGACGTTAGACAGGAGTCTGGGCTCCGTGGATAAAGGGTGATACTCAGACTAGGTCAGAAACCGGTCAGGACTGGTTCTCACACTGATGAACTCTGAACTTTGAACTGGTCAACTTGATGTTAGTATATTTTGTTTGACACATTCCCACTGCGCAAAGTTGAAAAGTCTGCCAGTTAGACTACAAGGGCAGGAAGAATTGGAACAGAACATTAATAATTATACACGTAATAATAATGTGAATTTATAAAGCGCACATATCCACCATTATTGGTGCTCAAGGCGCTACATCATTATTACCCTGCTCATTGGGTCAATGAAACATTCCAAATACCTTCTCGGCTGCCTGGGAAATATACAGCTCCATGCTGCCATGTCGGCGCAAAGCAGCTAAAATCAACCACAGTAACAATTTCTGCCCTCACAGGTACCCATTACTCCTGGGTGGGGAGAAGCAATGAGTGACAAAGTGCCTTGCCCAAGGGCACATGTACCACGATCCCAGGCTGGACTCAAACCCACAACCTGCAGAATTACCCACAGAGTATGAGTTCAGTGCTCCAGACCATGAGGCCACGGCACTGCTCTCTATACACCGATACTGACCGGTTAGCACAGAACCACAAGTCGAAGTCATTTGAAGCCATATTGGGAAGACCACATCGGTGTTCTAAAAAGGACAACTTGCCGTATTAGATCTGTTTTCACTTTTTGTCTGTGACGGTTCACAGTGTTTCAAGCGTAGTGGTTCACTATGAACAACGCAGTTCACTTTTTACAACATTTGCAAATAATAATCATGACACAAACTTGTCTTTCTTTTTAGATTATCACAATACGTACGTACGTGATCAAAAAGTGTCAAATCCTGATACAGTGCATATGTACATGTACTATGTAGAACGTTCGTATATCGGCGGCCATATTTGGAAAACCAGGGGCGAAATGGTCAAAAAGCAACATCAGTTAATATATGGTGTAATGGACATACGCTATCCAGTCAATATAGAGATCAGTGATCGCAACCGATAAAATTTCAAAACCTACAAGGCCATTGCCTATCCATTTGTGAGGTCAAGCCGCTTGCCTATTGATGAAACTCTGTCTTTTTTCATCTCCCCCTACACAGATTCTTCTTATAATCTTGGAAGGAAGACGTATACCAAGCCATCACCATGTCACAATACCTGACTATTGAGCAGAAGGCTGAGCTGGTGGATACAGCCAACAAGATCGTGGCTCCTGGAAAGGGCATCCTGGCTGCTGATGAGAGTACAGGTAAGCTTGATGACAAAATGTGTACAGTCGAGTCTCGTTAATACAAACTCGTTGGGACCTAGCCAAATTGTTTGTTATATCAGAGTTTTGTATTAAGAGGAACATCAGTCCCATTCATTGTGCACGTCAATGCACAGTCGGGACTAAGGCGTTTGTTATAACCAGAATTTTGTATTAACAGAGTTTGTACTAACGAGATGCGACTGTATTTGAAAATGCAGTGAATCCATAGAAACACTGTACAGCAACAGAGATCTGTATGTACATCCATTGAGGTGTGCATTGCGCGTATTGTTCCCATGCGCTAAAGAGTTGGGTCAAACAATCTATTGGAATTTGGGTCCATGGTTTATGCAGTAGAAGATTAACAGTGGGCAACTTCGAACCCGCCCTTTCCGGATGCACAGCAGAACCTTGGTATACGGTTCTCTACACCAGGACTACATGTTGAAATATGACCATGAACATCACAGGAGTTATACAGTTTAAAATTATTATTATCATCCCTATAAAACACACAAATAGTTCTCAGGAATACCTAACATGGTCCAACACAACTCAACTTGCCAAGTTGTTGGGCACCTGACAATATACAAATATAACATGGTTTGAGGGTGAACAGTCGATATTCGCTCCCCGAGGTATTGGGAATTGACAAATTCGGGGAAACTTGTCTTGTACAGCTCACCACAAGAATATTGTTGCTCAACTTCAATTACTAGTTCAGTTCGTTTGCAATATAATACAGTAACTACAGTTGTAAATACAGTTGTTTGTGTACAACTTTCTCTGGTCAGGAGACATCTTTACACGGTCTACATGTATAAATTTTCTCCAGTACGGCATCATTGAGCTCTGGAAATTAACATTTACGCGAACCGTGCAACCATGCATCTCTCCTGGGCGATGTTCGCGCGTGCGTACTGCACACGTGCGACAGTTCCTCGATTGCTCTGTAAAGCGCATGCGTAGTAGACTGTCCCACGGGCAACCCGTACGACAGTCTACTACGCATGCGTATTTACCATGTGCGTGAATCCTCGCGCGCGCGTTTGGTGAACAGCAAGAATAACATCTGGCACGTGATGGTGAATTGACCAGTGAGAGTTCGGCTCTCGATCATGAATATGTATGAGGTATAGTAATGTAAATTGACTGGCATGCTCAATCCAACAGAATCCAACTATGCCTTATTTTTCTGTTTTGCTGCTGGATCCAACAGATTACAACTTAGCGTTATTTACCAGCACCCAACAGAATCCGACTCTGAATGTTTTCAGTTGCCTGCTGAATCCAACAGATTTCAACAGGAATATACACAAGGGGTTTACTGCTCAATCCAACAGGACCCAACGGAAATGTAAAATAGTTGGATGGAGCAGAATTAGGGTTAAAGTAAAACCAGACTTTATGGATGGACTACATTTTCTACATTCTCCATTTCCAGGCACCATGGGTAAGCGTCTGGCCAACATCGGCGTGGAGAACACGGACGAGAACCGTCGTCTGTACCGTCAGCTCCTGTTCACCACCGACCCAGCCATCGGCAAGAACATCAGCGGAGTCATCCTCTTCCACGAGACGCTGTATCAGAAGGCCGATGATGGAACGCCATTCGTTGACCTCATTAAACAGAAGGGCATTATCCCTGGCATCAAGGTATTCCCCATGTTTATTTTGAGCAAATTTGACAAGAATTTTTTGGCCTGATTAACCCTCCTGTTGTTTGATCAGTCACAGACAGTCAAAATCATCTTCCACTTCCCAGACTAGTAAAAAACAGTCGGATCACATTCGTGTAAACACTGTGACTTGTCAAGTTCCATCAACAGACAAATATGTAACTGGAACAAATGTAGGTACAGCTGGCATATCAATCACCTCCAATCAAAGCATGGCCAAATCAAATTAACTAGGGAATTTGTAACTGTTCAAAACAGTCTCTTGATTTATTTTGGACTGCTGTGATGGCCAGAAAGAGAATTGTTGGGTTTTTTTAAATCTAATTTGTGATAATTCACTTATAACCTTTTGACTTGTGTGAAAAACTGTAGTGACGGATTATTTTCTTGACAGCAATAGTAATTAAAAGATTTGAGGGGAAAAGCTGTTTTCATGTTGGAAAAAAATGGTTCTTGTATTTTTTGTATTTGATGCAACTCAAATGGAATTTGCAAAAACCATTTGGTATTGCTGAATTTGTTTCTGTAACATATGCAGATCTTTCCTTCATTCTTAAAAAGAGCTTGTATGATTCACGTTTCATTACAGGGAAAGTGATAATTTTTTTATAGAAATCAGGTTACAATCATGACCATTGCTTAAAATTTGTCACATCTGATACACAGATGAAAAGAATGAAATGAAATATATGAATTGTAGAAAAGACGAATAAATTCAAAAAAATACACAGTCCAAGCTCTTTTTGTGTGTTTAAATATATGAATTTTAAATTTTCCCTGGACTTTCCTTGCCTAGAGCACATTCATTAGGCTATTATACCTTAATAATGACACTTAATAAGGCCCAAGAAAACTAAAAGTTGTGCTTCAGGTTACCCTTCCTACCCTATTTTGTCAGCCCCTACCCTAATTGGTTTTTTTTGGGGGGGGGGGAAAGTAGGGCTGAGTCAATTCGAATAATTGAATATTCGAATATTCGACCTTCCAATCGATCGAATATTCGGTTATTTGGTCATTCCAAATTCCCTCAAAAGCAAAAATATGCCATACAGGTACATGTAGTCAACGTACGTGCGCACATCAGCATGCCATGCATGATTTCTTCACAGGTAAATCAGGTATTTGACAACAATCAGTTGTTCTTCAGTCGTCAGTAATTTAAAGATTAACAATAACCAGAGAAGCTAGAGTGAAGGATTCCTTGTTTGCATGGGGGACGTATTAAGCCGTGAACCCCAAACACGGCGGGTGGCGTCAGCTATTGTGACTCTCCGACCCTTAACTCGCAAACAGGAACCGAGCATAACTATTACTGGAAGCTTCTTGAAGTCTACAAAACGGTGTACTTCCTAGTCACAGTATTGAGGATAAAAAATCACTTTTATAATAATAACTCGCACTTATGTCACCAAGAATTGAGGAAATGATTTTATATCATTTTAAATAAACTTATTCTCAACAACCAAAAACTCCAAGAAAAAAACCTATGATATTTAATGTCTTTATTCAATGAAATATGGGTCTTTGAATTGTAAATGCATATTTAAGTTTATGCAAATAATGGGCGTGGGCGCGGCATACACACGCCCCAGCTTGACACGTGCAAAGCAGTATTTCCTTGTTTGCCCACAGGGGATGTATTATAAGCTGTGTACCCAAAACACGAAGGGTGACATTTCAGCCAAAAAAAAAAAAATCGCCAGCCGAGCTCCGGCGGGCGCATTGTTGGCGGGCTAATTAGGGCACAGGTGCGCTGACCCGGTTCTTTTGTCTGGCTAAGTGCGTGCTCTGGAGATAACTTTCTAACAAATAGGCCACTAAAAGGTTTGGATATTCCAACTTGCAACATTTTGATACATTTTGTCTAGCTGTGGTTTTCTATGCTGGGAATCAGGGGTACGGTGCGGTGAGTTGACCGCAAAGTCTGTCTGGCGAAATAAATGAGAGCTCTTTTGAGTTTGAAATCCTCTCTGTTGTCTGCCCTTTTTCTTGCGTTTTGCTCGACTTGGAGGACATAAGCCAGAGGTTCCCGCTATTATTACAGAAAGTATAATTGCTGAACTAGTTTTTGAAGTGTTTATGTATGTTTTATTTGTGCAAATATTGGGTGCAATTAGCAGACTAACCCAGCGAACAAAGCTGACGGACAGCGAACGAAAATGTGTTCGATAAAAGGGTGCTCTGATCAGTTGAGAGAACTAGATTATTTTGTACATGTACATGTATATAATTACGGAGGCATTGAGGCGAACATCTAACAGCCATAATAAATTTACCCCTAAAAGTAAACAAGAAATTCTTTTAGAAAAATCCCAGAGTCCGTAACGTAAATGAACCAAGGTTTTCAAAACGTTTTAATGTAATGTTGGGGCTCATGACAAGTTTTCTACAACACCGCCACGTGCTGTGGGCAGCATACTGCGTGCAAGGCGATTCCCTATAACCACGTGCATTCGACACGATTGAACAGGCGATGGAAAACTTTGGGGGGAATTGGCTTCGCTGTATCAGTGTATAATGTACCGCTTCTTGTGCGACCAGTACGTCCTCAAAATAAGTACATGAAAACGGAAAATACAAAGGCCCACACAGAAAAAAGAAATCAAGTTCTTTGCATGAGATTGCAGAGGTCTTCTACATCGATGTTGGCATGCCATTTTCGCGATGTCAATAGCCGATCCAGTAAGCCCCTCCCACTGCGCACGTGGGGAAATTAACACGTGCTCCTCTCCAATTAATGCCACGCTGCATTTTCCTATGCTGCACACATGTACATGTAACACCAACGCGCGGGGAAACTTGCCAGGATCGCATCGGGGAAAACAGCGGCGGTTTTCTTTTGAAAGTAGGGATTGTAAGTAGGACAACAACAAACAAAAATACGGACAACGGAAACGTTACTACTCATGCTAGAAGTTTGATATGAAAAGGTGTCAGGAAGTGTTTTGTGAAGACATGAAAGACAAAATGTCTTGTTTATCTTGTCGGAAGCATCAGCGATTGGTGTTGCAGTCCGGCGTTAAAAAAATGGGTTGGCTTTACTGCAAGTGCAAGCACTCCCAAAGCAGAAGTAATAATTATATGTATGGCATTATTGCTTGGCATATATACAAGCTACTTTTATGGGGTTTTTTGCAGTAACTTGAAACTTAACTTTGAGAATTCACTTTTGTTGTTAAAAAAAAAAGTTTTTTCCACTTTTTTATGTCATTGCATATCACCACCGAATATTCTTATTCGAAAATAAATATTCGAATATTCGATTATCGATCGAGTAACCGAATATTCGAATATTCGGCACAGCCCTAGGGAAAAGGAAGGGAAAAACTGAAAAATTATCAATTATTTACCCTTGACTACACGCAGACACCTCCAAAATGATCGTACACAAAACAAATTGCCTCCCCTCCCCCCCCCCCCAAAAAAAATCCCTACCTACCTACCCTATTTTCAAATGCCATGTATTCGGGAGCCAACATCTTTTTTTTTTTTGCCTAATGACACGGATGTCTTCCAGTAGTCAAAACTATGAGAAATGACAACTTTTGACCAATTATTAACCTGTTCCAAACCCTAACAGGTTGACAAGGGTGTGGTTCCCTTGGCCGGATTCAACGCAGGTGAATGCACCACCCAGGGAATGGATGACTTGGGCGCACGCTGTGCCAAGTACTACCAAGATGGAGCACGCTTTGCTAAGTGGCGCTGCGTCTTGAAGATTACTGACTTGACTCCATCGGATGCGGCTATGAGAGAGAACGCTCACATCTTGGCTCGCTACGCTAGCATCTGCCAACAGGTAGGATGGATTGAAGGAGTGATGTATTATACAGAAACTTAAATTGTAAAGGAGCTTTTTTGAGAGAATGCTCTCATTTGGGCTCGAAAACGGATTTACCATGAAAATGGATTTACCATAAAAATGCATTATGGGCTTGAAAATGCATTGACCATGAAATAATAGTTGGAAAAATCGTTGAAAAGTACAATTTAAATGTTCACATAACTATACCTGGCAATATTGCTTACAAGCGAAGGAGTTTTGGGGTGCAAAATTTTGGTCCCCAAAATTAAAACCGTTGAAGCGCTCATTTTAGTTAACCAATGTATTTTTCAACGCGTGTGTAGCAGGATTGTTAGGTGTGTTAGTGTTAAACTGGAGCAGGACCTGATAGTATCACTTAGTGCATGGATTGTCGCGTACATTTATGAAGTGCTGGCCACTATTTTTGCGAAAGCTTGGCTCAAAATTTGATGCTTGAAATACGATCTGGTACACGGTACCCTGTGGAGACATGTGCATAATAGGGAACAAAAGATTGTATACGTCTCCACAGGGCAATTTCTATAGGTGAATACGTCTTCACCAGGTTATCACGAAATAGAGATACGGATTTTACTCAAAATTTAGGAATTTCCATGGTGTGTTGCTCCGTCGCAAATTGAAGTCGGAATTTCAGCCCAGAAAATTAATTCTGGTAAAAATAGGAGCATTTTGAAACTACACTTTCAAACTCTAAAATTTTAGTACACAAGAACAAAGAAATGACTCCACAAGGATACAAATTCCAGTATGTATACATGTATCAACAAGGACAAGGTCTAACACGTGATTCTACCCTTGTTGACTGGTGTTTTTGTTCCTCATTGCAGAATGGTCTGGTTCCGATTGTTGAGCCGGAGGTTCTCTCGGATGGGTCTCACAACCTGGCAAGATGCCAGTTTGTCACAGAGAAGGTCAGTTCCCGTATGTCTGGTATCCGGACTTCATCCATCTAGTCCTGTATGGACAGATAATGAAGAACGTCCATTCTGTTACAAATAACTGATTATTTTTTGTTGTACAAAGAAAATTGCCTTAAGCACATTTCAAACTTTTCACTTTTTGAAATAGCATAGATTTTCTCTACTTACTGTAAGCTACCCAGCTATCTATTAGAGAGTGGCTCCAGAAATGCGCTTATGAAGCCTATTATTTTACATGGGTGTATTCTCTTGTGAGGTGTGTGGTTCTTTATAAGAACTTAATGTTTTGAACAACATACTTTGTTCATTGTAAGGAGTACAGTTCGTAAAGTATGTCACAAGCCAAGACGGCTAATCAGGCTGGTGTTTATCCCCGGTTTCCTTGGCATGCAACAACTGAGAACATTTGTTAATACCCAGGTTATTAATACCCAGCTAATGCCCAGGGACACAACAGGATTCGAACCCCTGACCCTCTGATCTTGAGTCACAAACCCTAACCACTCGGCCACACTCTGCATCATTTGGAGGGACTGCTCGCAAAGAGATAATCAAGGGGCACACACTGATCCACAGTCATGGTCATTTTTTGTGTACAGGACCTGAAGGTGTCATTGTATTTCTTACGGTAATCCTTGGTGCTGTCCCAAGGCTCTGATTGATAATTACACTGTGGTCCACAGTCATGGTATACTATTATTTATGGACCTATGTAGGTCCACGAGAGCTTGAAGATGTCATTATATTTTTTGTGGTTGTCCTACATGCTGTCCCATATGTACAAGGCTCTGATTGATAATTACATTGTTGTCCTCAATCATGGTTCTGTTATATTTGGACCTGTATAGGTCCGACAGGGCCTGGAGGTGTCATTGTATTTCTTGTGGTTATCCTAGGTGCTGTCCCATGCCTACAAGCTCTGATTGATAATTACATTGTTGTCCTAGTCATGGTACTCTGTTATATATGAGCCTGCATAGGTCTGACAGGGCCTGGAGGGTGTCATTGTATTTCTTGTGGTTATCCTAGGTGCTGTCTCATGCCTACAAGCTCTGATTGATTATTACATTGTTGTCCTAGTCATGGTACTGTTATATTTGGGCCTGTATAGGTCCGACAGGGCTTGGAGGTGTCATTGTATTTCTTGTGGTTATCCTAGGTGCTGTCCCATGCCTACAAGCTCTGATTGATAATTACATTGTTGTCCTAGTCATGGTACTCTGTTATATATGAGCCTGCATAGGTCTGACAGGGCCTGGAGGGTGTCATTGTATTTCTTGTGGTTATCCTAGGTGCCGTCCCACGCCTACAAGCTCTGATTAATAATTACATTGTTGTCCACAGTCATGGTACTCTGTTATATATGGACCAGTATAGGTCCAACAGGGCTTGGAGGTGTCATATTTCTTGTGGTTATCCTAGGTGCTGTCCCACGCCTGCAAGCTCTGATTAATAATTACATTGTTGTCCACAGTCATGGTACTCTGTTATATTTGGGCCTGTATAGGTCCAACAGGGCTTGGAGGTGTCATTGTATTTCTTGTGGTTATCCTAGGTGCTGTCCCACTCCTACAAGCTCTGATATAATTACATTGTTGTCCACAGTAACGGTAGCGTTATATTTGGACCTGTAAAGGTCCAACAGGGCCTGGAGGTCTCATTGTATTTCTTGTGGTTATCCTAGGAGCTGTCCCACGCCTACAAGCTCTGATTGATTATTACATTGTTGTCCACAGTCATGGTACTCTGTTATATATGGACCTGTATAGGTCAAGCAGGGCCTGGAGGTGTCATTGTATTTCTTGTGGTTATCCTAGGTGCTGTCCCACGCCTACAAGCTCTGATTTATAATTACATTGTTGTCCACAGTCATGGTACCGTTATATTTGGACCTGTAAAGGTCCAACAGGGCCTGGAGGTCTCATTGTATTTCTTGTGGTTATCCTAGGTGCTGTCCCACGCCTACAAGCTCTGATTGATAAATACATTGTTGTCCACAGTCATGGTACCGTTATATTTGGACCTGTAAAGGTCCAACAGGGCCTGGAGGTCTCATTGTATTTCTTGTGGTTATCCTAGGTGCTGTCCCACGCCTGCAAGCTCTAATTGATTATTACATTGTTGTCCACAGTCATGGTTCTGTTATATTTGGGCCTGCATAGGTCCAACAGGGGCTGGAGGTGTCATAGTATTTCTTGTGGTTATCCTAGGTGCTGTCCTACTGCTACAGGGCTCTGAATGATAATCACGTCTTCTTGGAGGGCACTCTACTCAAACCTAACATGGTGATGCCTGGCCAGAGCTGCCCGGTCAAATACACCCCGGAGCAAGTTGGACAGGCCACCGTGATCACTCTGCAGAGGACTGTACCACCAGCCATGCCAGGTAAATAGAACTGGTCAATAGTTAATTGGTCAAATATACCCCTATAGAAGTTGGACAGGCCACCGTAAACACACTGCAGAGAACTGCATAGCTGCCAACTGTTAAGAATTTTTCGTAATTATTACGAATTGTTTGTTAAATTACGAAAATACGATTTGCCACTAAAATATTACGAATTTCCTATTTTCTACCTAACAAAGAAAAAAATACTTGTAAAGTAATGGATGGACTGGTGACAAGTCTAATAAGAATGCAGTCAAGCACCTGATAGACATCAATGCAGTGTGCTCAGTGGAGTACTTGAGGACCAGACTAAAAATATTTTTCAATGGTGTGTCATTTGTGTGCATCTCGTGGATGTGTGGTTGTGTGTACTGCATGTGAGTACTTTTCAGTGACGATCGTGAGCACATTTGGTCGCTTATTGCCGGGATGAGACCCATCAGTGCGAGATTTTAATCATGGAATTTAATAAGAGTATGGTTGGAATAATTGGTAATAGAGTTTGTCACAACGTCCAGAAAAGATAAATCAGCATGTGTTTGCAAGGTATGTTGGCGGGATATTTCTATTGCATACGGTGGCCCTAAATCATTGTGTGTAAAAACACGATACGATTACGAACTCGAAACTCCACATCGATAGCATGCATCTAAAAAAAAAATATGCGCACGTTATTATTGTTATTATTTATTTGACTTCAACAAACAAATACAGACATTAAAACAAAATTAATTTAAAAAAATTAATAAAATAAAAAAATTTAATTTTTTTTATTTTTTATTTAAATTATCTCTTGGCCTACAGTACATTATTATTCACAACAAGAAGGGTATGCACATGTATGTGTACATGTAAACCATGTACCTGTACTCGATGTTGGTAAGCTTTTGATAAAACAAGCAGTTGAAAATGACTGCGCGGGTTGATTACTAATTGGGATTTTGAAAAGTTGGCAGCTATGGAACTGTACCACCACCCATGCCAGGTAAAGAGAACTGATCAATAGGTCATTGGTCATAGTTTGTAGGTGAAATATACACCTGAAGTAGTAAGAAATGCCACTATATCCCCCACCTTGCTAGGTATTATATAACGGATCCATTAGAGGTCATATAATGTGGTAGGTTTGTGTTTTATTGCAGCAGGTGAATTTCAAAATAATAAGCAGGTTCTTATAAAGGGCACATATCCTAAACAAAGCTAGATCAGGGCGCTTGACAACAAAAAAATAATAAAGTAACGAGCTCTGAATAGTTATGTCTTCAAAGGTTTCCGGAATGTTGTCACTGAGTCAGACTGGCTGATTTCTTGAGGGAGCTTGTTCCACAGGTGGGCGCCAGAATAACCAAAGGCGCCCTGGCCGATCGATTTGTTACGGATGGGTGTAGTAAATCTGCATGGTCATCCTAGTCCTTGTCAAATATGGAATTAATGTAACTCTCAGTTCAAAAGCAAATTTGAAATTAGGCATTTTAAAGCAGAAGCATTTTTTGCAGGCATGCAGCGTTTCCTGGGATTAGCTAATTTCCTCATTTATCACTTCACACTGAAAAACAAAACCGAGATAAAGTGTTGTAAAACATGGAAATTCCTCATTTTTGTTGCTTCCCAGTTGCATGCCTGTATGCGAAAATCAAGAGTAAAGTCACATTGCTTTGTTTTACAGTCGACTCTCATTAGTACAAACACTGTTAATACAAATTCTGGTTATAGCTAACACAAAGCCTTGTTCCCGACTGCGTTTATGTGCACAATGAACTGGACCGATGTTCCTCTTAATACAAAATTGGGATATAACCAACAATTTAGTTAGGTACGAATGAATATGTGTTAACGAGAGTCGACTGTATTTTGAACCCGAGCAGTGCCCGGTGTCTAAGACAAGGAAGCACCATCACATTTGGACATGAATTACACCCTCATTTTTATCCTAGGTAGTTTTGCGTCTCTTCTGAAGTAGGTAAAGCTCCATTTTGTTTGTTGTTTTTCATAGGCGTGACGTTCCTGTCTGGTGGGCAATCTGAGGAGGAAGCATCACTCCACCTGAACGCCATCAATGCTTGCCCAGGCAAGAAACCCTGGGCTCTGACCTTCTCCTACGGCCGTGCTCTCCAAGCCAGCGTGCTGCAGGCCTGGAAGGGCAAACCTGAGAATGTCAAGGCGGCACAGGATGAGCTGCTCAGACGAGCTCAGGTCAGGCATGAACTATGTAGCTCATAGTATACAAATATTGAATGCTTCGAGTGGTGTAGTAAAACTAGCCTCCCGAGGTGATCCATGAAGCATTCTATTTTTCCTGAGGCGAAGCCGAGGGAATATAGAATAAGCCTTTTCTGAGTTCCAACTGCGCGCATTCGTAACCTGTGACAACGCACATTGTTTGTCTCAAATGCCCTTTGACAGTACCCACAATGCACAAACAGCCTTTTTGTAAAGTCAGTGGCGCGATGATGTCAAAGGCCATTTCAGACAAACAATGCGCGTTGTCACAGGTTATGAATGCGCAGTTGGAACTCCGAAAAGGCTTATGCTCCATGGATCACCGAGGGAGGCTAGTTTTACTACACCACGAGATAAAGCAGTCAATATTTGTTTTATAACACCTCACCCACAGATTCTGCTTGATTTTAAGCGATAACTGATTAATTTATTCTGAATACAATTAAAATTTACTTCTTTTTGAATGCAAAATTCGTTGAAAATTTACTTGCACTTTTCCAAACTGTCATTTCACAATATGTTTGAACCCAGCTCTGTAGCGCTAATGCTTGGGAACAATACGCGCAACGCACAATGCGCATAGTACCTTGGTTGCTATGGGTATAGTACCTTGGTTACTACAGGTCTAGTACTTTTGGCCGTGCACAGCAAGATGGCAAAAAAGGTAATGCCACGTGACTCGCTTTCGGCCAATCAAGATACAGAATCATTATATATATTTATTATATATTATTTTACAGAATCTGTGGGTTATTAAAGTGTTATAATCCTATTTATAACACCTATTTATAACAGGGTTTTGATGGTCTAAGGACTGCTATGTAACACAGTTTATGGATTTTGGGTGAATTCAGGAACCTTTACGCTTAATTGATGTTTTTTTGTCTTCAGGCTAATGGCGCAGCCAGCCAGGGCAAGTATGGCGGCGGAGCCACGGGTGCTGCAGGGGGCAAGTCGCTGTTCGTAGCCGACCACCAATACTAAACAGCGCCCTCACGTTGTGAGCCTCAGTCAAAAAAACACCATCGCACCACCAGACGGAAACAAGTAACGCTAAAGTGTGCATTTCTGGACCGAGTAATCCCATAAAGACAGTCAAGGTATGAACATCTCAGTTTAAATATTCATCTCGTATTTCACGATGCAGGGTTTTGATTGGCTAAAAAAGAACGAATGTCTGTTTGAAGTGCACCTTTAATGTGATCTTGTCTTTCTGTATTTCTTCTTTGAGTAATAAGGATCATTGAAAATAATTGTCGTGATTAGCATCGTATGATCAAAATAGTTTAGGATGTGGTTGAAATAGCCCCCTCGTGTGGTGAGCTTCATAACCTAAATTATAATGTATAAGCCAAATACTGAACAATCATAGTGTAACAAAAAGCTTTACATTCAGATTGTGTTCATAGAATAGCACTCCTTGTGTGGGAAACTTCTACCATTCATTTGTGTTGGAAATATTCCCCTTGTTTGGTTAGCTTAAAACATATGCAGTGGTCAAGATTGTGTCGTTAGGGATTGAAAAAAAATTAGTATGGACATACAGGAAAAATAAACTGACTATGATACATGTATATGTGAGGCGCTCAGGCAAAATGAGACAGAACTGGGCAGAGCTTGATACGAGGGTTTGCTAGTGTTCGAGAACAGAATAAAATTCTCCTTACAATAGTGTTCGTGCGCTTCAATTGGACATTCTGTTGACGAGTTATGGCTGTTTTGATGATTACATATTGACAAGTCAAACAAGTAACATATTATGGAAAAAAACCATCAAACTTTCAAGTTTTGTATTCCAGAAAATGAAAGATGCCAATTCTTTTTCCTTAAAAACAATTTAATTCCATACAGTTTCTTTCAAATATCTATTGTAAACATATCAAAGATTACAAATATCAATAAATCTTAAAATCGAGGGGGGAAATAATCACCCCGATTAAGTATTTTGCATATTTTCTCTACTACGACCTGTGCCTTCTCATTTTGCAGGAACGCTTCACAAATTAAAAAAAAGTCAGAAGTTTTTGAAAGATACGTCATTTTGTTTAGAACTCCTTGTGAATTATAAAGATATTTGGAATTTCAAAGAACAACTTATCAAATACAATAAAAGCAAGATTTTGATTCCAGCAACTGGGATTTTGCTGTACAGTATTTCAACAATTTAGCAGGAAAATTCATCATCTTCTCACTGCCATTTTGAAATATAGAAACAAATTTAACCTGATGAAACTTTTGTCAGATGCGGAGCCCTGACATAGTGTACAGTTTGTCTCTCATGCAGATGTGGTGTTAAGTTGGCTCCCAAATTACGACAGTTATTTGAAGGATTACGAACTTTGTGGTTACCTGTGTATGTGCCAATACATAAGGTGTAAATTCTGCTTATCTGCAGGATTTATATCTATTTCAAAGCAACAATTCTTAATTGTCTCACTTCAAAACTAGCGACAAAGTTTCAATATTCTCCAGTACCTTTAGTTATTGATCTATCATCAAATTGCTGCTTAGCTTAACGCTCAGAATATTATCTTTGATTACCAAAGGTGTTTACAGTAACTTTGATGGTAGTACCAGATTTCTTAAATATAATCAGGTCTTCTCTTGACAAAGTCATTATTATAGCTCGGCTGAGATACATGCAAAATTGTGCATTCTTTTAGAGTGATCTATCTTCAAATGTATCGATCTCAATAGAAACCATACTAGAGTGCTGTGGTGTTGCTGATATTAATTGTGGATAAAAGTTTTCCCAAATTAGACAGTCTACTATAATGTTTCCGTCTTAAAACGATAGATGATTAATATGCCCAAAACCTTGAAAAATCAATGTGTGACATCAGTTGTGGTAGACTAAAAATATATCGCAATAATCTGGAAGTACTAATGAAGCCATTTATCATAGATTTGTATAAAATTTTGTATAGATATTTCCACTGAAATTCTTTCTTTCTATAAAGAAATGATTGGTTTTATAATCTGAGGCAGAAAAATGGAGTGGAACTATTGTCAGTTTTGATTCTGAAATTTGCAGGCGTGAAGAAAAATGAAAATTGTCAAACACAATCTGTACAGGAGAAAAATACTGCCAATTACATATCATTGTAATAAGTCAAGATCTGTTTGGCTCATTTTCTTCTTGCACATGCTACAAAATTATTAGTCTTATTTTTTCACTATTTTTCATTTCTTCCATACTTAATTTGTGCTCTATCGAACTCCATTACAGCTTGCATGTGGAATGTTTATAGCTATTGTATTTTGCACGAGACAGCAAATAAATACAAAGAACCATTAGTCGAGAAGTTTGTCTTTGTTTTCCATTTTCTTTATTGAAAATATAAAAATAGTCAACAAATTTGATTTTACAAAACTCCACACATACATGTATTTGTTTTGCCCCAACCATAGCAATGGCCCTAGCTAAAGTGTAATAAGCCGAACAAAATTACAAGCCATTTTTGCGGTGGTGCCACGCCATGCTGCGTGCCTTCTTGAAGACGAGACGCGCGCGCATTTTGGAACCCTATTGGTTCCTGAAGTGCGTGCGTACTACCCGAGTGAGCCTGGTGCCACTGCAGAAAATGGTTGCCGAATTCGTCCATAGTTGGGACAGTCTCAACGGTTGGGATCATCCCAGCTATATAATGTTGGGACTTGGGACAATGCTATGGTTGGGGTGTAACATATCTTTGCCATTCACCAAATAATTTTAATCTTATGTACATTTAGGCGTGCCTTGTCTTGTTCTATTTTAAGCCTTGTCTTGTTCTATTTTAATAATGTAAAAAAATATATATCAGAGTAGAAAAATATGCACAACAGGCCTAAGTTGGAATAATTTTAATGCCTATAATCTGCCCACGACATATGGACATTTTGTGCAAAAATATACAAAATACGTATAGAACGCAATAACAAAATCCAATTTACCAAATTTTAACCCACAGAAAACCCTGCATTTAATATACCCCAATTAAACCAAGTTATTAAGAATTTTCTTTAAAGCAGTGTGCTGGCAAGTATGCCGGAGAACCCAAAATGCGTTGGCTCAATGGAATGAAACACCACGACGATTCTGTCAAAGAGATCAATAAAACGATTCTGTCAAAGAGATCAATAAAACGCACAAAAAAATTAGAGTAAATTTACCATTATATTTGATGTCAGAGCAACTTGAAGTATGAGGACCTTTTGACCTTTACTTTGACCTTGTGGATCACGTGACATTCAGATGAAGTTTGATTAAAATTACACACCAACAAATTTTTAACAAAACATTGGTTGCGTATTTAAAACTGTAAGCATGCGGTTACTCTTCGTAACATTATGTCAAAGTTTGTTCTGATTACAGGGAAACAATTTGCGAGGCTTACAGTACCAACTGAAAACGAAAGTCAGTCGTGATGCAATGAAGAAGGGCGTCCAACTTGGACTACATTATCAGCCACTTTTTTGAATGCAAGAAGAGAGTGGCAGAGCATGAAGATGCCACTTTTCACTAGCATAAAAAAAAGCCTTAACCCTAACTCCCTAGCTTGATTTACTAGGAACCATACCCATCCTGGCAAATTCCAACACCATATGCACACATATATTTCTGACTTTGATTCTGGAGGTGTGCCAACCCAATGTAAAAGACTGTCAGTTTAGGGGTACTGTACCCATTCTGACAGATTCCAACAAAACATGCCGTTGGGGTTTGATGGGTTGAGTTCTGTCAGTTAATGAAAAAGATAAACCATCATAAACGTTGGGACAAAAAAAATGTTTCGAGACTGTACTCATCTGATGTTCATACTAGACATTGTAACCAGTGTAAAACAATGTGCATATGACATTGACACCATCACTGCTTCGTATTTTCAAAATTTGTCTTTATACCTGCCGTGGTCAGTGATGCCTAGCTTCTCTGACAGGAAAGGTGTGAGTGTCGTCATCCATTTCTCCCTCATAGCATCCGTGAAGTGTTGACTGAGGAACCCGGTGACTGTCATGGTAACCACTGGGTCTAGTGTCCCTTCTTTCATCATGACTTGATCAGGGTTCACCCGCAGGGTCACTCCCTATGACATCATCAATGCATGTTAAACCATGTTCTCACATAGTATTTATGGAAAAGTTGAGGAGACTGGAGATATTTTTCTTCAGTCATCCAGCTAGCACTTGGTCTATGTAATAGACCGTGACAAAAGCCACGGTCTATTACATATGAACAGATTCGCTGATTAATTAGGCAAGACCCCGCCTCTTGACCTCCTAGAATTTGACCAATCAGTGCATGAGCACTGACCATGCAATTGTGTCACACGCTCTGTATCATGTTACCTCAACACGCCCGACTGTTGTTGTATTACATAACACTGCATTCGAATTGACCAATCAAATCATTTAGTCCTGATTTGAGAATGAAATGACGTCACAATTTAGTAAAGTCGACTCCGATTGGCTGGCGCGCGGCTTGCATATCTGCATATCTAGACATATCAGACGTTATACAAGAGACTTGCTCCATAGATAACGAGTGATACTCAGACTAGCTAGCACTCGGAAACAGAAATAAACAAGTTTGCCGTTCCTAGATTCTTGGCTTTGCAGTCTTTTAGGAAGTGCATGTATGTTCTTGTTCAAGGAGAGAGACCCAGAGTGGGCTTTTGTATGCATTCATACTGAATTAAAAAAAAAATTGTACATGCCTGTTGAATGCAAAGGGGGGGGGGGGGGGGGGGGGGGGGAGGAATTTCATACACGGAAGTCACTTGACACCCTGTGTACAAATCCTATGATCGAGACTGGTCTGGAAAAGTGTTTTCTCACTAAATGCTTCAATATTTTCCCTGCCTTACTTCACTTTTTAACTACTGCTTTCTGATATGATGGCTGGTAAGTCATTGCAGGGAAACACTAGTGGCATACGTATATGGAATTCTTTCCCAACTATCTCCAAACTTATTTCACTGTTTTGGCAGGCTCATGAGAAAACATCTTCAGATTGGTCAAAAGTTTGTACACATTGAATTGCTTTGGTCTTAATACACTCTACACTCATGGGCGTCGCCAGGATTTTTTCTAGAGGGGGGCAACAAAAATTTTGGCCAAAAAATGCTTGTATTTCTCAACACATTCTCGATTTATCAGTTTTAGAGGGGGGCAGGGACATCCCCCCCCCCCCCCCCCCCCCCGTTAAATTTACACCACTTTGTCTTCTCGCTTCTTTTTCTTTTCTTTTCTTTCCTTTTTTTTCCTCCTTTTTTTTTTTTTTTTTTTTTCGTTTCCAGGGGGGGGGGGGGGGGGGGCAAGTGCCCCCCCTTGCCCCCCCCTCGCGACGCCCATGTCTACACTGACTTGCTGCCACTACTTTGCAGAAATTGAAGCCCAACATTTTAAGTTTTGAAAGCTTTGCAATTTATGAATTTTACAACAGTTTAAAATGTCAACCCAGGAAAGAAATGCTCACCCTTTCTGGCTTGTTGACTGTGCTGGCAATAAGTTGAGAAAGTTCATTGACAAAGGACTGGTCCACTTTAGCCTTGGGGAGGTTGGTGTTCAGTTCGCACAGGGGCACGTTGATTCTTTGGTAGTCGTTCTACAAACAGAAAGTCCCATACAATTCAAATAAAATGTCTCCATTTTAACCACATGTTAAGTAGGCATACCATGGTGAACCCATCGGTCTGGGCTAGAAACTGGTGTTGAGAAGATGAAATCATAACTCCCCCCCCCCTAAAAAAACCACTTCTTTTCAATAGGCGTAACAACGATTTTTGTAATTGTCATGATCCTAGGGATCATGCCTGCCATTAGTTCAGGGTTTAGCTCAGAACCTCGAATTGGCGTGAATAAGGTCTAGCTTTCCGGATGGTTATGTAGGTTGCAATGAAAACCTGTAACGACCAATGTAGGGGGTAGGTTTGCCACATGGAACAGCAGCTTCGCTACGGTACACCAGCGCACCATACACCTGTGTAATGTGTCGATTCGCATGGTTGCTTCTAATACATTTGTACCCAATATACTATTCGAAAAAATAATAATAATAAGATGGGTCACTATAAATTAAGAGAAGATTGCCTGAGGTTGCATTTTGGAGTAACATAATCTTTTTAAGAATAAAAAAAAGACTGAGTATGGACTGAGGTACGAACGTACTATAAAGCCCATAATCCCATGCACAAAATAATAATACATGATGTAGTGTTTTAATTTCGCCACAAACTTGAGCAAAAGTTTCTAAAGTTTTTAATCCATGTGATTTGAGTCACAAAATTACTCACCAGCAAACTTTCAGAGACACTTGAAGAAAGCGTTGCACAGCCTGGACGTGCCTAGTAAAAGACGTCGGCGTGGCTAAATAGTGAGATAGCACGGAGCGCGAGCGAAAATGCGAACTACCAACTTTGACAAGGCAGCAAGGACGTTTTGTGGGTGTGTGCGATGCGAGCATCACGGATCACTTGCACTTTGCGTGTAAAAGCTCTTACGCTTCACTGGCTATCCCCCTCCGGATTACTGAATATATTCCCGTAACATGTTCATGTTATCACGGATCGTAATAAAGGTTTAAACAAATGATGAAATAAATTGAATGAGAAGTGTAACATTTTCGATATCCCATCTCTGCGTAGATTTGTTTCAGTTGGTTTAATTGTATTAATTATACTGAACCAAAAGAGGGATGAATGATGAATGAGTCAATGGGTTTTGTTACCTGTTACCTAGCCCGTAGTCTTCTGACCGTGGGGGCACCTCTTGAAGACTTGTCAACCAGCTTCCTCCATCCCTCTCGATCCTCAGACTTTCTCAGGGAGTCACTCAGCGTCAGGCCTGTCCACTCTGAGATGTTGTCCTCTCACCTCTTTCTCTGCCTGCCTCTCTTTCTTCCTCCTTGTACACTTACCGTGAAATGTGCCCATTCCACTTTGGTTTGCGCTTTTTCACAATGCACTAGTGGTCAGGAGATGTTCGTGGAATCAAATGACTTGCCTGATTCTGGTCCGTACCTCCTCGTTGGTGATGTGATCTTTGTATAGGAGATGCCAAGAATCTTTCTGTAGCATCTCATTTCTGTGGCCTGTATTCTCCTCTCTAAGTCGGCTCTTAGAGTCCAGGTCTCTCAGGCGTAGAGGAAGACGGAGATGACCAACGAGCGCATCAGTCTGATTTTTGAGCTGAGCATGATGTCCATCTCTTTAGAATGGCCTGTTCTTCTGTAAGACAGTTTCCAGCGTTATCTTGTATGGTGGTAATGGTTTTTGAGGTCTTTGATATTCCCTTTTTACAGGACCTAGTCCTCAAGGAGAATTTTCTTTTCAATTTGCCAGAGCTAAAGATAGCCTGTTCGATTTTTTTTTTTTTTGAAATATGCCCCTCCCCAAAACCAGCCTTAAAACTTTTGCCAACTTCACCATGCCACTTCTAAATGTATCCCGGCCATGCACGCATCTATGCTAAAATAGACCCAGACGTTGGCGGTTTTTGTGAGCGAAATCCCCCGAGTTTTTGTCCGAAATGCTTGATATCCAGAAATATTTATACAACCCGTTACAAGTAGGCCGCAAGGACTTCTTGTACAAACTTACCTACGGGATCACAAAAGATCGAGGACAATTTACAGAGCTGGCGCGGCGGGGCTGATTAGCGGCCATCTTAGAGGGCATATGTGACCTACTGAGGCAAAATGAGGAATGTCCCCCAAAACCTTTTCTTGAGTAATCGACGCCCGATGTCGGATATACTAGAAAAATCGTGTCAAAATCTATATTTATTGTTTTGTATTTTTGAGTAGCCAAGGTATCCAAGATTCACACAATGCATTTTTGTTGGGGAAAAATATCCACAAAAGAGGAAAAACTAAAGAACGTTTTTTACTGCTATTGGCGGTGCAATGCGTGTCTTTTTTTTCAAAGCCGATTCTCGAAATGAGATTAGCGAAATTTGGCAGGGCACAATTGAAGTTCCTGCGGCATATCTTTGAAATATATTAAGATACAGAAATAAATTCGGTATCATTGGAAAGGCAATGATTTGCGCTTTAACATGATGTACATAACGTGCAAAGTCAAAGGTGGGGGTTATTCCTCATTATGCTATGGCAGGTCACATATGTTGCTATTCAGCGTTGTATGCCAATAATGTGTACGGAAAATACTGTGAACTACATTTCATTTCCAACGATTCAAGTTCTGTTCAGACACATGTTCTTTTTACAATTTCCCACATGATGATACAGAATAAGTGAGTTACTTTTCTTCAGTTCTCTAATTCTTACAGTTTGTGCTCTATCAAACCGTTTCAGTTTGCATGTGTTTTCATCGTTGTTATGTTTTGCAAAAGACAGCAAATAAATACAGAGAACCCATAACGAAAGAGTCTGTTTTCGGTTTCCATATTAACGATTATACAAATAATGAATGTTTGTGAGTGCTATGGTACCGAATGAAATGTATCTGTCACCGAATGAAATTATTCTTTCCATTGCACGAACGTGAAACATTCATTATTTGTTTTATATAACACCTGAACAAATCCGTGTCAGTGATTGGTTGACTTTTAATAGCCAATATATTCAGGTTAAAACTGTTTAAAAGTTCGACAAGTTCATCATCTTAAATTTATGCAAACTGTTCAACATGCTGAGAACAATCATATTCAATTTATCTCGATTTAAAACAGCGCCACCACCAGCAGCAGTGACACCGTGCAATGGAAGTTCTATTCAGCGTGCAATGGAACTTCCATTGCACTGTGCGCTATATATGTGAGTTATATAAATACAATTATTCAACACAACGTTTTTTACAAAACTCAAGATAGGAAAACGCTCCAATTTAAAACTCAAGATAGGAAAACGCTCCAACTTAATCGTTTGTAATTTGATACTTGAACAAGTCATCATGCCGTCAGAGTAATGCCTCACTGGATCGGGATTGATGTCTGTTCAAAGTTTATACCGTTTAGAAGAAAAGTCCCACCAGGCAGCAAATACACGCAGAGCCCAATACCCAAGATTTTTTTTCTGTTTCAACTTGCTTTTTATTAAAGATATGAAAATGTTCAACGACTACAGTTTACAAAACTCCTATTATATTTGTTATGCTCCAACTATAACAATGGCCCAACTATAACTGGGACAGTCCCAACTATAATTTGGACAGTCCCAGCTATGGATGGGGCTTAACATATCCAAAATTATTAACTACAATGTATACACAAATAATGTTTTGACGTGACATAATATTTCATTTTATCTGATAGACAGTTACATTTTATTCTTGATGACTAATACAACAAATAAAAAGATACGATGTGGCTTTCCATTCAAGCAACTTTATCATTGACCTCTTTGCTTTTCAATATTTGTATAAGCCACAGAATCAGGGGCCTAGCCAATATTCAGTTTGCTTGTTTTTAGTGTGGAGATGTGATGCCATATTTTTTCAAGTATTAACAAAGTGAGAAAAAAATCACCAAAGCTATGCACAATGTGTTGAGATATTCCAATACTCAGCATTGATCTGCCTATATCATCGTTTCATCTTTTAAAACGTTTTAGTGCTTGTTTATATATGTATATATAATGTACTTGCTTTTTATGTATTAATATGCTTTTTTTGGCTTTTTATTTATTTTTTTTAAATCTATTTTAGCTTGTTTTAACGGTGCAGCAGGTCCTCGGACCACAGTACTTGTACTTTTGCTGTTCCTTGCCTTTCTTTATAATGTTGTCAGAATGGCTAAATAAATAATAATAATAATAATAATAATATCAATAATAATAATAAAACAAGGGTTTCTGTTTGGGGACATTGTTGGGCAAAAATATATAAATTACATGTATTTCTTTTAGATAGTTGTACAGCAGAATTTATTAATAACTCGATTTCACTGTAAAAACAATTAACTAACAAGAAACCCTGCAATTTCAAAATTGTAAAATAACTTTATACGTCAACCTGCATGTCTGTATAAACATCGATGTAGGCCACAGTTAGCACTTGTTTTGATTTTTTTGTATATCACTCACTCTTTGAAGACTTCTCTAATTATATTTTGTTTCATAAAACTCGAGAGTCTAGTTCCGCAAACGAGGTCAACAGCTGGCTACAATCTGAGGAACTCAACAAAATTAACTGAACTCAAATGCAATACCTCCAGATTTAACAGTCCTGTGCCACATCTGATCAATCTTTTGAATACAACTCAATAGATATCTATTTATTTTGTCTATGAACATTTTGCGGCACTGCAAAGCAATTAAATTCATTGCACTAAAGTGTTTAGTCCTACTCTTTCAGTATTTATTTTTTTTTTCTACATCTTTTGATATCTCTTTTTACAAATAACCTTTTTTTAACTGAACGTATAACTACATATTTTCACAATTGTATTGTTGGCTCGCTCTTCTTAATTTTCTTTGTGTCTAACGCTGTGTGCCAATTTTTGGTATTCTACTTTTTATGTAAATTGAACAAATCTATTGTTTTCCCTAATTCAGCCTTTGGCTGCAATGGAAATGTTTTTAATAAACCATGAATAATAACAATAAAAAAAATTCAAGCGTCTGCTCCACGTTTTTAAGAATAATTATGGAAGAGGAAAACCTACATTTGATGCAAGCTGTTTCATTTACACAATCGTCATTTGTTTGTTTGGGAGTTGGGGTGGTGCAGGTGTTTTTTTCTAAAATATAATTTTAGCATTTTTGGAAGCGCAGTAAACCAAAGTATTACACACAAAAACACATTATTTCAGTTGGCTGCTGGCGAGTTTGCCGAAGAATCCGACGTGCGTTGCCTCAATGAGATGGAAGGACATAATGATTCTGTAAATGAACAAGTGAACAATTATTAACAAATTAAAGTAGCAACAATATAGCGCAGACAAAACGGGGAGGTAAACAATTATGGATAATTCCCATAGACACCAGTGCTAAACGTTCATACTTCGAAATTCTTTTAAAACTACTCAGAACTCTCACAGGTATTTGCGCTATAATACACAAAAAATGACAATCAACATGTCATCTTCGTTTTCTTTTAAATTTTTGGTGGGTTGACCATTGACTTTTCGAGATATTCTCAGCCAAAGATGACGACCCCTAGTTTTCCCAAAGCGGAAAAGTAGCCATCTGGAAAAGTGATCCCTCCACACCATGGCAAAATAGCGCCACTTTCGAGCCCAATTGCATCCACAATGCCCAGAATTGGAAGGCCCAAGTCGGGGCCAGAGGTTCATTGCCGCATAAATTCCTCAATTTTATGGCTCGTAGAACTCTACGATATATAATTATTATTCATGAGCTCGGCGGATGGGTTTGGCCTATTCACAGTATGAACCATTAGTAAATCGCAGATTTTCTCAATAGACCGATTCACTAAGCTCTGCCCTATGATGTTTGACCGGTTTTGACCAATCACAGCCGTGAATGGTGTCCAACATGCACGCGTGCGCTTACGACGTGTGACGCGTCTGTAAACGCACTTGAGGTTGCTCATGGACGTACGTATACGTGCGCAGTGTATGCATGGGCGGGGCTAATGGATCGTCTATTGCACTTGACTCGAGCTCGAGTAACTTTGGGTGATGATTCGGCACGGAAATTAGTCTAAACAGAAATAATTGTGTTGCATTATCAACCCTGTGTTAAGTTTTTCAAGGCTCCAATATCGACTCTTCTGCCGGCTTTTTGGGATGCAAGAAGAAAGGGCCCGGAACCGAATAGGCTCTCTTCAGCATAAGATGTGTGTGTGTGTGTGTGGGGGGGGGGGGTGGGGGGGGGGGGCCTTAATTCGTGAGTGAGTAGCTTTTTTGTGTGTGGAATTAAGTTTCGGTACTTTTCAACTGTTCATAAATCCTTATATAATTTGTTTGTAGATAACCAACAATGTGAATACGGCACCATCATTTCTCATAAAATAAAAAGAATCTGCACTTTGTCTTTACCTGCCGTGGTCAGTGATGCCTAGCTTCTCTGACAGGAAAGTTGTGAGTGACGTCACCCATTTCTCCCTCATAGCATCCGTGAAGTATTTAGTGCTGAATCCGGTGATTGCCACAG